AGGGTCGATAAAAAGCCGATAAAAGCAACACGATATAATATATGTAATAAATGGGTAGCACAGATAACGTCAAGGATCCACTCTACTAGAGATCCACTAGAGCTTCAAGATCAAGATCATCTACAGATAATTTAAAAGTTTCGAGACTATTGGACTCTCTCAAAACTCTGGGGAGTCGATTCAAAATTCTGGCAGTTCTTATTGGAAAAAAGTTATACACAAAATTATTGGAGGAATTTCACAAACTGGAATTTCTAAAACGAAAGAACCTCTCCTTGAACTAACCGTGGGATTAACTAATAGAGTACTTAATAGAGTACTTTGGATAAATCTCGAAAAAGATGAATAGGTTGCCTGTTTGCCTGTTTACAAAAAAGTACTGTTTATTGTTTACAAGAAAGTACACTTGCAAAAGCTTAATAGAGTACTGTAGCTTATTGTAGTGAGTTGGCGATACTGAATTGGCGATACTGAATTGGCGATACTGAATTGGCGATACTGAATTGGCGATACTGAATTGGCGATACTGAATTGGCGATACTGAATTGGCGATACTGAATTGGCGATACTGAATTGGCGATAATTGGCGATAATTAGCGAATTTATGGCTGAATCTATGTACTTTGTGCTCAAATCTGTAAACACTTGCTTTCTAGTGAACCGAATTCTTTCATTTTCTCGTTAAAACGCTTTTATTTCTTAAGAAAGATGAAGAAACAGGCCAATGGCCAAGAGGCCAAATGAAGAATCAGGGTTTACACTAGAGTGTGCTCCTTGTTGACAGACAATTTGTCAGACAAATTTTCATTGACAACTTTTTTTGTCAGACAATTGATCCGACAAGACTTCCGACAACGCGTTTTCTAAAAGGTGCGCTTTTTAAGGAAAGCTATGAAGGGCTGTCTCCAGAATGGCTCGTTTGAACGATCGACTCTGGATCCAACGAGAATGAGGTGATCGAAGCGGTATCCTTATCAGCATCCAGCTTCTGCGCTTCTTCGACAATAGACTTGAAGACTCGAGCCGCTTCTCTCCAATTCAAAGTCGCGCGAAAAAAATTTGCAAACTTTTCTTAGAATATAGTAATCAATAGTTTTATTTAAGGATTTAGGTTTTTTAGGGCGTGGAATTTTTTTTTTGGAATGGTTCTAGTGCAAATGTAGACAATAGACCTGGTAAATTCGTAAATAATATCATTTTTTAATAGTGTTTATTAACTTTTCCCGTTTTAAATGTTTTCTTTAATTTTAAATGGCATTTAAAAATTTTTAAGTTTTAGCGAAAGAGTAATAGAAAAAAAAGAGTGCAAGATTTTAATGTACATTTGCATTTTGAAAAATTTGCTGATGCAAAGCATAGGGTTACGGTAGCTTATCCTTGGCGCGCGCTTTTTAGAAAACGCGTTGTCTGCAAGGAGCACACTCTAGTTTACACAAAGTACACGACTATTTTGGGGGTAGGCTACTTTCCGCCATTTTATTTGCGCAACAGGGTCATTTGCGCAAGTACGTTTGCGCAACAAGGGTCATTTGCGCAACTTTTTTTTGCACAAAAAGGGTCATTTGCGCAACTTTATTTGCGCAACTGGGTCATTTGCGCAACTTTAACACTGTATTAAGCACTCGAATTTTTAATCATTATTTTAATTTTTGAGCTTTTTTTTATTGTTTTTTATTTTCTTCTATTTTTTATGAAATCTTCCAATATTTATCTAAATTAGTCCTTTCTAAGAGCTAATAACCATTAGTAAAGTATTTTATCGCTTTAACAAAAAAGTGCAACCGATAACAATGAAAGTTAGGACAACAATAGCAATGAAATTTAGGACAACAATAAAAATCAAATTTTTTTAATATAAGTCAAAAGCTGAGAAAGATGTTGCACAAAATCGCAACCGGGCAAGCGACCATTAGAAATAGCAGTAAAACGTTGCTTTTGTCGAGCCAATACAGTTTTCTTCCGTGTGTAGTTTTGTCCAACAGTGAGATTGATAGCCGATGAAAGCTTGAAACGGTTGATTATTTGCGTCATTTCTTCGTAAAGTCTGACCGCAGTATACGATGGATGCGGATTCTTGGGAAAATGCGGAAAATTAGTTAACAATGGTTTTTAAGAATAAACAAAACCGTACTAGAATTTTAAACAACAAAAAAAAACGTCAAAAACTCCCTTAAAAAAAACGTCCCTTAAAAACGTCAAAAAAGTTGCGCAAATGACCCTGTTGCGCAAATAAAAAGTTGCGCAAACGTACTTGCGCAAATGACCCTGTTGCGCAAATAAAATGGCGGAAAGTAGCCTACCCCCTATTTTGTTATCATCAATAAATCATCAAGATCAATCTAAAGAATTTATCAATTTATTTTGTCCAAATGTGTGGGAGAGACTTTTTGATTGAAATTCTAGCGTTTTACGATTTCCGATTCTCTTTAAAATCTTTATTTGTTCAACTCTGACCACTTTTTACGTCAATTCAACGAAAATTTTTGAGGTCATGACTCTAAAAAGATATTCAATGAAAGAAAAAACATAAAATAACGGTATTGTTCTCAAAAAAAAAGACATGAAAGCTGGGTAAATAAAGGAAATTTTTTTTTTAGATTTATTATTGAGCTCAAAATTTTTCGATATTTAAGCAATGACCTGGGACTGGTGAAAGCATTTTATAGCCAAGCATTTAAGGTCAGTTTTTTAAACTTTTACATATCTTATTATAGCTTAAATTACTTGAAAATTACTTCTTATAAATTAGATTACTTGAAACTATCGTAATTTTGATCAATTTCTAAATATTTTAACTGTTTTAAAGCGGTTAAAGCTGTTTAAAGCGGTTTAAAACGGCTTTTAAATGATTTCCCCCTTTAAAGTTTTCCTTCTCGTTTCTTTCTTCACTGATCGAACTGAAGCAGTGGCAGTTCTTAGGGGAACTTTTGGTCGTGGCTCTATCGATCTTGTTATGTTATGACCCCTACTGTATCTTATTATAGCTTAGTTTACTTGAAACTATCGTAATTTATATCAATTTCTAAATAGTTTAGCTGTTCTAAAGCGGTTAAAGCGGTTAAAGCGGCTTTTAAATCGGTTTAAAGCTATTTAAAGCTATTTAAAGCTGTTTAAAGCTGTTTAAAGCGGTTTAAAGCGGTTAAAGCGGTTAAAGCGGTTTAAAGCGGTTAAAGCTGTTAAAGCGGTTTAAAGCTGTTTAAAGCGGTTAAAGCGGTTAAAGCGGTTAAAGCGGTTAAAGCGGTTTAAAGCGGTTAAAGCTGTTAAAGCGGTTTTAAAGCGGTTTAAAGCGGTTAAAGCGGTTAAAGCGGTTAAAGCTGTTTTAAAGCGGTTTAAAGCGGTTAAAGCGGTTAAAGCTGTTTTAAAGCGGTTAAAGCTATTTAAAGCTATTTAAAGCTATTTAAAGCTGTTTAAAGCTGTTTAAAGCAGCTTTTAAATGATTTCCCCTTTAAAGTAGCCCTTTCCTTCTCGTTTCTTTCTTCACTGATCGAACCAAAGCAGTGGCAATTCTTAGGGGAAATTTTGGTCGTGCTCCTCCACCAATTTTCCGTTCTATCGATCCTGTTTCTTTCCATTTCTTTCCATTTCTTTCCATTTCTTTCCATTAGCAATCCCCAAAAAGTTGATTCCAAACTCTGCAGCATCCCTAGACGACATTCCTTGACTCATATTGGCTACAAAGCGTTCCTTCAAGTCGTTAGACAAGATTTTCTTTGATGGCATCTAAAGAAAAGCATGCATTCAACAAGTGTGTCCAAAGTTATGACCCCCTTAGAAAGTGGGTAGTAAAGTAGCTCAAAATGAGAAGCTCAAGCAAAGAGACTCTTCTAGCAAAGAGAACGACGAACAAATTATAGTTTAAAGCGCGAGGTGTGGCCAAAGCTATGACCCCGACTGTATCTTATTATAGCTTAGATTACTTGAAAATTTCTTCTTATAAATTAGATTACTTGAAACTATCGTAATTTTGATCAATTTCTAAATATTTTAGCTGTTTTAAAGCGGTTTAAAGCGGTTTAAAGTGGCTTTTAAATCATTTTCCCTTTAAAGTAGCCCTTTCCTTCTCGTTTCTAAGCAAAATAACAAAATTTCTTTAAATCCAAAGTCTTTAACTATATTCCTTTATAGTTCCTTTAAAGTTCCTCTTTAGTTCCTCTTTAGTTCCTTTATAGTTCCTTTAAAGTTCCTTTAAAGTTCCTTTATAGTTCCTTTATAGTTCCTTTATAGTTCCTTTATAGTTCCTTTATAGTTCCTTTAAAGTTCCTTTATAGTTCCTTTAGAGTTCCTTTAAAGTTTCTTTATAGTTCCTTTATAGTTTCTTTATAGTTCCTTTAGAGTTCCTTTATAGTTCCTTTATAGTTTCTTTATAGTTCCTTTATAGTTCCTTAAGAGTTCCTTTATAGTTCCTTTATAGTTTCTTTATAGTTTCTTTAAAGTTCCTCTTTAGTTCCTTTATAGTTCCTTTATAGTTCCTTTAAAGTTCCTTTAAAGTTCCTTTAAAGTTCCTCTTTAGTTCCTTTATAGTTCCTTTATAGTTCCTTTAAAGTTCCTTTAAAGTTCCTTTATAGTTCCTTTATAGTTTCTTTAAAGTTTCTTTATAGTTCCTTTATAGTTCCTTTATAGTTCCTTAAGAGTTCCTTTATAGTTCCTTTATAGTTTCTTTATAGTTCCTTTATAGTTCCCTTATAGTTCCTTTATAGTTCCTCTTTAGTTCCTTTAGAGTTTCTTTGAAGTTCTTTTATAGCTCCTGAGTCAAAGATATTTTTAAAGTATAGTTATTTTTAAATAATTTTTTGCAAAAATATAGCCAAGAATACTGTGTTCTAAGGCAACTTTTAGTGTTTTAAAACGTCATTTTTGTCATTTTGTCTTTGTAGTTCCAGTTTGAGCTCTGGTTTTTGTTTTTTTTTTTGACCAGTAACGCCACTTTTGCCGTTAACGATTTAAACAAAATCCCTACGTATAATTGGCTTTAAATGCTAATTTTATTCAATTTTTTTCAGATGCAATTGTGCACGATCGTCCTTTTGGCTGTGCTGCTGCTTGTTGCGGTGTTTTTTGTTGAGGCTCGACCTGGAGGTGGAATAGAGTTGAAACGAAAATTTAGCTCAAAATTATAGCTACTTAACTTACAATTGTAACTTTTAACCTACTATATCAAAAAAGCGCCGCCAAAAGAGCGCCATGCAAAAGAACCGCTTAAAAGAACCGCGGTTCAAAAGAGCCTCTTTTAGGCGCTGCTTTTCAAAAGAGCGCCGCCTAAAAGAGCCGCTGTTCAAAAGAGCGCCGCTTGAAAAAGCGCCGCTTAAAAGAGCGCTGCCTAAAAGAGCGCCGGCAAAAGAGCCGCTGTTCAAAAGAGCGCCGCTTAAAACAGCGCCGTTTAAAAGAGCGCCAATACAAAAACACTCAAAAGAGCGTGACTAGATTTTTGCGTCCCAATTGTTTTCGCGCCCCAATTTTCTTGATGTTTTTGATTGTAAAGACTTAGACACCACCGTAAATTTGTAAATTTGCAAGCCTTGATAAAGAGAGTTGATAAAGAGATCATCTTTTCCCTCTTCCATAGTCATTTTCCCATTTTCAGTACGTCGTGGTGGACCCCGTCGATCGCGATGGGGCTCAATGACAGCAAACGATGTGGAAAATTTTAAAAAGGTACACCAAATTTGCATTTAGATCAAGATATAAGGATTTATCAAGATATAAAGATATTCTTTATCTTTATTTTATCAAGATCAGGCTTTTTTGAATATAAAATCTTCAGTCCCTTGGTCGAACGAATCTCGAGCGTTTCCACAACGCTTTAGTCAGACACCGAGCCGATATCGATCAGGAAATCGATGAACAAACGAAGGATTTCAATGAGAAAATCAAGGTGGATGAAGAAATAGAGTTAATGGTTGATCTGTAAAAGCCTTTTCAGCAAGTTCGCACGAAAACCCGCTCGAAATCGTGGCATAAACTTGGGGACAGTGTGGCTGAGGTGATACTTGAAAGCTTTACATGTAGTACTTGCAGAATCCATTTTAAATTGATAATCAAATTAACATCAGTATTACTGTATCATATCGTAAAAATGTGACCCGACTACCGTAACCCAGGCGTTTTCTGGCTTAATCTTAAAGACTACGGTAACATCAACGAAATTGGAGATAGGTTACGGTAGCGATAGCTGATAGTGATAGCTGATAGTGATAGCTGATAGTGATAGCTGATAGCGATGGCTGATAGCGATGGCTGATAGCGATGGCTGATAGCGATGGCTGATAGCGATGGCTGATAGCGATGGCTGATAGCGATGGCTGATAGCGATGGCTGATAGCGATGGCTGATAGCGATGGCTGATAGCGATGGCTGATAGCGATGGCTGATAGCGATGGCTGATAGCGATGGCTGATAGCGATAGCTGATAGCGATAGCTGATAGCGATAGCTGATAGCGATAGCTGATAGCGATAGCTGATAGCGATAGCTGATAGCGATAGCTGATAGCGATAGCTGATAGCGATAGCTGATAGCGATAGCTGATAGCGATAGCTGATAGCGATAGCTGAGAAATGCTTTAGAGAGCTTAATTCTTTAAAGTTTAAAGTACTTTGAGCTAAACCTGTAAACAAATCCCTCCTGGTGCACTCAATTCTCTATTTTCTTGCAAGAATGGCTTGTTTCTTGCAATAACAGCTTGTCGTCTTAAGGAAAATGAAGATTTTAAGTCCACAAGAAGAGGTTGTTTACAGATACGGTTCCAATATGGTTCCAATATAGCACAAAGTACGCTATGAAGAGAGTTTTCAGGTAAACGAGAACGTTGGCGTTGCCGAGAACCTCTACAAAGGAGATATGGCGTTGATCAAGTGAGAAAAGCAAAAAAAATGAAAATCAAATCATTCAGCGAACAAATCGACTTGCTTCTTGGGGAATACGTTGATGAAAGTGATGCGAGTGGGTCCAACAAAACAATCGGTACCGTAGAAAGCTTTAAATTTACAGACTTTATGTAAGCAGAATAATTTTTAACGCCTACGACTCACCGGCGGATCGTACCAATGGCGATTATCGTAATTATTCTAATAGAAGCATCCTTCTAGCATCGTCGCTAGTCTACTGACGTTTTACAAAGTCATTTTTTTCTCAGCCTACAGATTTTTATCAATTATGTTTTTGGTACCAAAAAATACTAGATTAGAAGGGCTATCGTTTGACAGTCAAGCGCACATTCTAGCATAAAGCAGCATAGAGAACGGAGCGCATAAAGTTAGACTACGCGGCAATACCCCGTCAGCAACATCCCATCGACAATACCCCACTGCAGACCAAACGGATCGTTGTTTAAGTGTAAAAACGTCTTGAAACTGATCATGATTCTTGTAGACAGCTCGGGCAAGTATTTCCCATAAATTCTCTATCGGATTGAGGTCAGGAGATCGAGCGTCAGGACATGTGGACTGGATCAAGAGATCCAGGAGATCCAGTTCAAATGTTGTCGTTGTTCAGCCAGTCTCGGGTGCCTCCGACCCAATGAATTGGCCTGTTGGGCCTGTTGGGCCTTGCTCAATGAATTGGCCTGTTGGGCCTGTTGGGCCTTGCTCAATGAATTGGCCTGTTGGGCCTGGACATGTTGAAACACATAGAAAACGGTTGGATTTAGGAGCAAAAACGGCAGTAAACAATCGTCTAAGACATCTATATAGTCAAAAAAGTCATCCGATTCGAGACCATCTTCAGAGCGACCGTTCCATCAGCACAGAAGGTGGTCCAGACCAACACAGAGTCACCGCTAAAGTTTCGAATCTCAAACACAATCGGATCACGTAGAAGATCCCTCCAATACTAGTCAGTCTGGATGGCCATCGGGGCCATCCAAATTCCATTTCTTCTCATCGGAAAGGATCGCCTAAACTAGAAAAATTAATGGAATATAAGCTGCTTTCTAACCTTAGACCAATCCTGATTCATATGAGCCTTGGCAAACTCCAATCGGGCTTTCTTGTGCAAAAGCGTCACGGTCGGTTGCTTGTTCAACAATTGTCGATCAATATGTGGGTTTTCCTTGACGGCTCACCAAATTCTCGACTTTTAAGAGTCGATTTTCAGTTCCGTTTTCACTTCATTCATCGTTTTTCCGTGGATGTTGTTCACAATATGGCGTCTAGCTTGTGGTATAAGCTTTGATTTTGGTTCTGGCTTCTTCATAGAGACTTCACAGAGACAGAGACACACTTCTTCTTCTTCTTCTTCAGAGGCTTCTTCACACGGCCTTCGATTTGATATAATTTCGCACGACACAATCGGATCAGCCCAAATCTTTTACGATTTTCCTGATTGAGTTTGTTTCTCCGCCAATCTTCAAACAATCGAGTTGACGAAAAATCCATCGGATTGAGATCCGGGGAGCTCGAGGGCCATTGATCAAACGCGATAAAGTCTGGAAAGTTCTGTCGGCACCAGGACAAAACGAGCCTAATAGGCAGCAGCCCCATCCTGTTTGTTTCTCCGCCAATCTTCAAGCGCGCATCAATCTGGCCTTTCTCATAATCCGTGAGCAGCTTTCCGTGAACCATTTACCTAGAAATTAACAAAAATTTTAAATTTAATAATAAAATATGCACAACAAAAGGAAAACTTTTAAACAACAGGAAACACGGGTTTAAAAACGGGTGCGTTGAAAAAAAGGCTTGAATAATGTGCATTTTCGGTCCGTTCGTCGATAGGTGTACAACGAAAATTCACGTCTTAAGCTCTTTTTTTAGATAAAGAGATTAGATAGAGCTTGTAAAAGCCAGATAGAGCTTGTAAAAGCCAGATAGAGCTTGTAAAAGCAAGTTAGAGCTTGTAAAAGCAAGATAGAGCTTGTAAAAGCAAGCTAGAGCTTGTAAAAGCAAGCTAGAGCTTGTAGAAGCAAGATAGAGCTTGTACAATAAAGATAGAGCTTGTACAATAAAGATAGAGCTTGTAAAAGCAATATAGAGCTTGTAAAAGCAATATAGAGCTTGTAAAAGCAAGCTAGAGCTGATAAAAACAAGATAGAGCTTGTAAAAGCAAGATAGAGCTTGTAAAAACAAGATAGAGCTTGTAAAAGCAAGATAGAGCTTGTAAAATGCTAGCGAACGGTAAAAAACGCTTAAAAACGTTGATTTTAAAGGGCTTAAGATGTAAATTGTTTTGTTGTACACCTATCGACGCTGTACGTTGTACACGAATTGACCGAAAATGCCTAGAATACGGCACTTTCCGAATCATAATGCTGAACTTTGTCGTCCATTTCCGATCAATCCGATTTAGAAAACCCTATTCACAATCGTTTCCGTCGTCAAGCCTATCGTCCAACAAAATATCCTGTCACTTTATGGGGAATGGGCAGCTCAACGCCGATTTTCTATTATCAATTCGATTCCTCACTCTCGCCTGCTGCGAAACTTGTCGCCGAAATTGCAATTACCTACTGGCGAAACTATACGTGTATCAATTTTTTGGAATCGTCGACGGCTGTGTGAGTTGAAATTCTGAGCTTGGTTTCTTCTAAACTTGGTTGATTTTAAACTTTTAAACTTCTAAACTAAAGCTTGGTTTCTTCTAACTTCTAAAGTTTAGTTTGGTTGATTTGGGTTTGCGTAAAACTCATTCATTCATTCATTAATTCATTCATTTATTCATTCATTTATTCATTCATTGATTCATTGATTCATTCAGAAATCGCACCCGTTTCTTCAAGGGATCCGGCTGTTATTCGTACATCGGAATGATTGGCGGAGTGCAGGATCTCTCGCTTGGGAATGGATGTGAGAGTGTGAGTTGAACAGCTTTAGCACAAGTCCTTTTTGATATACCTACCGTAAATACTGTAATAGTACCCCATCGCCCTCGTACAGTCGATTTCCAGGTGGGCACAGCTTTACACGAGATCGGCCACGCGCTGGGTTTCTTCCATACCCAATCTCGAAACGATCGTGACACGTATATCACTATCAATTACAACAATATCCCACAAGATTGGCTAGGACAGTTCAGAAAGGTTAGCACCGCCTTTGGATTGTGGGACATTTTATACGCGCCGCGTCCCCTTTGCCATTGGCAATTCGACTTTGAGCTCAAATATCTTGGTGTTGGGTTGTCCAATTTAAATATTCTTGATATCATTGGAACCGCCAAGTCTTTCTCTGTCGATTGGTTTAAAAACTATTTAAATTGAACAGCCCAACACTAAGATATTTGAGCTCAAAGTTAGCCAATGGCAAAGGGGGAGGGGCGACCGACCTTTTATACGCGCCCCTCCCCGTTTGCCATTGGCTAACTTTGAGCTCAAAGCTCTTGGCTTTGGATTGTTCAATTTAAATAGTTTTTGAGCCAATCAACAGAGAAAGACCTGGCGCATCTAATGATATCAAGAATATTTAAATTCAACAGCCCAACACCAAGATATTTGAGCTCAAAGTTAAATTGCCAATGGCAAAGGGGGCGGGGCGGGTATAAAAGTTCCGATAACCCCCTCCCCCTTTGAGCACTTAATTTGTTAACTTTCAGGAGACAACAGCGACGAATTTCAACTACGGAATGGTACGTTATGTTTTTATATGTAAACACTTTTAGGGGTACTTTAGAAAGTCATGTTTTCATAGTCAAATATCTATGTCGAACTGTAGCATTCTGATATGAAATATCTTTCTGTGAGCACTGTAAGAAATAGGTTGGCCAGGTCAGGCCCTCACAAAGGGAATGACCAGGCCAGGCCCTCACAAAGGGAATGGCCAGGCCGGGCCCTCACAAATGGAATGGCCAGGTCAGACCCTCACAAATGGAATGGCCAGGCCAGGCCTTCACAAAAGGAATGGCCAGGCCAGGCCCTCACAAAGGGAATGACCAGGCCAGAAGTGGAAGTGACCGTTTGGGATGAGTGATACCTCATTCGATAGATCACATGATGAATATTGATGACCAAAAAAAGTTAGCTCCCCAAAGTGACTCTAAAACGAGAAAATGGGGTCGACAAGAAGCAAAAATCACGTTTTTGACCCTCCTTGACAGAGCTGAAACTTTTTATTGAATCAATATTTTTGAATAATCTTCTTTTTGAGCTGTTCTTTTTGAACATTCGGCTTCTTGCTAATGAAAAATCTTCAAAATAAAGCTTTTTAGAAACTTTCAAAAGCTATTTGCAAGAGAAATGCAACCATTCTAAAATGGCTATCTAAAAAATCGGATTTCATTTGATAGCTTGAGACTTATTCAATTAGAAAATGAATTTCGGTGAAAGAAAATGAATTCCCGTGTGCTCAACCAAATTCATTTTAATTTGGTTGATTTTAACGCTGATTGTTGATTCATTTTAAGCCATACGACTACGGTAGCGTGATGCAATATGGCGGAGCGTCGGTGTCACCCGATGGCTCGACAACAATGCTTGCTAAAGTGAGGAGAAAAATTGCTTTTGAGAAATTGCAATCACACATTGATAATCGATTCAATCAACAAAAGAAATCTTTTAACTAAATCAATTTTAACTTTCTACTAATCTTTTAACTTTTAACTAACCTTTTAACTAAACTAAATTTCCAGGCTCCTCAATATCAAGACACGATGGGCTCGGATTTCGCCTCGTTCTACGATCTTTCCATGATGAATGAACACTACAAGTGTACCGGTGGGTAACTGCTAAAACTTATTGGCACATAGCTGTCAAGAGATTTCAATCACTTGTAAACTAGACCAGGTAAACTAGGCCTGTAACCTAGGCCAGGTAAACTAGACCTGTAACCTAGGCCAGGTAAACTAGGCCAGGTAAACTAGGCCTGTAAACTAGGCTCTACAGATTTGGTTGCTTTCCTTTTCTCTACAGATTTGGTTCCTTTTCTCTACAGATTTGGCTAGGCTAGGTAAACTAGATCTGTCACCTAGGCCAGGTAAACTAGGCTAGGTAAACTAGGCCTGTAAACTAGGCTCTACAGATTTGGTTGCTTTCCTTTTCTCTACAGATTTGGTTCCTTTTCTCTACAGATTTGGCTAGGCTAGGTAAACTAGATCTGTCACCTAGGCCAGCTAAACTAGATCTGTCACCTAGATTAGCTTTGCTTCTAGCTGATCCAGAAACTTTTATGAAACAGAGCTCCAATGAAGTCAAGACTTGTCAAGTCAAGATTTCCAGATCAGCTCTGGACTGAAAAGATTGTCTTTTGAACAATCCTCCTCTAAACTAGGTAGCTTCTTTAGACTAGCTTTGCTTCTAGCTGATCCAGAAACTTTTATGGGCTTAGCTTAGCCTTTTCAACAAAGCTAAACCAGTCAAACCTTCAGTAAAACCAGAAAAAAGCGCAGAAGTTGGCTTTTAATGTATTTTTCTACAATAGAAAATAGAAAACAATGTAAAATTGAAAATATCAGAGATCTTTAGCCAAGTGCACAACTGGAGCCGTATGTTTGAATGGAGGGATTCGGAATTCGCGCAATTGTGCCTCTTGCCTTTGCCCCTCGGGATGGGGTGGAACCACGTGCAATACAAGGGTAAGCTTAAGATCAATGCTATCATACCGTAATCTCATGACTTTACACTTGGCTACAAATATAGTTTTTGGCTCTCCGGGTATTTAGAAAGAGTCCGGATATTTTCAACGGCTCGTCACACTTTGAACGCCTATAACTTTGTCCAGAGATCATATTTTTGCTAACTTTTTATATCATTGTACAGAGGACATTTCAAGCTTTCAAATGATACCAAATAGAGGTTAATTGGATAATCCAGTCCAAGAAAATCCGGCGACACGACTAAGGCTCTTGCGTAGTTTTCGGGTATTTCGAACGGGTCGTCTTTGAAGGCCTATAACTTTGCCCAGAGACAATTATTTTGCTAACTTTTTATATCATTGTATAGAGGACATTTCAGGCTTTCAAATGATACCAAATAGAGCTTGATTGGATTTTTTTGATGCTAATTCCGATACAAACAAGGTGACACGACACCCGAGTTGGATAGGCCTCATTTGCTCAGGGTTGGCTCTAATTTTCTTGGACTGGATTATCCAATCAACCTCTATTTGGTATCATTTGAAAGCTTGAAATATCCTCTGTACAATGATATAAAAAGTTAGCTATAATATTATCTCTGGACAAAGTTATAGGCGTTCAAAGTGTGACGAGCCGTTGAAAATATCCGGATTTTTCAAAATACCCAGATTCTTTCTAAATACCCGGATTCTTTCTAAATACCCGAAAACTACGCAAGAGTCAAATTTGCTTGAACTTTCTAGGCATCCGGTTGTGGAGAGACGCTGATCGCCACGTCTACCGTGCAATCGCTGACGATTAGTGTCGGAGATGGGCGAAATGTTGAGAATCCAAATTTTGCCAAATGCAATTATATTATCGCGGTTTGTTTTGAATCTTATGACTTCTTAGTTCTACAAAACTAAGAACTACTTCTTAGTTCTATAAAATTCAGGCTCCAACCGGGAAAAAGGTGGAAATCGTGCTACAAACGTTGAGCAATCAACAATGCTTTGAGGGATGTATCTATACGGGAATTGAGATCAAAGGGATTTCCGATCATCGCTTCACTGGAATGAGGTTTGATTTACAATGCCTACTTTGTGAAAATCTGTAAACACAACGTTTCTGCTGCACTGAATTTGGCAAAGACGGAAATTGAAGGATTTATTGTGCCAGAAAGGGAACGTTTACAAAGTAAAGCGAAATTTAGAGAGCAAACTAACTAACTAACTATGCAAACACTTTTCAAAGATACTGTAAAAATAGTGCAAATGAAAAGTAAGCTACAGCAACTATAAGTGCTACAATAAGCCAAATCAAAAGATATTTACAATCAGTTTTTTTACTAAATCGATATCAACGTACTGAGCAAAACAGATGCTGAGACTTTAGATTAGGTTGGAGAGAATGAAATGGCACTGAAAATCGGTCTCGATTTGGTAAAAAAAACCGAATCTGAATCAAATGGAAACTGAATGGGAACCAAATGGAACCCAATGGGAACCTATTGTGAACTGAATGGAAACTAAATGGGGATCGATGGGAAACCGAATGGAGCCGAAGGGAAACCGAAGGGGAGCCGAATGGGAACTGAATCGGAGTCGAATCGGAGCTGAATGGAAACCGAAGGGGAATCTATTGCGAACTGAATGGGAATCAAATGGAAACCGAATGGGAGCCAAATGAGAACCGAATCGGAACCCAATGGGAACCTATTGCAAACTGAATGGAAACCAAATGGGAACCGAATGGAAACCGGAGGGAAACTGAATGGGAGCCGAATGGGAACTGAATCGGATCGAATTGGAGCCGAATGGAAACCAGATGGGAACCAAATCTGAACTGAATGGGAACTGAAGCGGAAACGAATTGGAGCCGAATGGAAACCGAAGGGGAACCTATTGTGAACTGAATGGAAACCAAATGGGAACCGAATGAAAACTGAAGGGAAACCGAAGGGGAGCCGAATGGGAACTGAATCGGAGTCGAATTGGAGCTGAATGGAAACCGAAGGGCAACCTATTGCAAACTGAATGGGAACCAAATGGGGACCGAATGGGAACCTAATATAAACTGAATGGGAGCCGAATGGAAACCAAATCTGAACCAAAGGGAAACCAAAGCTGAACCAAATGGGAACCAAATCGAAACCGAATGGAAACCTATTTTGAACTGAATGGGAACCAAATCGGAACCTTTAGAAAGCAATTTTTAAAACTTCTCGCAGTTCTCGTCAAATGATGATATCAGTAGGAACTAATTCTTTACGAAATTGCATTTAAAAAAGAACTCAAAAAGCCCCTCAGCTCAACAAAAAGCCATTTTTATCGCAAAATCTATAAACTGTCACCTAGAGAAAACGGTTGAAGGAATCTTCCTGAAAATTTGGCAACTTATGTAATTGAGTGTGCTCTATCTTTTTTATTGAGACACCAAAGGAGGCTTATGTGGAAGAAACAGTTCAAACGATGAGTCGGATTTGCCATTTTGCCATTTTGGACTCCTGTGTTTGGGAGTTTATGAACTTAACGAAAGAAAAGTTTTGTGGGATCTCTCAGAGTCATTTTATAAAGAAATAGTGGACCCTTTTGATGAAAAAAGAAAGAAAGCTTTATACCTGAAAGAAAATGCCTTTAAAGGCTCGGCGCTCGGCTCGGCGCCATTTCATTCTCCCCAACCCAATCGTATCCTAGCTATGAATGTTTTAGTAAGGATTAGTAAGGATTAGTCTTGTGTGAGAAGTTGATTCAAATATATTATACCAAATTCAGATATTGTTGCCCTGATGACGCAAAGACGAAGATCATTTCCGAGGGAAATCAAGTGCCAGTGATCGCTTTCAATCGCTTCTCCAAGAGCGCCGTCACGCTCACCTATCGATACGGTTTGTTTTTAAAAGATTAATAATTGATTCAATAACGTGAACACAATAGAGAACACAATAGAGAACACAATAGAGAACACACGCTTTACCCGTAAATTTTGATAACAAACCCCAAATATAGGAAAAAATGAGCATGATAACCAGTGAGAACAATGAACAATGAACTATTGAACTATTGAACTAGAGAACTATTGAACTAGAGAACTATTGAACTAGAGAACTATAGAACTATTGAACTATAGAACTATTGAACTATCGAACTATTGAACTATTGAACTATTGAACTATTGAACTATGGCTATTGCCAATGGGATTGAATCCTTGGAGATTAGGAGACAAGTCTTTCGATTAGGAGACAAGTCTTTCGATTAGGAGACAAGCCTCTTAACCAGTCAGCCACTTGGTTTGTGCGCGACGTTGTCGAAATCCCTCTAAAACTTGTCAATTGTAATCTATTGCAATCTTCTCTAATTTTTGCCCAATCTATTTACCTTTTATATCTTTCGATAGCCCTCACAAAATCAGACGAAAAGAAGATTTGGATAAAAACTAGAGCTGAGATTAGCTGAGATTACGGTAGTTGAGGTTACGGTAGTTGAGATTGCGGTAGCTGAGCTCTGACGGTAGCTGAGCTGGCGGTAGCTGAGCTGGCGGTAGCTGAGCCTGAGCTGTAGCTGAACTGGCGGTAGCTGAGCATGAGCTGTAGCTGAGCTGGCGGTAGCTGAGCTGGCGGTAGTTGAGCTTGCAGTAGCTGAGCTGGCGGTAGCTGAGCTGGCGGTAGCTGAGCTGACAGTAGCTGAGCTCTGACGGTAGCTGAGCTGGCGGTAGCTGAGCTGGCGGTAGCTGAGCTGACAGTAGCTGAGCTGGCGGTAGCTGAGCTCTGACGGTAGCTGAGCTGGCGGTAGCTGAGCTGGCGGTAGCTGAGCTGACAGTAGCTGAGCTGGCGGTAGCTGAGCTCTGACGGTAGCTGAGCTGGCAGTAGCTGAGCTCTGACGGTAGCTAAGAAAGAGGGGATATTTTAGATCGTACAAATACTTTACACTAAATCTTTTCAGTCGAAGCAACGATCCCTTCAACGCTGACAACGGGAAACATTGTGGCCACAAAGCCTACTTATTAAATGAAATTTTTGTAAAACGAATATAACATGTTTGAATTTAATGTAATATTTGTAATAAATTGAATTGAAATGTTTATTTTACTAAAATGCACAAGGAAGGAAAAACTATTCTCTACTCTGTGCTCAAGCTTGTAAAAGCATCTTTCTGGTGCACCGAAATCTCCATTTCTCCACGCAGCTTTGATATCTTAAGAAAAATGAAAATTTCATTGCACCAGAAAGGGTTTACATTGAGCTAAAAGTACGAAAAGTTCTCTAAATATCACAAATTTATCAATCGAGTAGACTCATCTCAGAAATCGGCATCGAGATGATCGTAGTAACGATTGGGGTCTAAATTTTGACGCTCAAACAGTCTACTTATATAGCGCTACTTCTACAGTAGCTGTGTAGAATACAGTATGATTTACAGTCTGATCTACAGTCTGATTTACAGTCTGATCTACAGTATGATCTACAGTCTGATCTACAGTCTGATTTACAGTCTGATTTACAGTATGATCTACAGTCTGATCTACAGTCTGATTTACAGTCTGATTTACAGTCTGATCTACAGTATGATCTACAGTCTGATCTACAGTCTGATTTACAGTCTGATTTACAGTCTGATCTACAGTATGATCTACAGTCTGATCTACAGTCTGATTTACAGTCTGATTTACAGTCTGATCTACAGTATGATCTACAGTCTGATCTACAGTCTGATCTACAGTCTGATTTACAGTCTGATCTACAGTCTGATTTACAGTATGATCTACAGTCTGATTTACAGTCTGATCTACAGTCTGATTTACAGTCTGATCTACAGTCTGATTTACAGTCTGATCTACAGTATGATCTACAGTATGATTTCCTGTAACCGGAACGCACCGATCGATTCGCTCTGCACAGCAAGGCCCTCACTTCAGAAGAGGTTCCCTTTTCCGGGTGAAGGCACTCGACATCCGTGAAAAATGTGTAGAATTTCCCTGGAATTCGAATGTTTACTGGATCCGCTCGTACAGATCCGCTCGTACAGATCGCTCGTACGCTCGTGGATCCACTCGTACAGATCCGTACTGTGTACACTATAGCGAATTCCCAGTCCACGACAAAGCATTCTACCATAAAAACAAAAAAACACCGAACTCGGAGACTCAACGAGTCTAGCTTGCACACACAAGTCCAACACGACTAGATCCTCAACTTATTTAGCTCTGAAAGATACGATATTGTCTAGATTCACCGTATTTTACCAAAGGCCTAGTACCAGTTTTAAAGGCTTTTCTATAGTGTGTTAATTCCAAAAGGCGTTAATAGCCAAAATTACCTCTCGACCTACTCAAGAATAAGCTGCTTCCCTAGGCACAGATCCACTTTAGAAGCCTTTAAAAGTACTTGGACTTATGGAGAACAGAAACAGAATAGAGCCCCGGCTCACAAAGCGAGGATTGTTTAGAGTTGGTGCTTGAACAACTTTCATTGAGTTTCATTGAATTCAACGAGTGGCCAGGCAACCCTCCGGACCTCAATCCAATGGACTATTCTATCTGGAGCCTTCTAGAGGCCGGTGCTTGTTCAAAACCCTCAACTCATTGAAGAAAGCACTTGAGAAAGCCTGGGAAACATATCCCTTACTTGCGTGCCACCATGGACATGCGGTGGCACGCAAGGTTAGAAACCTTGATTTACTTTGAGGCGATAATTGTGAAGCACCCTGTAAAGGACCAGGACCAGGTCTGGCCTTCCTGATCAGGTCCAGTCAGAAACCAAGAAGCTGGCCTGATCCTGGTCAAGAACCTAGCCTGGTTGAATAACCCTGGACTAGACATTGAGAATTATGATCAAGCTATCCGCTTTATCCCAAAAACCCACCTGGAACCACATAGGAAACAGGAATCAATGATGTCTCAAAGCGATACATCACCGGATCATAGACAAATGATAGCCATGCATCTTGTAGAGGAGCTTTCCTTAATCCTCGATATTTTCGCAAAATTTCCCCACTTACGAGCTACAGTTGAGCTTCACCGTTAAACGGAATACCGGACCAAAGCCGTGAACCTGAAAGTGGGAATTAAACTAGCGATTCTTAGCCTTGACATGTGCTATAGTAATTCCGGGGGAGGGGGGAGGAGAGGGAGGAGGAAGAGGAGGAGAAGAAGGAGGAGAAGAAGAAGGAGGAGGAGAAGAAGAAGGAGGGGAGAAGAAGGAGGAGGAGGAGGAGGAGGAGGAGGAGGAGGAGAGGAGGAGGAGGAGAAGGAGGAGGAGAAGAAGAAGGAGGAGAAGAAGAAGAAGGAGGGGAGAAGAAGGAGGAGGAGGAGGAGGAGAAGGAGGAAGAGGAAGAGGAGGAGAAGGAGGAGAAGAAGAAGAAGGAGAAGAAGAAGAAGGAGGGGAGAAGAAGGAGGAGGAGGAGGAGAAGGAGGAAGAGGAAGAGGAGGAGAAGGAGGAGAAGAAGAAGAAGGAGAAGAAGAAGAAGGAGGGGAGAAGAAGGAGGAGGAGGAGGAGGAGAAGGAGGAAGAGGAAGAGGAGGAGAAGAAGGAGGAGAAGGAGGAAGAGAAGGAGGAGGAGAGGGAGGAGGAGATGGAGGAGGAGATGGAGGAGGAGGAAGAGGAGGAGAAGGAGGAGGAGGTCGATGTGGGGTCGGTAAAGTAGCTGACGATGAGATCTAGTGGGGGATTAGAGTGTTGAGCTTCTGGGAAAAATTGGAAACCGGCTCAATGATCAACTGTGTACTGCCCCCCGAACTACTAGAGGATCTCACCAAGAATTTTATATATAATGTTAGACCTATAGAGAATGAATTCCATCATTTCGGCTCACCTCGACCGTGATATCCACAGCCTCTTTTGTGCCAATCGACACCGAACTCAACGAGGATTTTGATAAATCGAAAAACGTTTGCGTGGTCAAATGTTTCAACATGAAAAGATCACGTTGATAGGCCTGCAAAAATCAATTCAATCAATTCAATTCATCTTCTATTCCTCTTTTTCCACCTGATGCATTTGCGCGGAGTTCTCACGTTCGCGCATCGTTTGATCGACGAAAACTTTTGTCTTTTTTGGGATGTTCAATTTGATGTTATGAGCACTAATCTGGAATTTTTGATCTATAAAAAGATTTGGAGTTTCTTTGGAGCTGTACCTGAGCGTTGATCTCGATTTTCTCGTCGAGCTTTGCCAGTCGACGAAACAGTTTCACGATGAGTCCTCCTTCTGGATTGATCGTTTGAAATCAGAATTTGAAATGTTCCAACCGGCTCCTGGGATTTGTAGGCCAGGCCAGGCCAAGCTCTGACAAGCCCAAGGACTTTTGTCAGGGTCAGATCTGCAGGAAAGCCAGGTCAGACTAGGTCAGGCAAAGCCAAAAGTCAGACTAGGCTAGACAAGGCTGTTTAGCTAGACAAGGCAGGTTAGGCAAAACCAGGCTAAGGTCTGACTTCTGAGTTACAGGCTTCTGAGGTCTGACTTCTGAGTTTACCAAGACTTCTAAAGTCTTGGTCAAGTTCGAGTCAGGTCAGTCAATCCAGGCCAGGTCCTGGTTTCTGTCTTACAGAATCAAGGATCCTAATCAAGCAAGAGCTTCTGGATGTGGCTCTAGCTGGTAAAGTCGAGGCCTAGTTTCTGACCTGGCCCGGAAAAATTATACGCGCCGCGCCCCTTTTGCCATTGGCAATCTAACTTTAAGCTCAAAGCCAAAGAAAGCCAAAAAGATCCATTAAATGCAACACTATACAAATCAGGGTGTCCGAAAAAAGAGTGGTTTGGGTCTGGAAAGATTTTCTCGTAGATTTTTCAAGGCTCATCGTGGTGTCAAAAATGGTTTTGCCACAGGTTTTCATCAAAAGAAATCAACTTCATCTTGTTGTGTGAGGCAAAACCTGAGGCAAACCCGAGGCTAAACCTGTGGCTAAACCTGAGGCAAACCCGAGACCAAACCCGAGGCTAAACCTGAGGCTAAACCTGTGGCTAAACCTGTGGCAAAAGCTGAGACAAAACCTGAGACAAAACCATTTTTGACATCACGATGAGCCTTGAAAAATCAACGAGAAAATTTTTCTAGACTCAAACCGATGACCACTTTTTTTTCGGACACCCTGTATAGCAAGTTTTTGTTAAATTTAAGCCTTTGCAAGTAAAGATCAAGCCTTTTAATTGGCAATATATTGCCAGAATCAACCCAAATGCTTGATCGCTTGAATTTCTCTCAAATTTTCTGAATTTTCTGAATTTTCTGAATTTCAGAAATTTCTAATTAAACGATGAGAATTGAGAAGGATGAGAAGAACGAGAAGAACCTTTACTCCCGATGATCAGTCCGCCCTCTTCCCTTCCAAATGCCCCATAACGGATCCATCGAATCTCAGGCTCGACTCGGAGTTGATCCAACTGATACATGTCATTGTAGATTCGGACCTAGGATTGGAGGTTTTAGAGAATTCTAGAATTCTAGAATTCTAGCATAGAGAATTCTAGAATTCTAGCATTCTAGCATTCTAGCATAGAGAGTTCTAGCATTCTAGCATTCTAGCATTCTAGCATAGAGAATCCTAGAATTCTAGCATTCTAGCATTCTAGCATTCTAGCACAGAGAATTCTAGAATTCTAGCATTCTAGCATAGAGAATTCTAGAATTCTATTAGGTTTTCCAGTTATGAATGCGCGCCTGCTCTTGAACAGCGTACCTTAGGGCTATACAATTTTATCAAACCCTATTCTCTATATGTTGTTCAAGATTTCTTATTTATTACAACTTTTCGTGTTTTTGACGTTAAACTAATTCATTTTTGATTTAATTTCTGTGTTTAAATGACCGAGACGAAGTTTCGTCATCGTGCCAGTCTTTGTTATGACTTCAAATTGGGCAAAAATGCCGTTGAATCCCATCGAGATCTCTGCAGAGTATTTGGCGAAGATGCTATTTCGGTCGCCGATGGTTTCAACGATTTCGAGAAGGAAATGAATCTTTGGAAGACGAAGACCACCAACGACGACCTCCTGCGATCGATAATGCAGTACTGAAGCAGGCGATAGAAATGGATCCTCGACAAACGACGCGTGAACTTGCAGAAATATTTAGAGTAAGCCCTCAAACCATTTCTGAGCATTTAAATCAATTGGGGAAAACAAGCCGACAAGGGAAATGGGTTCCTCATCTTCTCAGCAATGCCGATAAAGCTACTCGTGTCACTATGGCGGGTATTCTTCTTCGTTTGGCAAAAAATACTGGGTTTTACGATGAAATACTTACTTGCGATGAAAAATGGATTCAATATGATAATTCTACAAGAAAAAGGCAATGGCTAGAACCTGGTGTGGAGCCAATACCAACACCAAAACCCGACTTCCTTGACAAGAAAGTAATGCTTACTGTCTGGTGGAATTCCCAAGGCATTGGGTATTTTGAGCTGCTGAAACCTGGGCAAACAATCACGGGTGAAACGTATGCACAACAATTGGAACGAGTGAACAATGTATTGCTACAAAAAGGCCTTGATCCTTCAAACATAAAGTTCATTCAAGATAACGCCCGTCCACACGTTGCAAAGATTGTTCAGGAAAAACTCGAAGAGTTGGGCTGGGAAACTCTCCCGCATCCGCCATATTCTCCGGATATTTCGCCTTCGGATTACCATTTATTTCGCTCAATGCGAAGCCATTTGGCCGGAAACAAGTTCAAAGAAGTTCAAGAGGTCGAAAAATGGATAGCCGACTTCTTTGCCTCAAAACAAGCCAATTTTTACGCGGAGGGAATTCATTCTTTGCATGGAAGATGGAAACAAATAATGTTAACAAATGGTGAATATATTGTTGATTGAGCTGTTAAACTTTTGTTTTGAAAATAAAGAGTTGTTATCTTAAAAACGCGCATTTATAACTGGACAACCTAATAGCATTCTAACATAGAGAATTCTAAAATTCTAGCATTCTAGCATTCAACACATCCAAACCTGATGATCCAAAGCCACCAGCACGCCCGAGTATTGCTTTGGGGCATAGAAAAATGAGTCGATTCCACGGATTGGTGTGTGCAGTTTGATCTAAAGGTTTATCAGTTTTTTTTTGCAAGTGATTCAACTCTCCTTACTACTCCTACAAAAGCAAGCTAACAATAAGTCGCTGACAATAGCTAACAATAGCTTGCTGTTGCTTGTAAGTTAGCTGTTAGCTTGCTTTTGTAGGAGTTGACTCCAATTTATCCACCTGATTTTGCCGTTTCCCCTTGAACGAGTAGAAAGTTAGCGTTTTGTCCGCACAAGCCACTGCTAGCTGAAAATTGCAATTCAAAAGTCGATCACAACTCTGATTTCTGATTTAAAAGATTTAATCTCTTTTGATTTGACTAGAAATATTCAGGCTTCCAGATACCGTATTCTCTCTAATAGTAGTACACTCTCTAATAGTATTGCGGTCCAGGAGGGGGTTGAAATAATAGTAGTGCGCACTACTATTAGAGAGAATACGGTAAACAGATTCAGATAAACACTTTCATTAGGGCAATACTGTAAGACAAGAGTAAGGCATACTGTAAAGCATACTGCATTTTAATGAACTTTTCCACTGCCTTCAAAGGCTTCATTCACTATATTTTACAATACGATAGTTTTGGCTATACAGTAGTGTTACGCTACTTTACTGTACTTTAGTCAAAGCTGCCAAAGCTTCCAAAGCTGCCAAAGCTTCCAAAGCTGCCAAAGCTTCCAAAGCTGCCAAAGCTTCCAAAGCTGCCAAAGCTTCCAAAGCTACCAAGGTGTCAAAGCTCTCAAAGCTGTCAAAGCTGCCAAAGCTGTCAAAGCTTCAAAGCTTCAAAGCTTCAAAGCTACCAAAGCCGTCAAAGCTCTCAAAGCTGTCAAAGCTGCCAAAGCTGTCAAAGCTTCAAAGCTTCAAAGCTTCAAAGCTACCAAAGCCGTCAAAGCTTCAAAGCTATAAATTCAATGAATGAATATGAATTCAAAAACGATTTTTCTCCCTTTTTTTCCGCCTTGAATTCAGCTTTTGAATGAGCTATAACACGTGTAGATTGGTTGAGTTTAAGAAAGTCTTCCAAAAAAAAACGGACAGAACATGAAAATCAGAAAATGCTGAAAAATCGTCTTTCTTTTCCACATTTTAATCATTTTTTTCTAAGCACTGGTTTATGCTAAAAATATGTGTTATATCTCAAAAAAATCACCCATCTTCTCTGCTTTAATTTGATACCAAAGCGCGCAGAAAGCGACATACTGATGTCGAGATATGAGCGTTTGTTTAAGAGTAAACTTAGACTAGGCGATGCGACTCCTATAGGGCTTCTATTAGAGTATTTATGGTACACTCAAAAAACCGCTCATATCTCGACACCAGTGCGTTTTTTTGGCACGCTTTGATATCAAATTAAAGTAGAGAGAATGGGTGTTTTTTTAAGATATAACACAGATTTTTCGCACTAACCAACGCTTAGAAAAAATGATTGAAAAATGATGAAAAATCGTCTTTCTTTTCCACTTTTTAATCATTTTTTTCTAAGCACTGGTTAATGCTAAAAATATGTGTTATATCTCAAAAAATCATCCATTTTCTCTACTTTAATTTGATACCAAAGCGCGCAGAAAGCGACGTACGAGTGCTGAGATCTGAGCGGCTTTTTAAGAGTAAAACTTTGAGAGTAAACTTAGACTACGCGACGCTCCTATAGGACTTCTATTAGAGTGTTTACGCTCCTATTAGAGTCTTTACGCTCCTATTAGAGTCTTTACGCTTCTATTAGAGTGTTTACGTTATTCAAAAGATCGACTAAGCAAACCATTTTCCCGAATTTCGTTATGCCGACAATGTCGGCTTTTGTGGTGATGATCGGCTTCTCGCACTTGATTACATCTCTTTTGATGGCGAAAATTTGCCCCTCTCTTGTCGTCACGAAAAGTTTATACTCAACATCGTAGACACCTGAATCATTTTCTTTTTTTATCATTTTTAAATTTCGCTTCACTTCCATGAACCTCTATTCTATAAACTTTTCTAATGTCATTGAAAAACTTTCAACTTACCATGAGGACAAATGAAGACTGGTGTACCCGGGAGTTGACAAGTTGAGATCACAACAAAAGCCTCAAAATAAAAAAATCGATTATCATTTCTAATTTATTAGGTACATGCATAAGAAATGCGGATTTCAACGATTTTCATAAATTTCCAACGATAGAAACCTGATATGGATGAATGTTTGTTATTTGTTAACCTGTAACTGTTGTTAACTTGTTAATTTGTTAACTTGTTAATTTGTTAACTTGTAACTGTTGTAAAACTATTTGAAAGTTGTAAATCTCCTCTACAAAATAGGCTAAAACGTGTTTCAATTGATCGAACCATTGAAGAAATTTCGAGGCCGAAATGCGAGTGACCAAAAAAGGGCAAAAAAGGAATCGAGTCACTTTAGGGACAAGTTTAGTCTGGTCAAAATAGAGTTAGCTTCCCAAAATTGAAGATTTAAAAAAAAAGGATAACTATTGAGTTGGTGAATTGAAAACTGCGGGCTATTGTCATATATGACAGTTTGAGCACTTTCTTCAAAAGAAACCCATTTTGGTGTCAATGGAAAAGTTGTAGAGAATCAAAAATCAAGCTTATATCCAAATTTTCAGAACGATTCAAAAATTGGCTTTCAAGAAATGCCAAAAATTAACGAATTTTCACAAATGAAATGACGGAAAAGGAGGGGGAGGGGGAGGGGAGGGGAGGGGGTTACGGTAACTGTCTGTCTTTCTGTCTGCCTTACTGTACGGGCATTTTTCCAGCCGTATTTTGACCAATATTTCATTTTTCATTTTGGTTTTCAAGAAATGCCAAATTTACGAATTTTCACAAAACTTGCATTTTAAGCGAAACTACGAAGTGTATCTTTTTGGAAATTTGGCTATAAGCCTAATTTTTGATGCTCTACAACTTTTCTATTGACACCAAAATGGGTTTCTTTTGAAGAAGGTGCTCAAACTGGGACAAAGAGGAATCCGCAAATTGCCTGTAAAATGGGCAGAAGTCGTCAATAATAATGGAAATTATTTGGAATGAATTGATGGTTTTATGTTGAATAAATTTTAGTTCAAAGTCCCGAAGTTTTCAATTCACCAACCCAATAATTTAAATCTAAAAGCCACGAATGTTGGCTGTTTGAAAGTTACAAGGAAAGAAAAATTTCTATCACTGAACCATCTGCGGAATAGCGCTGGACTCGCAAGTAGAACTGCAAGAAAGCTGCAAGAAATCTGCAAGAAAGAAACGAAAGAGACAAAACAAAAACAGAAAGGACATTTCTGCTATTTAAGTGGTCAAATTTTGTTTTTCTTTTAACATTATATTGCCAACGAAAAGCTCTACTCTACCTGCGAGTCGAGCGCGTAAATTTGTCCCTTTTCCGTGCCGATCAACAACACATCCAATGGAGACACATCGACACTGTTCTTTTTGATCGTCGAGAGGCATGTGATTGGACTCTAAAGTTGGCATTACCATTAAATACATTTGAAAAACTTCAACGACAACTCAGCTCTAACTGACTTTTCACTCGAGATCCTTAATATTCCTCCTAGTGCTACACGTCTCATACAGCGATTTGATAGACTTTTTTGGATCGGGATCGTTTAATTAAAGTAAGGTAAAGGCTTTAGTAAAGAGGATTAATGGTTATGTCTTGCTGAACAACAACAACGACGACGACGACGACGACGACGACAACGACAACAACAGCAACGACAACAACGACAACGACAACAACAACAACGACAACAACAACGACAACAACAACGACGACAACAAGGACGACAACAAGGACGACAACGACAACAACGACGACGACGACGACGACGACAACAACAACGACAACAACGACGACGACGACGACAACAACAACAACAACAACAACGACGACGACGACAACAACAACGACAACAACGACGACAACAACGACAACAGCTACAACAACAACAATGTCTTCAATAACTTATGGTACTTATCATCTTCAATAACTTCATCATCGCTCGAACTCATCTCGAATGAAAAGTCCAAAAAAGAAATGATTCTATTTTTCTGGCTTGCCAGTTGACACGTTTAAACCTGTCTACCGCGGCAACGACGACGACAACAACAACGACAACGACAACAACGACAGCGACAACAACGACGACAACAACAACAACGACGACGACGACGACGACAACAACAACAACGATAACAACGACAACAACGACAACAACGACAACAACGACAACAACGACAACAACGATAACAACGACAACAACGATAACAACGACAACAACGATAACAACGACAACAACGACAACAACGACGACAACAACAACATTGGCCTCTCTATCTACAAGAGAGTTAACATTTGAGTAATCTTTAAGATACTACTTGGGTTACTGTAACATCTACTAATTGGTTTACGGTAGCCGAGTTAAGCTTTAGAGTCGAAAACGAGTCGAAAAACTCAGCGCTTCAAAGAGCAACTTATAGTTAGCAATAGTGAAATCAATTTGATTCTAAAACATAGATCAGTTTAACATCGACTCTAAAACATTATCTATGCTGAATTACGGTAGATCGATGAAGGTCCTAGGCTGGGTTACGGTACGATTCAAAATGAGAATTCGAAGAAAGCAAAACTGTTACCGTACCGAATTCTGTAAAGATCTCGCGGCAAAGCGTTGTATGAGACCGGGTCGATCCTCGTCGTCGGATAGCAGATAAGTTTGTGAAATCGGGGTTAATTCTTTGAGCGAAATCTGAAAATGAGATGAAAAATTTGAAATGTGATAAAGAATTTTCGAATTAAACCTCTTCTTTCAAATTGCTGAGCACGGTTGTCAATTGTTCTGTGGAGAGTTCTTGTGAGCCGGCTTTCGACCATGCCTCTTCCTCGACCTCATTGATCTTTGTGCTTGGAACAGTGAACTGAAGAAGTTTCGTTTTTTTTAAAAAGGAAGAAGAAGAAGATAGCTATCATCTACTTAAAACATTCAATTCTTGAAAGCTACCGTAATCTTGTCTCATTTTATCCGATCTATCTACTTTTTGTCTGATTCTATGCGGGTTTACAAAGGATATCGAAAGATATAAAAGTAGATAGATTGAATAAAAACTCGAGATAAGATTAAGGTAACTTTCAGAAGTTGGCGCGACTTAGAAAACGTATCCCAATCCGAAGAGCTTGACAAAGCATAGTATACATCTACTATAGATAAAAGAGCAATGTCCGTTTGTCCGTCCGTTTGTCCGTCCGTTTGTCCGTCCGTTTGTCCGTCCGTTTGTCCGTCTATCTGTGGGTCCATTTGTCCGTCCGTTTGTCCGTCCGTTTGTCCGTCCGTTTGTCCGTCCGTTTGTCCGTCTATCTGTGCGTCCATTTGTCCGTCCGTTTGTCCGTCCGTCCGTCCGTCCGTTTGTCCGTGTTTGTCCGTCCGTTTGTCCGTCTATCTGTGCGTCCATTTGTCCGTCCGTTTGTCCGTCCGTCCGTCCGTCCGTTTGTCCGTCCGTTTGTCCGTCCATCTGTCCGTCCGTTTGTCCGTCCATCTGTCCGTCCGTCCGTTTGTCCGTCCATCTGTCCGTCCGTCCATCTGTCCGTCCGTTTGTCCGTCTGTTTGTCCGTCCATCCGTCCATCCATCCGTCCGTCTGTACATGCGAGTTCTCGGCTCTCCGTGAGCCGATTTACATAATTTTTAGTTCCTTAGGCTTAGAATTCTATGTAATTGTGCATCTACTTTTTCATTTTTCAAAAAGCAAAACTCACGACACAGCCGGGAGTCGAACCCGAGTCGTGTGGGCCGTAGACAAACGCGCTCCGGTCTGCGCGACGGCAACAGAAATCCTCTAGCGGGAAAAACCCATAGTTACGCCGTTTCTGGCTTGTTCACCTTATAAAATGGCTTCAAATTCTTGTAGATCAACAACGAGGGTCCCGAGGCGACAGCAACTGATGGAATTGTGTTTTGCTCGTTTATGAAGGTGACAAGAGCCGTGGGTAGTTCAGCGAGCGCCGACTCGGCTGCCAGCGAGACTCCTTTGAACACTTTGAGCTTCATATTGAATCTAAATCATGAGCATTAAGATTCCTGAGAAAATGCATTTCTAAAAAAGGGATTTTAGAAAAGTCAGTTCAAAAAAAGCATCAGTTTACCGTCATTTTATCGATCAGCCCAACTTTTAATATTATTTTCCGGTTCCGTTTCGGAAAGGAACCGAAATAAAACAAAAAAAAGGAACGTTTTCGTTTCCCATGTCTACTCACTACTCACCGACTCGTTCCCATATCAGCCACCACCAGCTTCACATCACCATCACCGCTTAAATCACCCAATCCAACACACGGATACAGGGTGTTCACCTGAAAGAGTTTGAGTTCAATTTGTTTCAGTTTCAATTAACTCTTAGATAAATTAAAATTGTAAAATTAAAATGCCAATAAAATGAAATTTAAATACTCGTAGCCGTTTCCTTTTTGTTGCCACAGCTTTAGAAGCCGTTCTCGTTTAAAAATTCCCTCACCTGTGCCGCATCGTCATGCAACGCATTCACCCATTTGTTTGTCATTTTACTCGTGAACGACGCAATTGTGGAAGCTTTTGAGTTGTTGTATAATTTTAAAATGTAGTAGATGACTCTTGAAATAGTTGTAAAATTCTCCGCATCAAAATTTTTGTTTTTGTTTCGTAATTGGGCGTTTCCATGGTTACTTGAAAAGGGCGCGGAAAGAAAATCACAAATTTTTCAAAAGGGGAATTTTGTAACTGTTTCTCTAAATAAAATGACAGCTAAAGATTCAAATTTTGCTTTTTGACGTCAGTGTTGTTCAACTACAAAAGAGCAACCATTTTTATCAGGTTAGGACACTTCGAAAATGAGAAAAATGACTAGAATATCACGCGATTTTACCGAGGTTAAAGTATCACAGAGTCCGGAAATAAATGATGAAAGATTTCGAAATAAAAAGACCGAATATCAGTATAAAACGAGGGTAAATGAAGGTCGAAACTTTAATAAAATCAAAAAATCCGAAAGTTGATCAAGATCAAGAAAAAAAAAAATATTTGGTTGATCAAAGAAATCCCTAAAATTTGGCTAAATAAATAGAAATCTGAATGAAAAATAAACTTCAAAATGCTTAAGAAAATTGGTGCAATTGAGCGATGGCCTTCGTGGCGGCGATTCGCACAAAAATGCTCTCATCTTTGAGAAGCGACACCAAACCTGAAAAAGAAATGAATAAAAAGTTTTATAGAATTAAGTTTTTGGTATTCTTTGCAAATTCTACATCCTCTTTTAACAACCCAGCTTACATGTACTTTAATTACAATTAGCCAAGTAAATGATTCGTATTCACAATTGTTTTGTTTAAAATTTGATTAATTTGATAGAAAAATCGACTAACCTGTAAAAATCAATTCCTTGCTAATGGTGGCTCGTAGTGGAGGTGTAAGGCAACCAAGTAAATGTCCCGTGAAATGTGCAGCATTAACTGAAACAAATAATTTCTGCGTGATAAAAGAAAAGAGTAACAAACCCCTAACAATGCTAGACGTCGACTTAAAATAATTAGAACAAGAGAGTGCGTATGTATTTACATAATCCGGATAGGAGAGTGCCTAGAAATAAATCATTACGCAATACGAGCAAATAAAACCAACTAAAATCATGGCTACATCCTTTTGCAACAAGTAGTATGAGACTGATGGGCTTCCATTTGGCATAACCGAACGATCGATCAACTGAGAAAGGGGATCAGAAGTGAAGAGACGACCGACGACACGTAGACAGGTGCCACAGGCCTGAAATAGCGGAATTAAAAGTTTTCGATGATGTTGTTGAACTAGGTCAAATATTTGACTACGCTGGCTAATTGTTAGTGCTTATCAAAAGCATTCCAGCTCTAAATTTGAAAAATACGTTTTTAAAGCTTTCAGTGTTAAATTTTAACCAAGACCAAATTCTACCTGTTGCACTGGTTGATCATCTTCGCCAAAATGCAGCAAAATTGAGACAATGTTTGAGTGCAATTGGATGAGGAATTCAGGTGTTTCCTAAAAAAACACAAACATTTCTGATAAATAAAATTCCCCACTTCCCCAACTCTTCGTCCAAGTTCGCCGAATAAAGAAAATGCGGATGCTCGCAGAAAGGCGGATTCCTAAACATGTATAATAATACATATAATAAAATACTCTAAAAACAAAACCTTCTCAAAGCAAGGCCGAATCTTCAGCAGCACTTGTGGGAGGATTTCTTTCAATTGCGAATCAGCGGCGCGTCGAACCAATTTGTTAAGTGAAATGATCGCCTCCATTGCCACCTGAAAACAAAAAGCTGTTCTAATTGTCATTGATAGAAGAACTAACAAAATTTTCACACACTCCCGAATCCCAAACAAAAAACCTTAGAAAGTTAACGTAACCAGTTTAAAGGTTTTCCAGTTTGCAATGAAAAAACCCTTACCTCAAGGCAAAGGGGATAGTTCTAAAATGCAATAGCTTAAAGTTTGAATAGAAACCGATCAAAGTACCATGGCACTTCGCAAGCTTTTAACCCTACTCTACCTAGTGCAAATGAGTTAATTTTGACAGTAGACAATAGAAGCTAACAACTCAACTTTAAATTTTTCATTTCAAAACTGTTTCACCTCATCTCGTCGATCACCGATATCATCTAGTGCTTGCATAGAAGCCACAACAGCTACTGCGGTGAATTTTGAGGCCGTCTTCAAATTCACACATTCACCAATCTCGCCAAGACCACGAACGCAAAGCTAAAAAAATTTGAAAAAAGAGCAAAAGTTTATTTAAAAATATAAACACTCACTTTTCTTATCCTCAAACTTTCATCTTTCAGCGTGTTTTGCAATGCGTTTACACAATCGACAAGGAGGCGCTCGTCAAATCGTCCATCCTGATTCGGTGATTTCTTGATCAACGCGGATACCACGGTCACAGCCGCCAATCGTAACGGTTCCTGTTCAGATGTCACCTAAAACATAAATCATTGTTGCTTAAAACATTCTAACGATGCAAACTAGAACTTTATTTTGCAATTTGGCATTTCTGTACAATGACCATAGTTTCTTTCAAGTAGCACCTTTTCCATAAGTCGATCAGCGAGCGGCTCTGCCCATTTTGGCATATGTTCAACGATTGCACAGGTGAGAATGGCGATCTAAAAGAAAATATAAAGAAATAGCAACAAAAACAAACAGAGTTCAAGAAATTATTCGCATCTAAACATTCACTCCAGGATCGTAATGTGTTCATTTCTTCAATGATATCCGTTAGCCGCATTCGCTAAATTGCTTTGTTACTTTTGAAGACCTTTCAGATGATCTTTCAAAAAGACTTCTAAAGTTTACTTGTAAAAGCGTTCTAATGACAGCAACAGCAAGCCCTGCTGGTTTTTCCATAGAACGACGAAGCTCGGCAGTGATCAACAAAGGGCTGCTAACTGAAAATTATAAGAACTGACAATTTAATCTTAAAAGTTAGTACCTCCAGTATCTCGAGAATCCTTTTGAACAACTGGGAATTGTGTGCCAGAGACTGAGGTGAGTAGTTGAATCAATGTGGCCAAGAGGATTGGAAAACGCTCCTCGATCGCCGATTCTGGCTCACCACCCTAAATCAAGTTTTAATTAAGTCTATTTTCAATAATTAATTCAAACCTTTAATAATTCCGTCAAAGCTGATGCATAAACCAATGGCTTCGCGTTGCATACTTTCACGGATGTACCGCCGCCAATTTCCACAAGCTAAATTAAAATTCTGAGATGCAGAACCAAGGCACAAATATCAAAACTTACATCATATGGATGAACAAAACTTTCAAACATCAACTCCAAAATGTAGTCAAGTAGTGATGGGAAAAGGGCTCGCTCCCGTGAGATGCACTCCCAAGCATCACATAACTCTCTAAAAAAATTATTGATAGTTATTTTTAAAATAGGATTACTTAGAATACGGTAGAGGTTGTTCAAGCAAAACGTCGATGACAACATATTGCTGATGAGAGTAAAAAGCGCAGAGTGAAGCGAGAAGATCGGTGTACCTAAAACGGAAGATGAACATTGATCGCCAAAATCCCAGAGTAACAAGAAGACCAAAACTCACGTTTGCACACATCCATGTATCTCGGGAAGCTTTGAAAGGATTGACGAAACGATGGTGGCTCCCTAAAAATAAAAATAAACACTCAATGAAAACAATTTAAGCCTAATTACTTACTTCATTATGCAAAGTGGCTCCTCGACATGCTAGAGAGTTCGATAGTAGTTGAGCGGACGCAGATGAAACCTTAAATAACTGGGTTTTAAATTTTTGAACTCCAAATACATTCCGTTTTTAGTGTGTTGCTTTCAAGTCCTAATAATGAGCTTTTGCCAACCTGGTTTTGTCTGTCACCGAGCATGTCAAAGAGTGCCGATAGATAAGTTTGTTGTTGTGAAGGAGGGAGATTTGCTTCGATTATCTTCAATTTTTATGTTTCTTGTTTTTTTTCTTATCAACTCACTTGTGCAATGTGCTTGACAACTTTCTTCGCCGTTTGGCCATCAAGTTTTCCTTCTTCAAAATTGTACTTCTCCGTGATCTCAGTGATCGAAAAGGCAGCAAGGTCCGTTTCCCGTGAATGACCCTAAATAACAAATCCTTTTTAAAATCTAACAGTTATACGATGTGTGTTTTTAAATATTTACATTCTTTTCTAGAAATAAGTGATTTTTTTAAATACCTTGAAGATGTAGGCAAGACGAAGGGAGCTATGCAAGGCGAGCAATGCTTGAACTCTCACTGAATGCACTGAATCAACCGCTCGTGGAGCCATTCTGGCCAAAATCGATGAGAATGGAGGGAAATCACTTGCATGCTAAAACTTTTAAATCATCAAACAGTGAAAAATAAATACCCCCAATTGGACATCTTCTGCGCTCTCAAAGTAGACTCGTAAAGAGAGAACGGTCAAATCGATAGCTCTCAATCGCTCATGATCGGCCGAACTTCCGTAGAATGTTTGAAGAATCTAGATTTTAGCTCATTTTTAAGCTTGTCGTAAGAACCCGAGAAAATGCACAAACGATACCTGCAAAATCTGCGTGACAATCGACAAACTTGAATTGTTTCGAATGATCGCCTCTATGGCACATCCCAAATGTGAAACGGTCGCATCCATGATCGTCGCCGAGTCCTCCTCTTCGTTCTTGAATTTAAGAGAAATAAAAAACAACTATTCTGTGTAACTAACCGTCTTTAAACCGCTCTTTTCTCTCGAAATCGGCAAGATCGTTTTGACCAAGATGTTGGAAAGTTCCCAAACTTCGTTGTTCGTCAAACGCGGCATAAGACATCTAAAAGACTATTGTAGATTTTGAATTTTCGTTTTCCTTTCCTTCTGTACTACTCAAAATACAAAGTATACTTACACTAAAGAAGCAACGGCTCGACAAGCAAGTAGACGAATTGAGCTTGACAACGTTTCGCTTGTTTCAAGTTGAACACAGTCCTAAAATGTGAGTTAAACAAGATTATTCTATGAATACGTACCTTTAAAAACGTGAACAATTCGTTTCGCAACTCAAAACTATAATCGGGTCCAATGCGTGTCGGAGATAAAGCTTCAGCGATTAGACGAATTGTCTCCAATAGAGCTTCTCGGACGACAACTTCTTGCTAAGACAATAAATTTAATAGAATTCCATATTAACCAGCATTAAGGTTAGCATTTGCTGCAAACATATCATGGATGGATTATACAGTGCTTTATCAAGACTTGCTTTGTGTTGCGTACAAGAAATACCTTTTGATTCGTCATGTAGGTGCGTAGAAACGGAACAATTGTTTGCTCAACTCGTTGTGTTACGGCTTCTGTCGGACAAGAAAATGCCACATGCCCATAGCAAAGCATTAACGTAGCTCTCAACTGCACCATCTCGATGTCCGTATAGGAACCCTAGAAGATCACTTATAGAATTTGTTAATATTAGCTTAGCACTTACCTTTACGAATCCAAACCAGCTTTGATTCTTCTTTGAGTGCTCCCATTTGCTAATATTTTCAAGTTGAGTCTAAATTTCTATCATTTTAGAAGTCCATAAAAAGTTCACCAAGATCAAATCCATATGAATTCTAGCGATGGCGCCAATGCCTTTTGCGCAACCAACTCGTTCAGCAGTCGTCGCGTGATTAGTTGAGCTAAACAAAGTTTATGCAACTTGGATTAGTCAAGCAATTTTTGAAGATTCACGTTCCCCAAAAAACGAACCGGAACATCAATTGCGTGTGATCGATGATGAAAGTCGTATTAGCGATTGAAGAGAGTACCATGCTCAAACAGCGTAACGCGAATGCCTAAACCTTGATCATATGAAAAACACAGTACGGATGAGACTTGTAGCATTCTTCGCATTCTTACTAGCACGACACTGGCACCAAATTAACAAAAAACCTTTTCGTGTTGCATCTCCTTGTACAACTCAAGTTGTTTTCCGAAAGCAGCCGCCACTTCTTGCCGCCATTCTCCGTCATTCACCGACAGAACCGTTACTGCCAGAAACTCCAGCACAGCTTCGTTCCATCTAAAGGCAAGCTAATTATAAGGAGCCTTAAAGATCGCATAGCTTTTATATAAATAACACCAATTTCATTCAGCTTGATCCAAATTAAATAATACCTATTCAAATTAGTTTTAGCAACGGTATGAACAGATTTCCAGTGCTTTCAACGTTAAATGTGCAATTCCCAGAAAAAACACAATATTATAAACCAAGCATTAGGAACAGGAATGCTCCAAAACATTAAAAAACCAATAAATGACGTCCAAGGCCAAATTCATACTTTAGAGCATTCCTGCTTAAAAGTGAAAGAGATTAGTCCCTCTTCTCACTCACCGTTTATTCCCATCCGTATTTGGCTCAATTCTATTTAAAAGTGTTGGCAAGTAAAAACATATCTTACCTCGAGACTCGTCGCCATTTGGCTTCGCCAACTTTTTGTGAATCCGTCCAAACACTCGTGGAAAGTTCTAAATTTGAAGTGAGGCTGCCAGGAAAATTTTTTCAAACCTTCAATCAGCGCGCTCAACCCGTCTTGATGTTCGGCGACAATCGCACTTATTGATGGATGGAGCCAATCACCAATTTGTCCGAGAAACCCGAGTGTTTCACGCGCTCTCCTGGATACATTTAATCAAAGATGTGTGGTTTATAATGTTGTTTACCTTCCTAGTAGACCATTCAGTGGCGCACAACACATCATCACAAAGAGACGAGCAAAAACTTGGTACTTTCCAGCGACTTTTTCTAAAACATATAATAAATACTTATACAGTGTAGCTATTGAACACGATGAGACTACAGTAGATTAACAACCTTTCTCAAATCCTTCTTGATAGTCTATCGTTTGTCCCATTTCTTTTGTCTTCACGATTAGCGTTCGTAAACATTTGCAGAGATCGGCCATCACCGGGGTGTATTCTTTCACACAGATGAACTCCAATAAATATGGCCAGAGAAGCTAAATTAAGAGAAAAAGTCAACAATGTCACAATTTTACTAACTCGATTCGCACAAGATGACGTTGAAGCAATTGTGTGAAGAGCTTGAGCACATTGCGTTCTCAATTGATTCAATCCGGCCACATCATCCGTCAATCCTCGTTTTCCGACCTGAATTTATGCATTTATTAGAAAATGGGGAGAAATCAACTTGATCATCTGATTGATTTATCACGTTCCGGACCAAAAAAGCGATAACATGTTGACCACCCTCAGCATCCACATAAGCATGATCAGAAAGCGCCACGCACAATTGAACGATTGCTCTGAAATGTTTACATTCGAATGTAAACCGACGGCTTGTTATTTCAACCAATAACATTTTTTCAAGCATGCCTCTTGACTCGAATCGTCGCGACTTGTTCGGCAGCCAACAACCGTCTCAACCCCATCATCACTAGCGAGCGTTTATCCTCCATCGATGAGCCTGAATTTAGATTATATTTATATATTTTTTATCTTACAATTTTAATCGTACTTTAACTCCTTTAACACGGATCATACTAAACACACCTGAAGAGTTGAGAAGATGTCGCATCACGTTGATTGCTCCAAGTTTTTGCATATCCTGTGTATGTTGCATTTTGTGCAAAAGAAAGTAGACAATTCTATCAGCAAATCGATTTGCTAAAAGTAGACATAAATCATAAAGTATCAACAACAATACCTGCAACATGAAAACACCGAAAGGCCTCTGAGTGATTCTTGATGGCCGATTGGGAGGGACTCGCATTTGAATCATCCGGGTCGAGGCAAGTATGCGGAAAAAGAACAGCCAACAATTCGTCAAGATATGGATCCAATGGCACAATATCGTCCATGCATGTGGCCTCCAAGAAGCGGCATAAACCCTATAAATCAAAAATGACGCTAGTTTGTCATTTTCAAGGAGTAAAAATTAAATCTAAATTTAGATGAAAAACTCCTACCTGTGTTATTGTATGATTCTCGGAGCTCGACTTTTTGTACAAACCCAGAAAAGTGGTCACCAGTTTCTTCAAATCGTCAATCAACTAAATTCATATTTAACCCGGAAACTCAAAGTATGAAACCTTTTGTTTTCGTACCATCAAACACAGTTCACCGATGCATTCAGCCGCCTCAGCTCGTACCTGAACCAGCCCCAATTTTAGGGAACCTTTCCTTATTCTCGCTCACCTTTGAATCTTTTGAGCTCATCCAGGTGAAAATCACTTCAAATACCGTCTCAAATTGATCACAATATGTCAAACGATTCGTCGAGCTTTGTTCTTGTGCAATATTTGTGTCCTCTTTGACTTCTGAAAGTAAAATTTGAAGGTTTAAATTTTCCTTTGTCCAGAATTACCTCGAACTGCCGATTCGCTTTCTCGTACAGCTTCACAAAAGTAGCAAATCGCACGAGCCCAACTGCATCTAAACATTCTCGGTCATTTTGTGCTTTCCAAGCAAGGGCAAAGTCACTCTATTTCATTATTGCAAAGCGACAAACGAATTAATAAATTATAAATAATCGGCTAGTATTACTAGTTGGTATTCAACGCGCAAACGAGCTAAAAAGAGATTAACAAAAAAATGGTCCTACCGTAAAGCTGCAATCTTTCCTTCTACGACATGTGACTTTACTCTTGCTTTTAAGATTAGCATTCTCAAAAAAAGCGATTTTGTGTTAACCTCCTACGAATTACCTTAATGTATCTCCACGAATGTTCGGCAATAAAGGTATCGCTCGTGAAAGAACATCCGTCAAGAAATGCACGAATCCTTGGGCTAAAGACAAATAATTTTATTTTAAATGTTTAAAGCATACGATTATGCTCGGCAATTTTGCCCAAAACGACTACAACATATCGATGGGGAGAATTGGCGAATCCAGGTGGAAACTTCTAAAATAAAGAATAAGGAATATTTTATGCAAGAGTTTAATTGAAGTGATAAAACTCTACCTGTAACACGGCGTCAAGTACATGTGAGACGTGTTTCTGGCTTTTCCCAATCGTCACAAGTAGGTCTTTTGATGCATCAGCCCATTCGAGTTCAGTATCCTAAAAACCAAAAGAAATTGATGCTACAAGTGAATGATAAACTACCTTAGTCATGGATAACTCCTGCGTCGCTAGATTAATCACTAAAAGCATCGTTTGCTCGTCGACCGCATCAAGAACTTTCTGAATTCAAAACTGTAAGAAAAAGAAAAATTGCGGCACTTACAGAATTTGAGACAACATCCGTCATCGAGCGCAACAAAAACGATCGTAAATGAGGGGCAATCTAAATAAACAAATTATTCGTTTGAACATACACAAGTAAATTAGTTTATCAATACACTGGGACTGGTTGAATGAGATAAATCTCATTGCGTTCAACTTTTAACCAATTCCACATCCGTTACCTTGTTATGTTGAATCAAATAAGTGTGAATGGTCTTCAGGGTTGTACGGTATTGATTTTGGCCCAAGTTCACCAGTGCTTCGGCTACCTAAAAGCCATAATTTAAAACTTTTCATATACAAAACTGTATAACGTTCAGACTTGATTTTACCTCAGTTTTCACGTCATCATTGGCCGCTCCAAGTGTGTCAAGTAGTGATGTGATTAAGTCTAAAAGGGTCAATAAGTAAACTTGAAGACACAAGGACCTTATTTTTGAACGATTAACGTTTTCTTGTCATGATTTTTAAATCGTTCTTATTTTTTTGCAGTTTTGTGTATAAAAACGAACCTTCAAGCGATTGAATCGACATAATATATCACGGTCATATGATTGAAAAGCTTCTTTCAAGTACGGTTTCTGAAATTTGAACTAATTAATGCTGGTAGAGAAAATAGAACGGAATAATTCTATACTGAAAATTTGCCAGGTTTTTCAACTCCAAATTACGTGTAGTACGAATCTATGGCCCTGACTTTGGGTAACAGATAACAAGAGCTGGTCAAATTAGCTTTTTATGCCGATAGCTAGAAAAAGGTTCGCCTTTAAAATGCACTTCTAAGAGTGTTATTTTGTCGACCCTTGACCGAATGCATTAATATTCCTGCCCATTATGAAACGATCATTCTCTACCAATGTTAGCGGATAATTTCTGTGCTCTCGTACAAACTAGAGAACTACGGTATCGTAGGCAAATATTCACACCAAAGGTCTATTAATGTCCAACCAGTCAAACGTAGATTGACGCACAATTAACGAAGATTTATTCTAACACGATCAGCTGAAATAAAGATAATACCCAACCAAAAAAAGTTATAAGATCACAGGTAACAATTATGTAACAGAAAAATTAAGCAAAAATACGAAAAAAAAACAGTACAATAAAATAGAGATCTAAATGATTCAAGAATCCTTCCATTCATCTCCTCCCTCATCAGCTCGCGCTGCCGTACCTTCATCGTCCAAATCTTCGTCATAGTCTACAGGCTCCCAATCTTGAAGTGGTTGGTCCTCTTTCTCGCGACGTGTCTGCTTCCTTTTCATTTGTTGAGCTGCCTAAAAATGTTGATCTGTAAATAGCAACCAAATTGTATTTTTATTCATCCAATAGGCTCAAAACATCCTTCACCGCTTCCTTGATTCCTGCTTCAGCTCCGAGGAACTCCTTGTGGATCTTCTCTGGCAAGCATTTGGTCATATTCTTCTAAATGCTCACATGTTATTCCTTTCGACTAAAATCATTTACCAAGTCAGCATTGGTGATCTCTTTGATGTAAAAGGCGCTTTTCTTCACAGCCGACCACTTTTTCTTCTCTTCGATTGTATTACCTTCTTGATCAATCAACAAAATCTAAACCAAACGAAACTTTACTTATGTGTCGTAAAGCCTACTTGATTGATAGCCAGCTGAACAAGATAAACTCCCGCGTAGCGAATAACCGTGCCCAACGAATTGGGGCAACGGCTTTTTGGATCATCAATATCCGCCATGTTGTTACAATTGGCCGAGCCGAGGACCAAAGTCATTTCACCAACCGACTAAAAACAAATCTTAAAAGCCCAGTATTCTCTCTCCTACCTTGATTTTCTTCTGGGGAATCAGCACCACCTAAAACAAAAATTCAATTAACTATTAACCACGGATACAACAAGAAACAAATATTTGTCAAAAATTGCCTTCTTCCATATATCTGTGTTACAAAGGACATAATTGTGATTGAGGATCGTACGCATCATTGTCGATTGTCCAATTACATTTTCACATGTGAGGCATTGAATTGTGCATCTAAATTTCAAGATGTATAACTCCAGACGCCGCCACTAACGTTTTAATATTTTGCTGCAGACGAGCTTCCTCTATGGCGGCTTGTTTACGATCTCTCATGCGATTTCCTCGATGTAATTCGCACTAAATAAAGTTTAGATAGAAAAGATTGTGATCATACTCGTTGTGTAAATTCGTCCTCACTGAGACAATTGATCACTCGAATGGCTCGTTCGATGAGCATTTCTCCGTGACGGTTCTCCATTTCCCTTTGCTCCACCGAATCGCTGACAACCAAGAGAACTGATTTACTTCCGGCTGCTCTTGCACGACCTAAATAGCATAATTACCTTGTTCGTACACCAAATTTAGTACCTCTCTTTTGCATTTCTGAAATAGTGCTTCCAGTCATATTGTATTTGATGATCAAGTTACAAGTTTGTACGTCGAGACCCTCTTCAACGACGGAAGTTGAGACCATTATCTACAGATAATGATGAAATCGCTTGTATAATAGAGTGCCTTACCTTGATTACTCCATTGTTAAAATCTTCAAGCATTTGCTTTTGTTCGGTTTGCGTTTGATTCGAAGCCTTCTTGCCCTTGCTTTGCGCACCTAAAAATGATGTTGTATTTATAGCTACAAGAAAAACCAACTTGTGACAAATCCAGCGATTTTGTAACGGCCTCCACCGGTCAACGATTCGAAGAACCTGTGAGTGTTGATACACTGGTAGAGACGTTGAGCCGTAGAGCGTTCTTTGACGAAAATCAAAACTCGACTGTCCGGGTTTGCTGTCAGCTGATCTTCAAGCCTCTTCTTTAGTTCTTGCACGATTTCTTTCTTTGACAAATCTTCATTTTGACTTCTTTCGTGCAGCGTGCGTTTCATATCTGAATTAAGTTTAAGTTCATTCCTTAGATTTATAAAAACTTACGTCCAAATAGCTCATTGAGAAACTCGTTCCTTTGAATATTTTTGAAAGTCTAAATTAAAGATAGTTTTACATGTGCTCCGCAAATAATTACCTCTTCCAGATAAGCCAGCGCATACACTGACGGCATAACCTCATCGATCAACAGAGCGCCAACACAAACCTGTATTTGGTTGAAAAAAAACAATAAAATTTTCTAACCTTCAAGAATCGAAGTCCATTTGTAAGTGTAATCTTTAAGTGCTGCCCCAAGTTGTGCTGCCTAAATGAGAGTTCAAATATATTCGATCAAAGTGATTACTTGTTGATTTTATCCATCATCTGTGACACTATGCTTTCGTAACGAGTAGGGCATCTGAGGCTTGAACCAAGGTTAATTTCTCTCTAAAGTTAAATAATGACAATCAATAACAAAAGAACAAACCTCGGTGAAAATGGGATTGCTGCCAGTGGTCAACTTTTTCAGCTCGGGTGCCACTTTGCTCACCTCGACCTCTTGCATAGTCGTTAGGAGCTGCGTACTAAAATCAATTCACTTAACTGCCTAGTCGTACGCAAAAAAACCTGAAATTGACACCGTCGCGATCACTTCGTCGGCACCGTTTAACCTCTAAATTATCATAAACGAGTTTATTCGTAAATCCAACCGTCATCTGGAAGTTGTACATATCTGTTGAGTTCCTCTTTATGCTTCTGCACGGTGCAGAGACGATGAGCATTCATTGAGGCGCACAATTTGTAGATGTACTCGCAAACAGCGTCTGTATTGAGTGCCGTGGTATGTCCGCCGCCTGTACCCAATGAAGCAGTAAGACCAACCACCTAAAATCTAGCGTAAAGCAGCTCTTATAGTTTCAAAGAAATCAACCTGTGGGGCATTTCTCGGTTCCATTTTTTCGCCATAATCCTGCAGCAGATCCATCAAAATGTTATAGGCACTCTCTTTCGTTGTGTGGTGGCACTCATCAAGCATGATTAAGGTCAGATCGCAGAGGTAGATTCGATCAGCTCGTCGAATGGACTTCAGCATATTACTAAAAAGATTGTTTCTTTTTAGTAATATGTTACAAGGTTTATAACTAACATCAAAAGCTGTGGAGTCATCACGGTTAGATGAGCCCCAAGAACCAACTCCTTCCGATTGTCGTCTTCTCCAATCGCAGCATTTCCGTGCATTCCAGCCACGAGATATCGCTAAACTATTTATTAGTTGGATTAAATGTTGAAAATTTACTCCGCCAAAGAAGTGATCGAACGCCCTTTGTTGTTGATCAACCAATGGAACTTTGGGAACAATGAACACCACCTAAAGTTGGCGTTTAAAAAGTTTACAGCTTGGACTTACTCTTGCCGGCCTTCCATCACGCTCCGCTTGATCCAAATGTTGTCTTGCAATATGAGCCGCCACAAAGGTTTTTCCGGATCCAGTTGGTGCAACAACGACGACATTTTTTCTAAAACACAAATTCAAGGCCGCTATTTTTGCAAAACATACCCCTGTACAGCGGACTCGGCAAGCTCGTGTTGATAAGCGCGGAGAGTAGGCGGATCTCCAGGAACGAATCCACTCATTTCCCGCTCCCGACTCCCTAAATTTTATAAATCAAAAGCCCGTACTTGAACCATACATTTTTTAAACATTTCAGAGCCGGACACCTTTTGTGAGCGACAAGTCGTGACTTCTTCACTGTCTTCTTCCATAATGTCTCCGTGGTCTTTTTGCTCAGCAAGCATTCGTTGTTGTGCGCGAACTTCTACAAAATGCGTGTTTTTCAAAATGCAAAAGTCTCCAAAGTTTACCGAGTTGTTGCTGATAATCTGGCATGAAAACGGTCAACATAGCACGATTACGCGGGCATCCTTTCACTTCACTAAACTATTTCGTAGCAAATAGCAAAAGTTCTTGAAAGCATACTCGATGAAGTCATAAATCCAATCTTCGCCGTCAAGAGCCTGCTGATGGCATCTCGGAAGGTTCCTCAAAAAGACACGAGCAAAATAGCGATGATCGAATTCTAAGCATTTTAAGTTTTAAAACTTTGCAACTAAAAAAACCTCGTGAATAAGACCGTGGATCCATGCCCTTCGCTTGGCAATCAAGTAGCACATCTTCTCGGAGTCGATTTCTAATGTTGGTCCGATTGTCATTGAACTCATCAAGAAAGGCACGATAGGAGTGATGTTTTGGCTCAATCTAAAATAAATTTGCATTAAGAAAAGCAAGAAGCAAAAACCTTGTCCAAAAAGCCGTATAAGTGCAACGAAGCCGCAACTTTATCCAAGAAAAATGGGTCATCGTCTCGCATGAAAAACTAAAAACACGTCAGTAAATTGTTTAAACCCAATGCAGAAACCTTAACAAAAGTGTTGCAAACTGGATTGTTGTTAACAGCGAGGCCATGCGCGTGGGTGTACAAATTTGGTGCGACTGAAATTACAATTTAAAAAAAGCTACTTTTAAACAACTACTTACGTTCTTTAACGACTTGATCAACCATTAAAGTGCCTTCATTTGTGCCAAAAAGTTCGTGCAAGGCATAATAGGCCGTCTAAAAAGATAGTAGCTGATACAATTCGCGACTTTTACCAAATATTCCCGTGCCTTGTCACCACACGTCAAATTCTGGTTGATCTTCTGCATACGATTCTTTCCTAGGAATTTACAATTAAAAAATTATTTAAAAACTACCGAAAAACGTCTTGAAATTGTTGAAAATTGACCATTGCTTGGTTTTCTTGAACTCGTCAAGAATCTCATAGAAGAAAAGGCGAAAAAAGGCGAGACCTTTCTAAACAAAACGATTGTACTTTTAAACAGAATATTTGGGGTTTGATACATAATGAAATCAAGTCCTTTGCAGGTTTAAAGTGAATCTTTTAACGCCCAATGCTTGCAATAGCTCGAAAAACACTCACCTCATTCACTTCTCGACCTGAATCTTTGTTCTTCACCGGTGGAAGCCAAACCGCGAATTCGCCTTGTGCCATTCCTGGAAATTAAAAAATAAGCAAGAAATCAAATTGAAAGAAAAAAAATTAAAGCAAAGAAAACAATGTTATGCACTGAAAGGTTTCCTAGCATAATGCTTACGTGATGTTATTGTTTTCGTGCACAAAATGCCAATAATCAGTGAAAAACGTTCAGAATCTTTTTAGGCCACCCTCGGCACAATATCATATCGTTTCCTAGGGTATTTTCGTTTTACAACAAACGAGAAGCACTTCAAAAACAAGCTTAAGATGAAGATTACTAACAAAGAAGCGAAATGCTTACGAAATAAAAATTGGTGGGTTTTCCCAGCGTAAGTTGAAAAGAGAGCGTACTTTAAGAGGAGAAAACTCGCGTAACCGTGAGCGAAACGTTAGGTTTTCGATGTGATAGATTTGCACAGGAAATTGAATAGGTCCCTTGAAATTTCGCTTGTTTCTCAAGATTAGTCAGGGTCAACACTTCAACTAAACGTTGAAACCTCAAGATATTAGGCTACATATTAGGCTAATACTACATTTCGGTGAAGGAATTGAGCCGAAAATTGTAATTGATGTGAGTGGAAGTGATAAAAGTATTATCGACATTATAGAGTACCATCGACAATTGAGAAGAAAACTAAAACGATCGTATTTTTCGTATAAGGCTCCCCTTTATACCGTGACCCAATTCTGGTAACACGCGACCGAAATTTCGTATTTAACAAAACTTGTTGGCAAAATTTCTCATTCTCCAATATGGTTCCAATATGGTTCGTAAAGGCTCCCCTTTATACCGTGACCCAACTCTGCTAAAACGCGACCGAAATTTCGTATTTAACCAAATTGTTGAGCAGCTTGTTGGCAAAATTTCTCATTCTCGACAATTTAAAGAAAAGTATAACCGCCTTTTAAAGTGGTTTGATGTTTTTGTTCTGGCACGTAAATTTGATTTCAAATAAAGTATTAGTGGCTAGCAAGTTTCGGTAAATATGTAGCCCCCTTAATAGCCCTGTTACGTTTGTTAATAATAGCCCTGTTATGTTTGTTTTCTATTTGTCTCCGATACATGTTTCTTCATTTCAGTGAAGCAATTGAGCCGAAAATTGCGATTGATTTGAGTGAAAATGCGGGGGTGGGACAAATGCGACCTTTTTTTTGCTGGAAAAGGCCTTAGGCAAGGCCGCAGAGCTTCGAAAATATCTCCATATAATGGAATCGTATGCGTAGATTCCGAATTTCGACAAATCAGACCTCGCTGACACGTCAAATTTGGGCTAAAAGGCAAAAACTGCGGAAAAGCGTTAAGTTGGGTAGTTTTTGCCTTTTAGCCCAAATTTGACGTGTCAGCGAGGTCTGATTTGTCGAAATTCGGAATCTACGCATATGATTCTCTTCTTATGATTTTTCATTTTCATTTTTGAAGCTCTACGACCTTTCCTAAGGTCTTTTCCAGCAAAAAAAGGTGCGCAAAAAAAAGGTCGCATTTGTCCCACCCCCGAAAATGCTAAATTATAGAGCAACTATCGAGAATTGAGAAGAAAATGAGAACAAAAACCTTTTTTCACAAAAATTAAAGACAAAAAGGAGTGCTTTTTAGAAAAAGTTTGGGGTCGGCTAATTTCCGCAACTTTTTTGGGTCGCAACTGGGTCGTTTGCGCAACTGGTCTTTTGCGCAACTGGGTCGTTTGCGCAACCGGCTTGCGCAAGGCGTTGCGCAACGGCGTTGCGCAAGGTCGTTTGCGCACGCGTTTGCGCAACTGGGTCGTTTGCGCAACTGGTCGTTTGCGCAACTGGGTCGTTTGCGCACCGTTGCGCAACTGGGCGTTGCGCAACGGGTCGTTTGCGCAACGGGTCGTTTGCGCAACTGGTCGTTTGCGCAACTGGGCGTTTGCGCAACTGGTCGTTTGCGCAACTGGGTCGTTTGCGCAACGGCGTTGCGCAACGGGTCGTTTGCGCAACGGCGTTTGCGCAACTGGGTCGTTTGCGCAACTGGGTCGTTTGCGCAACGGCGTTTGCGCAACGGGTCGTTTGCGCAACTGGGTCGTTTGCGCAACTGGGTCGTTTGCGCAACTGGGTCGTTTGCGCAACTGGGTCGTTTGCGCAACTGGGTCGTTTGCGCACGGTCGTTTGCGCAACGGGTCGTTTGCGCACGGTCGTTTGCGCAACTGGGTCGTTTGCGCAACTGGGTCGTTTGCGCAACTGGGTCGTTTGCGCAACTGGGTCGTTTGCGCAACTGGGTCGTTTGCGCAACTGGGTCGTTTGCGCAACTCGCCATAACTTTCTTCTAAGCCGGCCTTCTAATCTTTATGATTTTGGTTTCATTTTGTTGCACTTATTGAGATCTACAAAATGAAATGAAACTAATAAAGATTGGTTTACTTAGCAAAAAGTTATGGCGAGTTGCGCAAATGACCCTTGCGTCATCTTAAAAGTCGTCACGCAAATGACGTAAAATGACAAATTGCGGAAATTAGCCTACCCCATATTCTACTTTGAATAGTTTTGACAGTTGCGCAAATGACCCAGTTGCGCAAAAAAAATTACGAAGATTAGCCTACCGCCAAAGTTTTTGTGAAGGGCGCACTTTAGAAAGCCCAAGCTTTTCCTTTATTGAAAAGGAAACTTTTTACACATTTCTTGTGGCTTTTCGTTTGGAAATGCTCATTTCTTTTTGTAGACATTTTTCAGTAATTGTTTATTCATTGAAATCGTGTCGTTTATGCGAATGAAAATTCAAATTCGAATGTGGAAAGTGCGAATGAAATCTGGGGATCGAGAAACAACGTGCTCAAATTCAGCGTACGAGATTCGCTCATCACCATCCAAATCGGCTTCCTCGATTATCTAAAGAGTTCTACTTTACCTACCATAAATACGGTAATAGTACCCCACCCCCCTCGTACAGTCGCGTAGTCGCAAAAGTTTTTTAGTATTTCATTTTTTTCAAAGCGCCAAGTACTTTCAAAAAATGCGTCTTTGGTATCAAAAATTAGCTGAAATTCAGGGCTATTTTTTGATATCTAAGCGCGCATTGTAGCATAAACCAGTGTCGAGAAAAACTCGTTCAAAGCTAGACTACGCAACACTCCGCACCGTCATTATGGGGGTGGGGTACTATTACAGTATTTACGGTAGGTACTGTATAAGGCTTGTAGTTTAACATTAGCATTTGTTCTCCATTAAACCTACTCTTTCAATGATGAACTCGACTTCTTCATCGCTTAGCTCATCCCTTGTCAATGACCGAATCATCTTTGACAAATCGTCATGTCCCAAGTATTCGTCTGCATCGAAATCTAGAAATTGTATCTTATTTTGATGCAAATCTCGAGGCACCGTAATCTCAAGCTGCTGTAATCTCAAGCGACTGTAGCCTCAAAATACCGTAATTTTGAGCGAGCTATTTGTGATCTCGAGCTACTGTACTCTGGAACTATCGTAGTCTGGAGCTACTGTACTCTAGAACTATCGTAGTCTGGAGCTACTGTACTCTAGAACTATCGTAGTCTGGAGCTACTGTACTCTAGAACTATAGTAGTCTCGAGCTACTGTACTCTGGAACTATCGTAGTCTCGAGCTACTGTACTCTGGAACTACCGTAGTCTTGAGCTACTGTACTCTAGAACTATCGTAGTCTCGAGCTACTGTAATCCCTACTGTAATTGCTACCGTAACCGTTACCGTATATCCGAAAAGCGTATTTCAACTTCAATTGCAATGGAGCCATCTCGGAGAAAACGGAGAACATGTCGAGAAAATCGTCAAAAGTCAAATTCCCCCGACCGTCCTCGCTGAATACTTCACAGATTCGACGTCGGAATGGATTTTCCTAGAAACTTTCTTAGAAACGAAAAGTTAAGAGGCTTGGGAATCCGATTATTTTTCATTTTCCGATAACTTTTCAACTTTCCCCACTCTCACCCTCAATTCGGGCATCCTCTCCACCTCTTCGAAGCAAAGTGTGACAATTTGTGGCCGATTTCCTTGCATATTCGTTGGTACCTGTAAATTGCTCATTAGTCAAGCAATTAGGATCTGCTTAGTGTACTTTGAGCTCAAATCTGTAAACACCACCCTTTCTGGTGCTCACAATTCTTCATTTTTCTATCATCAACGCTACGTCAGGCGTACACCTTGCTGTAAGAAGGCTGACGAATTGAGTGCACCAGAAAAGATGCGTTTCCACTTATCGGGCACAAAGTACACTGATTCATTTGATTGTAGACTTTGAGCTTAAAATTGTAAACACTCCCTTTCTGGCAGATGGAGCAGCACTAAAGGCTTTAATACCGCACTAAAGGCTTCAATACGATACTGAATCATTGAAAAGTGAAGAATCGAGTGCACCAGAAAGGATTCGTTTACAGTTTTGAGCACTAAGTACGACAAACGTGAATTTTGATAGCTTAGAAAAGCTTGAATTTTTTGATATTTCTAACCTTTTGTGGATTCAATTGATAGAAGCGCTTGTACAATCGGATGATGTCTTTTCGAGTGAAAAACGTGCAGTCCTGAATGATACATGAAGCTTTTTTTCTGTTTGGTTTTGAAAAAAGTACTGAACAGTGTATTAAAACCTTGTCTATGAATAACTGACAAGGGAAGATCAACTGGATATGGTGGTCAAATCATGAGCCATAGGTCATTCGACGCAGAATTTTGCACTGATTCCGAATCTGCTTTCCGTTTCTGCTACGGAGCACTCTGTCAGAAGTTATATGCGTTTAAAGTTTTGTCAAGAGTTTCAAAAATCAAATCGCGACATTACAACCCTTTCTTCCGCGAGCTCAGCAGTTGCAGCGGTGGCCGAGTGGTAGTGAGTTAGGGCGCAAGGCAGGGGTTATCTGGTTCGAGTCCGCTAACTGATTTGATGGGAACGGTCCGGGCTCCTACGTTCCGGAATCCGTATTAGTGATGTGTCAGATGCTATACGATTGTGTGCTGTGATAGAGAACACCTGGTTCTCTATCACATACTGTATTAGATATATAAAACAATAATATCTGTCCCTCTGTGCGCACACTACGGGCGTCCCCTTTGAGCATTTAAAAAAAATGCTGAAACATGTGTCTAATGAAATTGCATGTAGTTGTGGTTTTAAAAAAAATTTGCAAAAAGTCAAAGTAGGTGGCCACTGGCGGGGGTCGAACCCGGGTCGTGTGCGCGTAAGGCGTAAGGCGAGCGCGCGTAAGGCGAGCGCGCGTAAGGCGAGCGCGCGTAAGGCGAGCGCGCGTAAGGCGAGCGCGCTATTCACCGGTGCAATTTGCATGGTGTGGTTTTCCCACACAGGGAATTCTTTTCGGGCAATCATTTTTACGATTTCTTCCGCCGTTAGGCGGGCAGTTCTGTTGGTATTGTATTAGCTGAATATCTGTTACCTGATATTCATCCAGTTGCTCTCTCGTGAAAACGCCACCCTTCGAAAAAAGATTTAACTCGGACAGGGAACTGCCCGAGTTGCCCATAATCAAGTTAACTGAATATCAAGTGAAAGCTAATCAAAGCTAATCAATATCTAGTAATAACTGAATATCTTAAAGATAAAGCAATAGATAAAGCAACTGGTGTGTGGGGTGTTAAAGCAAAGAGAGGGACACTAAAATCGATAGGTGTTGGGGTGGAGTAGAGAATATGGGAGGTGCAGGGGTATGGGGTGGAGGCTGGGGCTATCTGGACCTAGGGGAAATAGGGAAAAGCCTGGGAGCACAACAGGGGTAAAGGGGTAGGCAGGGGCAGCTGTGCTTGCCCCATTCCTTTTCATTCCTTCACTCCAGCTCAAACATTCCAATTTCCCTCAAATGAAACCCTTGATAGTACTTGGGTAAATCTCAATTTACATTTAAACGATTCAAGTTTTTAGGAACACTTATCGAAAGAAGTTTTGAATTTCTTTGATTTATCAAAGATTCAAATCTTATCAAAGATTTATTCATTCTTTATCAACTGCGCTATGTAAAGTGCGTAGAGTTTTTCGATGAAATGTAATACTGAATTATTCTGTAATTGAGTAGAACTAATGAAAATTAATTTATTAAAGTACGTGTAAAGTGAAAAACGCATTATAAATGAACACAAAAGATACTAAAACTTATTTATTGGGTTGGTGAATTGAAAACTGCGGGACTTTGAACTAAAATTTGTTCAATATAAAACCATGAATTCATTCGAAATAATTTCCATTATTATTGACGACTTCTGCCCATTTTACAGGCAATTTGCGGATTCCTCTTTCCTAGTAGGATTTTGGTTTGTGTGAGACAAGTGTGAGAATCAAAAATGGAGGACTGAAGATGTCCCAGTTTGAGCACTTTCTTCAAAAAAAACCCATTTTGGTGTCAATGGAAAAGTTGTAGAGGAGCAAAAATGAGGGTTATAGCCAAATTTCCAAAAAGATACACTTAGTAGTTTCGCTTAAAATGCAAGTTTTATGAAAATTCGTAAATTTGGCATTTGCCTTCGTGAGCTTTCGTCTACATCTAAAGAATTACTCTAAAGAAAAAAAACTAATAACCCAGAGCGGGACCGAACCCCGATCTTACGACCGAACCCCGATCTTACAACTGAACGGAAGTCACACTATCCACTAGAAAACCGGTCCCCACATCCCAGTGATTGAAAAGCGCGCTTTAAAGCTTATCTTCAAAATTTCAACTCAATTTTTAAGCGTTTGCAAGCTTATTTGGCAGATTTTGATTTCAGATTATTAATCTCCATACTTGATTTAGTAAGATGTATGTGGTTCGGAAACGAAAGCTCACGGGAATTTCGTGAGTGCTGAGTTAGACTTTCCCTAGTGAGTGCTGAGTTACACGTAAAATACCGAATTCGGGAAATTATTGAACACCCTGTTTAAGCTGATTCACGAAATAATCTGCTAGGTCAGCTGTCCCACTGATTTGATCTAATCCCGTTTGGCTTCTAGGATACTATCGGAACTAGATTTGTCACAAAAACATCTGCCAATGCTTTTTGCCGTTGACAATTTAAGGTTTTTCGTGTTTTTCTCAGCACCAATCCTTCGATTTTGACTACCGTATTTTCCCTAAAAGTAGTGCACCCAAGCGAGCCGAGTTGATGCCCATTTTACGGTTTCCAATTTTTCCCAGAAGCTCAACACTCAAATCCCCCATTAGATCTCATCGTCAGTTACATTTTCCGACCCCACATCAATAGGTTCTGATAAGCGGTTCTCGAGATTTCAAGCAATTTAGGCAACGCTCAGGGTGCACTACTATTAGAGAGAATAGGGTAATCTGACTTCTAGTACACTTAATTCTAGTACCTCATTTTCCCAAAAGCTCGCCTTGGTTCTCGGAGAAAACCGTGTGCCAGCGTGCCCGCGTTTTTAGTGACAAAAAACAAGCAAAGCCAAGCCCACATTTATATAGTATATTTCAATAAAAAGCAAAAATTTATTTATAAAGCACATAAATTTTCCAAAATTTCTTTCTTTTCACCGTAACCGATGTGCCCGATCGCCGGCCGAGCTGCTGCGTTTCACGGCTTGTTTACTAAAAAGCTAATTGCTAATTTCTCTAACCATAAGCATCATTTTGAAATGAAAGTAGGGTTTTGTTTTAAAATCGAAATCAAGTTCCTTTTCTTTCCTTTCAAAATCAATCTTTACCATTCTACAGTTGTTTTAATGAGTATTACACTTTTCTCACCGACCTTCGCTCTCCTTTAATGTTTTGTGGTGGACTGATCCTCGAACCGCTTCGACTACGGCGATCTTTTTCTGAAAATATATAATCTGACTCTAGTTTTGATCTTTTCGTGTACTTTGTTACTTCAAAATAAAGATTTTTACATTTTGAACAACGCTGTAACTCTTATTCCTTTTCTATTGGAGTCTAAATAAGGTGCAGAGCAAAAAAATCCCCTCCCCCGTTATAGGGAAAGCACCTAGAATTGTTTCGCATTGAAGGAGGCTTTGAATTGCCACCACCCGTTTCACGGTGCGGGCGGGCACCTGTGCTGCAAGCTCTCACGGGCGTCGCTGTACGGTGCGTTTCAAATTCTTAAACGCACCCTCTAAAATAGCGAATTTTGCATTTTGAACACCGCTACAACTATTGGGTTGATGCATAATTATCCGGACTTCTTTTTGCGTGCTTGTATCTTTTTTGTTTTGAAAGCTTTTTGTCTATTTTTTTTTTTAAAATATTCGTTATTCTTTAGTGAACAAAATGCGTGTCGACAATCATATCCATCTTCGCCATATCATGCTCTACCACTTCGAAAAGGGATGGTCTGCCGCAGAGTCGTTTCGCGATCTCAAAGAACTGGAGAAGCCCCAACGGACTACCACGTCAATCGATCGCTCAAAAATTGGCAAACAAATAAGATCTACAACGATTTGGATGACTTGATAGACGATGTTAAAGCGTGGATTGCCTCCAAAGATCGTTTATTCTTCGCTCGTGGAATCGATCGTCTTCCAAGCAAATGGCAATCAGTTATTGATGTAGGCGGTGAATATGCTCCAGAATAATCAATTAAACATATTTTTCTAACTATTTATGTTATTTTTTGTTAAATAAAATCATTTATAAAAGAAGTCCGGATAATTATGCATCAACCCAATATTCATCTTTTTCCATTAGAATAAGCATGTCTTAAAACCTAGAAAACACTAAAAATAAGCCTACTGTAAAAAGCAAAAATTTTTACAGTAGACTCTCTCTACAACGGAACTCTATATTCTCTATATAAACTCTATATAACGCAATGGAATTTTGGTCCCGGCCGACGCTAAGCTATACTTAACGGCACTCAATATAACGGAAAATTTCTTGGTCCCTTCCATTCCGTTATAGAGAGAGTCGACTGTAGAAACTTTTTGGTAAATAAATCGTTTCAAATTCTTAAGCACACCCATTATTGCTGTTGTTTAAAAGTTTTCCTTTTGTTGTGCATATTTAATTATTAAATTAATAATTTTTGTTAATTTCTAGGTGAATGGCACACGGAAAGCTGCTCACGGATTATCGGAAAGGCCAGATTGATGCGCGCTTGAAGATTGGCGGAGAAACAAACAGGATGAGGCTCCTGCCCATAAGGCTCGTTTTGTTCAAGACTGGTGCCGACAGAACCTTCCGAACTTTATCGCGTTTGATCAATGGCCCTCGAGCTCCCCGGATCTCAATCCGATGGATTTTTCGTCAACTCGATTGTTTGAAGATTGGCGGAGAAACAAACTCAATAAGGAAAATCGCAAAATATTTGGGCCAATTTGACTGTGCCGTGCGAAATTATATTAAGTCGAAAGCCGTCTCTGTGAAGAAGCCAAGGCCAAAATCAAAGCTTACACCACAAGCTAGACGCCAGATTGTGAACAAAATCCACAGAAAAACGATCAATGAATTGAAAACGGAACTGAAAATCGACGCTTAAAAGTCGACAATTTGGTGAGCCGTCAAGGAAAACCCACATATCGATCGACAATTGTTGAACAAGCAACCGGCCGTGACGCTTTTGCACAAGAAAGCCCGATTGGAGTTTGCCAAGGCTCATATGAACCAGGATTGGTCTAAGGTTAGATAGCAACTTATATTCTATTAATTTTTCTAGTTTAGGTGATCTTTTCCGATGAGAAGAAATTGAATTTGGATGGCCCCGATGGCCATCCAAACTGACTAGTATTGGATGGATCTTCTACGTGATCCGATTGTGTTTGAGATTCGAAACTTTGGCGATGGCTCTGTGTTGGTCTGAGCCGCCTTCTGTGCTGATGGAACGGTCGCTCTGAAGATGGTTTCGAATCGGATGAATCGTTTTGACTATATAGATGTCTTAGACGATTGTTTACTGCCGTTTTTGCTCCTAAATCCGACCGTTCTCTATGTGTTTCAACATGACAACGCCTCAATTCATTGAGTCGGAGACACCCGAGACTGGCTGAACAACAACAACATTTGGAATGAATCTCCTGATCCAGTCCAAATTTCTTGGACGACTGCTTGATCCTAAATCCAATCGTTCTTTATGTTTTTCAACACGACAACGCGTCAATTCATCGAGCTGGAGTCAAACACCCGAGACTGGCTCAACAACAACAACAACATCGCAACTTTGGACTGATCCGCTCGATCTCCTGACCTCAATTCGATAGAGAATTTATGGGGAATACTTGTCCGAGCTGTCTACAAGAATCATCGTCAGTTTCAAAACGTTTTTACACTCTTCAAAACCTCATCACTTCAATGCTAAGCCGCATTTTTCAAGTAATTAATCGTTATTCTGGTGCTTTTACATATTATTAATTTTGATTTTCACTTTTTATAGTTATTTTTTGTTGATCAATAAAATATAGGATGCGCTTAAGAATTTGAAACGCATTGTAGTCCAGTAAGCGTAGCATTAGATCGCGTGGGCGTACTTTGTACTCAAAGCTATAAGCACACTCTTTCTGGTGCAATGAACGTTCGGAAATTGAGAAAACTCTAGAATTTAGTGCACTAGAAAGGTTGTGTTTACCGCTCAAAGTACTGAATCGTCAAACTCACCGTGATTTCTTTTTCTGTTGCTCTCACTTCTCCTCTTTCGATCGTTATCATTTCGATCGTAGTCATGCGTGTCCAATCTTTCTCTTTCCCCCTTTCGACCTAAAAGCTCTCTTGGTGTCTATGAATCGACTTTGCATTTAATAACTCATAAATCTAGTACTTTTTGTTGTTTTCATTGCTTGTTCATTATCGAATGCGCGTCTTTTTCTTTCCCGTTGCTCTTCAACGATTTCCCTTCTCGTTTCCCTTTTCGGACTTCTCTCCTCTTCGGGCTCATTCACCGCACATAAATGCTCCATTTCTTCGCTTCGTTGAAACTAAAATTGTATCGATTCTCATTGTATTGTATCGAATTCTGAATTCTCAAATAGAATCTCAAATTCTCCTTTTCTAAAACGTGTCAACTTTCTCAACCGCCGTACTCCTCGCCCGTTTTTATCCAATAAATCTACAGGGTGTCTCAAAAGTTCTTGCACACCTTTTTCTAAAAGCAGCTAGCAAATGTGTAACTTATTTCAAAAGTAAATCTTCAATTTTGAGAAGCTAACTCCATTTTGACCACACTAAACTCGTCGCTAAAGTGACTCGATTCCTTTTTTGCCCTTTTTTGGTCACTCGCTTATCGCCCTCGAAATTTCTTCAATGGTTCGATCAATTGAAACACGTTTTAGCCTATTTTGTAGAGGAGATTTACAACTTTCAAATAGTAACATTCAAATAGTAACATTCATCGAGTTTATAACATTCATCGATATCAGGTTTCTATCGTTGGAAATTTATGTAAATGTTGAAATCCGCATTTCTTATGCAATAGATCGATTCAGATGATTTTAGGTAAAAGTTCCTAAAATTATTAGGTTTTAAAAGCATAGAAAAGTAGTAAAATTGTTCATTTGAATAATTGAATATATTTGAACGCTTTAGAAAACCCATTTTTTAATGAGAATAGAGGAGCGGTGCAAGCAGAGAGCAAGCAAATTTCCCTAAAGACATTTAAACCTCAGTATCTTCTCTAGCTATAGTATGCTTCTTGTATAACACTTGAGTACTGTATCCCTGGATATGTTTTATATATTAAAATCTAAACAGATCGTACAATTTCTTTTTCGAACCTCTCTTTTTGTGCGTCTCCGTTTCGGCGACGATTTTGAGCGCTGTTGTTGCCGCCGCGCCTTATTCGCCTCTTGTTTCAACTTTTGCGGATGAACGTAGCTAAGTTTTTAAAATAAATATACGATCGTTGATCACCATAAACGCAAATCAATATCTTTTTGTCACTAACCGATCGTTGATGAGCACAAACGCTCGATAGGTTTGCAAAGCGATGATCAGCGCGTTCTTGCAAGTGAAAAACAACATTGTATAGGTGTAAAGACCTCGGTCGAACATCAAATAGAGACGAACCAAAAGGAATGGAATGTCCTGGAGTTGAAGTTTATATTCTGCATTAGAAATAAACACTATAAACAACAAAAATGACGAACTGCCACACTAGGAACGCTTCTAGCTTGCTTCAAAGCTGCCGGACTGGACCGGACTGGCATGATCATCCTAAGCCTAAGCCTAAGCCTAAGACTTGTCAGATCTCAAATTCCAGACACGAGATCGACCTGAAATTTTGTCAACATACTCCCATTGGGTTCCAAAGCACACCGCCAAACGGGTGTCCCTTATCTCTGAGAACCGGCTGAGATTCAGAAAATGGGGGTTCAGCCCAAACCCAAATAGACTTAGTGCGAGGCGCTAGCCGCTAGCCTTCGCACTAAGTCCAAGCCTAACCCTAAGCCTAAACCGCTTTGGGAGGCTGGACCTATCTCGACGTTTTAGGCTATGTCAAAAAAATCGTAAAAACCACTTTCTATATCTCAACTTCCAGACACGAGAGTGACCTGAAAATTTGCCAGGATGCTCCTATGGGGGGCGGATGAGCATCGCCAAACGGGTGTCCCTTAGCTCCGAGAACTGGCTGAGATCCGGAAATTGGGGGTATAGCCCAAACCCAAATAGACTTAGTGCGAGGCGCTAGCCGCTAGCCTTCGCACTAAGTCCAAGCCTAAACCTAAGCCTAAGCCTAAGCCTAAGCTCAACATATAGAGAATCTCAAGAGCTTTCGAATGGACACCTAAAACTCTCAATGCTAAAGAAAGGTCTTGAGATTCTCTATTCTCTATAGCTCATGTCAATTCGACAGATTTGAAGCAAGCAGCGTTTCTAGTGCTCTTTCTTTCTATTCTAGAATTAGAAAATCTATAAGTTACGATATTTGACTCAAAGTTTACCTGCAAACTGTTAGCCAACACGATCGCCCAAATGTCCACATCGCTGCATATCTGAAAGGAGGCATTTATTTCGGTTTTGAGGGCATTTTCCTTAACCGACACCTTTTCTAGACATCTACTGTAATCTGTCGGAATTTACCGTAATGCGTAATGCGTTTTCTAAGACAGCCAGAAGACACCTATTTTAGAAAGAATCTACCGCAATCAAACACCCAGTTTCCATCTAATCAACTCGATTTCGATATCATTCAATGAGGCATCACAATGCTTACGAAAGAATAGTACTAGGTGACTGTTGCCTTTCCAATTTCCAAATGAGAACTAGCTTATCCAAGGAGATCAAGACTTAGTTTTTTTACGCTGATTCCGAATCCGGTTTTAGTTTTTGCAGAACGCATTGGAAACGCGAGATACTTGGCAAATAAGTTTTAGCTATACCCATTTAAGGCCATCTTTCGACAGTGGTTGTGGTATAATGGATAGTCAATTATCGGACAATTATCGGAAACTCGGCTTTTGCAATTCTTGAGAGTTGAAAACTATTGAAAACGATGATTTTGCCGAGATGACTCATGCTCATTCAAGGACTTTTTAAATGAGTTGTATACATCCGATTGAGAAGTTTTTGATAGAGAAATGTAGCCAAGATCAAGGGCTACAATCCTCAAACACTTGATACTTTGAAATAGATTAAACGCGCGAAAATTTCTTTTCCAAAAAAGTTGTCCGAAAAGCCGTTTCCGATAATTGTACGCTACCCTGTAGCTATCGAAGTCTACGTAGAGTAGTCTATGTCTACGTAGAGTAGTCTATGTCTACGTAGAGTAATCTATGTCTACGTAGAGTAATCCATGTCTACGTAGAGTAGTCTATGTCTACGTAGAGTAATCTATGTCTACGTAGAGTAATCTATGTCTACGTAGAGTAATCTAGCTATCGAAATTCTTTTGCCGTGAGTTTAAATCCTTTAGCTGACAATGCTTTTTACTTTTGTTTTTCAAAAACAATCTTTGTTTTTGGAGCCAAGCCTTTTCGTCAATGATTCGTCAATTATCGTAAATCAATGATGCAAAAACTGGGCTAATCGAATGGAAACTGGGAAATTGATTAGTTTTCTGTTTGATTGATGTTGATTAGTTGATTAGTTTTCTATTAGGTGTGTGAAAAAGTAATCCACGTTTTTTATTTTTATCTGATGACCAAATAAGACGCTGTCTTCTCGAAAACCCTCGTTCAACCTCTTCAGAAATAGGCCTTACATTAAATTGTGATGGGTCAACCGTAAGGAAACGCTTGAATGCCATGAATTTTATCAAAAAGTTGGACAAATGGATACCGGATGAACGATAACGCGCGACCACATGTCTCTTTAAAGACTCGACATCGATAACAGCCCTTAATCGGTTCGGATATGCCTCCACTGCAGCCCGAATGTCATCTTGAGCCCGAATCTTGAGGAGTCGCCTTCCATCCTTTGGTCAAAGACTTCTTCAAACAATCCAAACTTGTGTGTTTTCGAGAGCAGACATTAGCCTCTAAGATTGCCCAAATGGAAAAGTCCATCACATTGAGATCCGGTGAGTTTGGAGGCCATTCATCCTTGGTTGGATGAATGGCCACACACTGAGGGAAAGTTGGCCACACACCAGTCCTGAACCGTCTTCTTCGTGTGAGCGGGAGCTCCATCTTGCATGAAGGTCCAATTTTGATTGTTATTGGCTTTACACGCCCATGACATCACATTCTTGACATCACATTCTTGCCAGCACATTCTTGACATCACAAACGGTCTTTGAACTCTTGTTGCAATAATTATGACGCACCCTGTATAGTCCAGACCTTTCTCCATCTGATTATTATTTATTTTTGTCTCTGTCTAACTTTTTGGGCCATATAATTTGGCCAATAAACGGTTCAATTCCGAAGACGATGTCAAAAGCTAGGTTGATCTTTTCTTCGCCTCTAAGGACCAAAGGACTAAGGACCTCTTGGTCCTTAGTCCTTTGGACACATTATCGTGGAATGCCTTTACTTGTAGAACGTTGGCAAAAGGTTGTTCTTTCGAATGGTGATTACATCGTTGAATAAAAATTATTTTAACGAAACTTATGGTCTTTTATATTTAAACGTTAAAAACGTGGATTACTTTTTCACACACCTAATAGAATGCATACATTCTTTTACCACCAACATTAGACATATCGGGATTTTCGGGAATCTCGATCTCGTCGCTAGTTTGCGTGATGGCGACGCGCATCTTTCGCGCTCTCGACACCGTCAAAACGAATGGGAATTGGATGAGGGAAAGCTGAATGGCGAATTCAAAGTACAATTTAGTCTGATGATCTTTTTTGATTTAATATTAGAAAGCAATCATCTATGCACAGCTGAAGTGATCCCAATAGAGCTCTGTAAGCGCCACCTTTGAGCTCTGTAAGGGCCAGCTTTGAGCTCTGTAAGGGCCACCTTTGAGCTCTGCAAGCGCCACCTTTGAGCTCTGTAAGCGCCAGCTTTGAGCTCTGTAAGCGCCAGCTTTGAGCTCTGTAGCCCACTTTGGCCTGTACGCGTTGAGCCTGTGCGCCAGCTTTGAGCTGTAGCCCAGCTTGAGCTCTGAGGCCAGCTTTGAGCTCTTAAGGCCAGCTTTGAGCTCTTAAGCGCCAGCTTTGAGCTCTGTAAGCGCCAGCTTTGAGCTCTGTAAGCGCCAGCTTTGAGCTCTGTAAGCGCCAGCTTTGAGCTCTGTAAGCGCCACCTTTCACGCCACCTTCTGCTCCACCAAATTCTTTATTTCTCTTGCAGCGAAGACTTGCTTTCCGTGAGAAAAGTGAGAAAATGTGTTCGCCAGATGGTGTGCGTTTACAGGCGCACAAAACACTTCGAAAACTTCAGTAACAAACCGTCCACGCGATCAACACCATCACTTGAACGGGTTGACTCGTGAAAACCTCCTTTTCCTTGAAAACATCAAAGAATTCGACGATGTCTGATGAGATTGCCTATAAAGGAATGGCTTAAAACAGCAAATTTCTTTTGCTACCAAATAGGCGAGTAAAATCTGGCTGAGTTGTTCCCGACTGATGTCACCCTTTGGGAGTAACCATCTAAATTTCTTTTGTAAAAGTCTTCAAGTCATAAATCGATTGTTTCTAACGTTTAATTTGTTTTTGTTTACAAATTATTAGATTGATTAGATTATTAGATAAATTATTAGATAGATTATTAAATTATTAGATACACTACTGGACAATGAAATATCATATTTGAAAAACGATCGTCACTTTCGCGCGTCTATAACTCCCTTGTTTTTACCTTATTTCTAAATATTAATATTACCATTGTGTAGCCCTTGAAAAGAGCTTTCAGAAAATGTATAACACTAATAGTTTAAACTCAAAGACAAGGGAGTTACAGACGCGCGAAAGTGACGATCGTTTTTCAAATATGATATTTCATTGTCCAGTACTGTAGGTTATTAGATTATTAGGTAGGTTCTTAGATTATTAGATAGGTTATTAGATTATTAGGTAGGTTCTTAGATTATTAGATAGGATATTAGATTATTAGATAGGTTGTTAGATTATTAGATAGATTATTAGATCATTAGATAGGTTCTTAGATTATTAGATAGATTATTAGATCATTAGATAGGTTCTTAGATTATTAGATAGGTTATTAGATTATTAGATAGATTATTAGATTACTAGGTTGGTGCAAATGAAATTTCGTTTTTTTACAAAACATTAAAGTCATCCAAAATTTTTTTAGATAACAATTTATTTAAAACAATAAGCACCATTATTATCTATGACATCCCTCCAACGTTGCTTCAGATTGCGGATCCCCTTCTCAAAGAACGCTTGATTCTGTGATGCAAAGTAGTTGGTCACCCAATTTTCGACTTCTTTTGCATTCTTAGACTGGCAATTCTCAAGGGAATGTTGCATCGATCTGAAAAGGTGAAAATCGGAGGGTGCTAAGTCTGGACTATACGGCGCATGTGGTAAGACCTTCCATCCTAGCTTCTCTAGTTCCTTACAAGAGGTTTTTGCCGTGTGAGCTGGAGCATTATCACGGAGAAAGTTGATAGTTGAGGGATTTAGGCCTTTTTCACGCAAAATTTCGTCAACCTTCTTGAGTTGTTGAATAAAATAAGATGAATCGACTGTTTTTCCGGGCTCTAATAATTCAAAATGAACAAGTCCATTGATATTCCACCAGCAAGACAACATCACTTTGCGCCCATGATAATCCGGCTTTGGAGTTGGAATTGGCGCTTGACCTTTGCTCAGCCATTGCCTTTTTCGAGAAGTATTATCAAAGTGAATCCACTTCTCATCCATCGTCAAGATATTCTCAAAAAAATGGCTTCTTTTCGACTTATGGAGCAAGATATGGCTGATCGAAACGCGTGCTCCCAGATTCTCAACACTCAATTGATGTGGAACCCATTGTCCATTACGATTTGTCTTTCCAATTATTTCCAAATGGCGTACAATTGTTGAATTGGAGATGTTTGGCAAGTTCTCGTGTTGTTTGCATTGGATCAGCTTCAATTAATTGTTCCAATTCTTGTCGTTCAATTAATTGTTCCAATTCAATTAATTGTTCCAATTCAATTAATTGTTCCATGTCGATGGCTGTGGCACGATGTCCATGCGATTCGTCTTCAAGAGATTCATTACCATCTCGGAATTGGGCAAACCAGAGCTGGCATGATCTTTCGGTGATAACCTGTTCTCCAAAGGCGGAACAGAGATCACGATGTGAATCAGCAGCGTTTTTGCCCATTTTGAAGTCATAGAGAAGACACGTGCGCAGAACATACTTTTGATCCACCATGATCTAAAGCAAAAATCAATTAAAAAGTGAAAGCTCTGACTTTGAAAAAATGCGAAAATAAAGTAAATATCCAAGAGTACAAATGCACAAAAGAACATCAAATAAGCTCTTCAGATTAAAAAATAAGAACATTTTATATCGACCGAAATTTCTTTTGCACCAACCTAATATTAGGTAGGTTCTTAGATTATTAGATAGGTTATTAGATTATTAGATAGGTTATTAGATTATTAGATAGATTATTAGATTATTAGATAGACTATTAGATTATTAGATAGACTATTAGATTATTAGATAGATTATTAGATTATTAGATAGATTATTAGATTATTAGATAGACTATTAGATTATTAGATAGATTATTAGATTATTAGATAGATTATTAGATACATATTAGATCCATCTTTGATACAAAACTAAGTCTTGATCTCATTTAAAAACTATGACCTTTATTTATCCAAGTTTTTAACTATTTGGAAGTATCTTGCTATTTATTGGCTAGAGTCTGTATTTTCTTCTTCTAAACGGAAACCAGATGGAACTTGTCAAAGTAAAAGAGAAAATTTGGGAGTTCTCATTGGCCAAGGCATTGACCAAGTGCTCGCTCACCAACAGCTAGCTCTTGAAAAGGTGTAACTGTCCGTTCAACTGTAGATTCGGAATCAGTGTCAAATTCTGCATCAGATGGTCTAGGTCTCATTTCGATTGGCCCCCTAGATTTTGTGACTTCCCCTTCTTAGGTAAAGTGGCAAAAAAGTCGATTTTTCATCATTTTTCAATCATTTTTTTCCTAAGCGCTGGTTAATACTAAAAATATGTGCTATATCTTAAAAGATCACCCATTCTCTCTACATTATTTTGATACCAAAGCGTGCAGAAACAAACGTACTGGTGTCAAGATATGAGCGTTTGTTTAAGAGTAAACTTAGACTCGACGACGAAGACGAGACTTCTAGGGAGCTTTTCTATTAGAATATTTACGGTATGCTCCAACCTAACACATAGAAATGTTGTCAAATCTGTTCACCTCCCAATGATCAACACGACAAGCATCAATTGCTCGAGAAGTTGCAAGCGTAACTCATCATCGGCATCAGCTAAAAATAACTTTTACCCTTGCTAACTTTTACCCTATATTTCTAAATCAAAATCGACATTCAGGATGTCATTCAGGAGTACAGGGTGCATCATAATTACTCATAAACATGCTAGTCACGTATTCTTCGAGTTTTTTTTTGCATGTTTCTTATATTAATATGGGATTTTTGTTGTTTTGTTGACATTGGACATTTTTTGTTTTGTGTTTTGTTCAACAGTTGCTGCCAACAGGATGGGGCTGCTGCCCATAAGGCTCGTTTTGTCCAAGACTGGTGCCGACAGAACTTTCCGGGCTTTATCGCGTTTGATCAATGGTCCTCGAGCTCCTCGGATCTCAATCCGATGGATTTTTCGTCAACTCGATTGTTTGAAGATTGGCGGAGAAGCAAACTCAATCAGGAAAATCGTAAAAGATTTGGGCCGATCCGACTGTGTCGTGCAAAATTATATGTCACGAACTTCAGTAGATCCATTAGTTCTCGTCAACTCAACGATGAATGCTGTGGCTTACAAGAACATTATGGAGACCCAAATGCTGCCTTTTGCCACACAGGCGATGTCTCCTGGATGGATGCTCTACCAGGACCGAAACACAAGTCAAGGCTCATGATGGGAACGGTGGTGACTCTTCAAAATGGTACACGAGCACGACTTCCGGACTGGTTTGCGTCGAAGGTCGAAGTCGAAGGCCGTGTGAAGAAGCCTGTGAAGAAGCTTGTGAAGAAGAAGAAGAAGAAGAAGTGTGTCTCTGTCTCTGTGAAGTCTCTGTCCCTGTGAAGAAGCCAGAACCAAAACCAAAGCTTACACCATGAGCTAAACGCCATATTGTGAACAACATCCACGGAAAAACGATGAATGAAGTGAAAACGAAGCTGAAAATCGACGCTTAAAAGTCGACAATTTGGTGAGCCGTCAAGGAAAACCCACAAACTGCAAAAAAGCGGTTTTAGTCCCGGCTTCCTACTTGCGTGTCACAGTAGATGCGTTCCCAAAACGTATGGATGCTTGCTGATGAAGATATTTTTGAAATTTAAATTTTGTAATAGTTGCTATGTATCAAATGAATATTGTTATCGAAAAAATTTTTGAAAAATTTGATTTTAACGACTCGGAAAAATTTTCCACTTTGTTTTCGATGAGCGGGACAAATCCGACCTTTTTTTTGCGCAGCCGGACATTTGCGCACCTTTTTTTCCGCACCCTGCCCATTAGCGCACCTTTTTTCGCGTTTTAAAAAAGCTTCAAAAGCTAAAAAAGCGCTAAAAAGCTAATATTAACCAATTTCTATTCCAAATGTTGTTTTTCTAGGTAATTTGAGGGCGTCGAATTCAAATTTTGACATAACAGAGCGTGTGGAACCAATTTGAAAGACAAACAAACGGCAAAGACGGCTAGATCAAATTACAGAAAATTGTCGATTTTTCTCTTTGTATAACTCCGTCCGTTTGTTTCCACAAACTCTGATATGTCAAATTTTCGATTCTACGCCCTCAAATTACCTAGGAAAATAGAAAAACAACTTTTGGAATAGAAATTGGTTAATATTAGCTTTTTAGAGCTTTTGGAACTACGCAACTTAACGCTTTTTCGCAGTTTTTGCCTTTTAGCCCAAATTTGACGTGTCAGCGAGGTGTGATTTGTCGAAATTCGGAATCTACGCATACGATTCCCTTCTATGAAAACATTTTTGAAGCTCTACGACCTTTCCTAAGGCCTTTTCCGGCAAAAAAAGGTCGCACTTGTCCCACTCCCATGATGAGTAATTATGACGCACGTGTCAAAATCAAAAATCTAAACCCTCTCTTTCATGTGCATTTTTCTGGCGCATTCCCGGTGCTCTAAAGCATGCTCCAGCTACTGTAGCTGCTGTTTAAATCTTCACATCATAAGTTTTTATAGTTTTTGAATTTTCTATCTATAAGTAGTTGATGTTACGGTAATTTTTATGACTAATTTTCTTATCTGGGTTACTGTAAATAGACTTACGGTCAGTTTCATATCTCTAATAGTCAGTAGTTGATGTAGTTTTATCATTAGTTGATGTAGTTTCATTAGTAGTTGATGTTACGATGCTATGACTTGGCTACCATACACTTTTTGTCATTTTAGAGTAACCCACGGTGCCAAATATTTGGATTACTGTAAAGTGGATGAACTTGGCAACGCATTGCAACGGGATACGGTAGCGGGTCATGCTATAGCTAATCGAGTTGACGCTCAAAAAGTCTCCAAGCTTCAGCAGCAATTACACAAAGTTTAGTGCATCAGAAAGGGAATTTGTTTGCCATTTCAACTCAAAATTTTCAAGTTAACAACATTCTAATCGTCGAAAATTTGATTTCGTCAATTTGTATTCGAAAAAAATTGCACAAATCCCCTTTTTTTCCGCATTCCCAGCGATAATCTCAAAATCGAGCGAAATGTGTCGAGATTCTTTTTCCCCGACAAAAAGCTAAAGAAAGCTAAAGCTCTCTCAATTCCCCAGGGTTCAATCGGGCCGATTCTCAAGCATGAGCATTCTTTCACTCTTCAACTTTTTTCCAAGCTCAAATAGATCCATTTTCTAACACCCTAGAAAAAACCAGGGGCAAGCTCTAGAGGAGAAGATTAATGGGGAAACGGAGGGAGACTGGGAGGACCCTCAGAGTCCCAGGGTCCCAGGAAGGACCTTCAGAGTCCCAGGGTCCCAGGAAGGACCTTCAGAGTCCCAGGGAGGACCCTCAGAGTCCCAGGGTCCTCATTGAACGCCTCTCCCATCAATCTCCAATTCTTCCTCAAATTTGATTGACGTTAGCTAACACCACTTGCGACAAGAGCTCTTAATGCACAGGGAACATTGTGTACTTGGAGATGAATGTATTTGAAGCGCCTGTAACTGTGCCAGTAGACTATAGCCATTACTGTACAAGGAGCTTACGATAAGCCGACGGAGCTTACGATAAGCCGAAGAAGCTTACGATAAGCCGAAGGAGCTTACGATACGCCGAAGGAGCTTACGATACGCCGAAGGAGCTTACGATAAGCCGAAGGAGCTTACGATACGCCGAAGGAGCTTACGATACGCCGAAGGAGCTTACGATAAGCCGAAGGAGCTTACGATACGCCGAAGGAGCTTACGATAAGCCGAAGGAGCTTACGATAAGCCGACGGAGCCGCCTTCAGGTGTACTTGGGTTCATTTTCAATCAAGATCCATAAAGATTAAAGAGATCCAGACCGATTTACGGTAACTGGCCATGCTTTAGGGTAGACTGGTGAGTTTTTTAGCGGTGTACTTGCTCAAACGTAAACACACCCTTCCCGACATACTGAATTTACCATTACAACAATGATTTACAATCTAAAGCAATGATTTACAATCTAAAGCAATGATTTTGGGTAAATAAAGAATTCAGTGCACTAGAAGGGTACGTTTACAAGACTTGAGCCCAAAGTACACTTCAAGGAAAAGGACTCTAGCGATTCTAGAATGAGAACTAGGGTTCTAGAATTCTAGAATGAAAACTAGGGTTCTAGAATTCTGGAATGAGAGCTAGGGTTCTAGAATTCTAGAATGAGAACTAGGGTTCTAGAATTCTGGAATGAGAGCTAGGGTTCTAGAATTCTAGAATGAGAGCTAGGGTTCTAGCGAATTGTGGGAGCTAAAATTGGCTCCGTTTTTTCAAATTTTAAATTTCAAATCACCAATGGGTATTTTCGATTGTATTCCATTCGCTCTTTCTCTTCTCCATTCACACAATTTCATCTCAAGAAGCCAAATCGGTGGCGCCGTCGCCAACACGTACAACAGCACTGACGCACAGAACCTAGGTGGCTATTTGGTTGATTTTTGCTATTTTTGGTTACGCGAAAGGCTTGGCTTATGAAAATTTAGACTAAAATTTCTAGGGGTGCTCAAAAATAAATTTTTGCCAAGCCAGGGCAGGCCTAGTTTTGCTGAAAACTGAACTGGCTCAGAAAAAGTGAATCGAACTTGGACCAGATAGTCTAGGTCCAACTCCAGATCAGGTCAGCTGTCCCACTGATTTGATCTAATCCCGTTTGGCTTCTAGGATACTATCGGAACTAGGTTTATCACAAAAACATCTGCCAATCCTTTTTGCCGTTGACAATTTAAGGTTTTTCGTGTTTTTCTTAGCACCAATCCTTCGATTTTGACTACCGTATTTTCCCTAAAAGTAGTGCACCCAAGCGAGCCGAGTTGATGCCTATTTTACGGTTTCCAAGTTTTCACAGAAGCTCAACACTCTAATCACCCGCAAGATCTCATCGTCAGCTACATTTTTCGACCCAACATCGATACGTTCTGATAAGCCGTTTTCGAGATTTCGAGCAATTTAGGCGACGCTTCCGGTGCACTACTATTAGGGAAAATCCGGTAGAAAAGGAACCAAATCTGTAGAGAAAAGGAAACAAATCTGTAGAGGAAAGGAAACAAATCTGTAGAGAAAAGTAGAGAAAGGTATTTTGGTATCATTCGACGCGCAATTCTATTCTACATCGAATGATAGATTTGACACAAAAAATCGCGTTTGGAACAAGCCCAAAGTAGAGGGTTGAGCAAAATTACTCGGATAACTTTCTAGAAAAGTTGTCGTTGGATAAGTGGCTGTCGCAAGCTTGATTTCTCTACAGAAATCAAGCTTGCGTGTCAAGTGTTATATAGAGAATTTAAAGTGTCAAGTGTTATATAGAGAATTATAGCCCTTAATCTTGGCTACATTTCTCTATGAAAAGCTTCCCAATCGAATGTATGCAACTCATTTGACAAACGCTTGAATGAGCACTAGTCGATCTCTGTCCGGCGCTGTGCCATTGTTTTCTTATAGTTCCTATTTGGTTCCTATTTGGTTCCTATTTCATATTTAGCTCCTATTTGGTTAATATTTGGTTCCTAATCGATCCACTTTCCAATCAGAATCAAAATGATCAAAATCGAAGGGTTGGTGCTGAGAAAAACACGAAAAAACCTTAAATTGCCTGGAGGGACTGGCTGATATTTTCGTTACAAGTCTAATCGAAACTGTTCAACAATCCATAGAACAATTATCTCAATTCCTCACCACTTTCTCTCATCACCGGCTCTCATAATAATCGCATAGGATCCCTCAAAGATGATCAGCAATGCGATCAGCGCAAAGATCCACACCGATTCACTCTCTGAAAGCAGTAATTGGTTAATTGGTTTAAAAAAAGTTCTAAAAAAGCTCTAAAAAAGCTCTAAAAGCATCGGAAAAAGCTAGCGAAAAGATGCTTTTCTAAACTAACCTTGTACATGCACGGTTGTCCAAATAGTGACCACCGAGTGAACGATGAAGATGAGTCTCGCCAAAACGGCTCTTCCGATTCCAACCTGTAACGATTCTCTGATCACTTACGAGCTTTAAAACATGACTCGTCTACCGTAATCGTCTACCGTAATTAATAGAGTACAGTAAGCCGTAAAGACTGACTAAAACATTAACTAGAAAAGACAGAATTCGTTAAAATATCCGAACAGAGAAATCTTAACGATTGCGGTAGCTGAGATAAGCTTTATCAACTTATCCGAGTCCACCATTCGTAAGAAGTTCTCAACTTTTTGTTCTCAACTGTTCACCACATTTTTTTAAGCCAAAATTCATAGACTTTCAGCTCACAAATTGCGAACTTTAAAACGTAACTCTACCACATACAGATACGTCTACCGTACCAAATCAATAGATACTACAGTAGCCTGTTTATTGATACCGTAGCCGTGAAGGCTGGTTTAACTTATTGAATAAAGTACTTGCATATCTTTGCCCTGGAAAACAAAACAAGATAAATGTAAATTTCCCTCGGCATTTCTCTAGTTTGGTAAAGATAAGGGGGAAAATCGTATAAATGACTTTATTATTAGGTTGGTGAATTGAAAACTGCGGGACTTTGAATTAAAATTTATTCAACATAAAACCATCAATTCATTCCAAATAATTTCCATTATTATTGACGACTTCTGCCCATTTTACAGGCAATTTGCGGATTCCTCTTTCGTAGTAGGATTTTGGTTTGTGTGTGAGACAAGTGTGAGACTCAAAAATGGAGGACTGGAGACTCAAAAATGGAGAAATGTCTCTGTTTGAGCACTTTCTTCAAAAGAAACCCATTGGTGTCAATAGAAAAGTTGTAGAGAATCAAAAATTAGGCTTATAGCCAAATTTCCAAAAAGATACACTTAGTAGTTTCGCTTAAAATGTTTTGTGAAATGCAAGTTTTGTGAAAATTCGTAAATTTGGCATTTCTTGAAAACCAGTTTTTGAATCGTTCTGGAAATTTGGATATAAGCTTGATTTTTGATTCTCTACAACTTTTCCATTGACACCAAGATGGGTTTCTTTTGAAGAAAGTGCTCAAACTCTCACATATGACAATAGCCCGCAGTTTTCAATTCACCAACCCAATCAATTAAAAATAATAATTAAAAAAGTAATTAAACAAATTGGGTTTAATTTCATTTTACTTTAAATCAACTTAAAGGAATTTTCTCTTGAAATAATAAAATTCTGACGACAGATTCTTTTCGGACCGTCCACCGTACACTTTGCCTTTCAGACGTTTCCGCGCCAAACGTCGGGAACTACCGTAACCCGACGCAATAAAACGACCCCGCCACAAAGAATTTTTCAATCTTTCGTCGTGTTTTATTTTTTCAGTCTTTTTTTCCATTGATACCAAAATGGGTTTCTTTTGAAGAAAGTGCTCAAAGTGTCACATATGACAATAGCCGGCAGTTTTCAATTCACCAACCCAATAGATTGAGATTAACCTTGATTTGAGGAGAAGTCAATGTCCTATTTGAGGATTCGAAGCCGGCCAGATTCGTTTGGCAGAGGGAGAGGGAAGGGGGGTTATGTAAAAGCCCTGCACCAGACGACGAGCGATTACGCGGCCGCACAAAGAATACACGGAATATACAAATTTTAAGCGGAACTATGAAGTGTATCTTTTTGGAAATTTGGATATAAGCTTGATTTTTGCTCCTCTACAACTTTTCCATTGACACCAAAATGGGTTTCTTTTGAAGAAAGTGCTCAAACTCTCACATATGACAATAGCCCGCAGTTTTCAATTCACCAACCCAATAGATTTAGATTCATTAATTCTAGCTTAAATTCTAGCTTAAAAATTCTAGCTTAAAACCATATCAAAACTATAGGATAAAAAGATGTTAAAATTCAATGATAAACTAAGCTTTCAAAGATCAATTTGCATATGATTTAGGCTATCCAGCGAATCGTATTTCAATTGGTGCATTTTGTTGGTTTTGAACGAACGAAAGTACGAAAAGAAATCAAAAGACTTTCTGAAAAGGCTAATAACTAAATAGCAAAGATACGGAAATACCTTAAATACTTATAAACTAAAATTTTCACCCACCAGCACCCTCCCCGCATCGACATCGACGGGTCCCTGTACCACAGTGTTCCTCGGTTGCCCTGTTGCACCAATTTGTTGTTGTAGTTGTTGTCTTTTCCCGGTTGTTTCCACCCAATCACTTCCTCGTCCATATTCGAGTTGATGATTGTCCAATTGTCTGAAAAGGGTCCACATTTCGGCGTGGATTGATTGATCTTCTGAAAATCGGCTTTATATAGAGTTCAAAGTAAGCAATAAGGAAAATCCTATGAAGAAATGTACTCAATGGTACTTAGAGATATGATAGAATGGTACTTACAGCTAGAATGGTACTTACAGCTATGATAGAATGGTACTTACAGCTTACAGCTATGCTAGAATGGTACTTATAGCTATGGTGATATCAAAGTGATCCTTTCAATGTCAAATTTCAAGTTAAATAAACAAATTCAGTTACAGTTTTATAAAATTGAACAATTAAGTAAAAAGTTAGAAGTCTCTTGCTCTAAAAAGTGCAAAAAGATCTCGCGAATGTTGGAAGATTTTCGACAAAAGAAAGGGGGGAAAAGGTGAGTGATGGGAGCATTCCCATCCCTCATCCAAAACACAGCCATCACTTGCGCTTCTCAAGAACATTTCCACGAAAAGCTACGTGATTTGGCAGCATTTTCGAATAGAGTCATAGATTCTAACACTCAAATTCTAACACTACAGCACAACTAATCCACTCAGGATAGAATTTTGTAACTTTTATGATTCTAAATGTAATTCTTCAATGTGAGTGCTGTGCTGCTCAAATGTTGCGAAACCTTCCTGCTTTCAATTTCAAAAACGTCGCTTTTCACAAAACTAGTTATTTTTGGGTTACTAACATGCTTACAATTAGAACCTTACAATCTATTGGGTTGGCTTCTTGTCTACTAAAATTATAATGATAAATATAATTGGGTATTATAATGTCTCAAATGAGTATTTTTATTCGTTTAGAGTTTAAAATTATCAAAGGCTTTCAATCAAAAGGCTCCAATTGACATCAATGTAAAAGCACGAAGAAGTAAAAGTAATGCCTTACCTTGATGCCTTGATAAAAATCGAGAATCTGCTCTAAATCCCTAAATCCCTAAAGTCATTGGCTCTAAATCCCTAATCTCTTAGCTCCCTAAGTCCTAAATCCCTAAAATCTCTTAGCTTACTAGTTCAAATAAAGTTAAACAAAGAAAAAGCTCCGACTTTACGTTTCTTTTTTTTAAAAACACACCGCACCTCACCAGGGAGTCGCGATGAAAAGTGCGATATGTGGGAGTGGATGGACGACGAGAGAAATGTGGAGAACCGAGGAGAGAAGTCGACGAAGTACGACGGTTTGATGAACATCTATTAGGTTGAGTACAAAGTCTTTCATCGAAATTCATTTTCTAATTGAGCTACCAAATGAAACACGGGTTTTTAGATAGCCCAATAATTTCTCTTGCAAATGACTTTTGAAAGTTTTTGAAAAGCTTTGTTTTAAAGATTTTTCATTAGCAAAAAGCCGAGTGTTCAAAAATTCGATGATGCGATTTCGACCGTTTCTTCCAATGAAACCTATTTTAATGACAAAATAAAAAAGATAGCGCACAAAAAGTTAAATCTACAACCAAAATTTTAGAATAAACCATTTAGCGGTTTTCTTTATGTGCCCATTTTTCGATCTTTTTAAAAAAACCAATTTTCGTCATCGCAAATTATTCTAAAATACTAAAAATTGTTTTAAAATGACAAAAAGTAAATGATAAGTGTTTATAATGAAAGAAATTGTTTGGTATTTGGTAGTTTTTGGCTCGTTCATTTCGTTAATGCTTTTGTTAATGAAATGAACGGTGCAACACTTAGTACTCAACGAAATATCAGTAAAACAATTAACGACTACGCGACTGTACGCCCAAAAATGTCGTCATCGCGAATGTGTTAAAAGAAGTCAACTATAAGTTTCATCCTCATCCTACTCAACCTAATAATTGTGTGTTGGATAATATTGTAAAGAGCTGAATGTAAAGAGCTGATTGTAAAGATCTGTATATAAAGATTTGCACCCATATCCAGAGTAATGCGTATTCCATTGGCTATTGGCCATTGGTTTTCTAAAAATCACCAATTTTAGAAAACTACCATACTCAAATCGCCAGTTTCTATTCAATCAGCTCAATCTTGGTATCATTGACTGAGCCTTGCGATTCATGATATCAAAATTGGGCTGATTGAATGAACAAATCGCAGTTTGAGTACGGTAAAATGTTTTCTAAAATCATTTTTTATATAACACATTACTCTGTGATACTTATCCCAAAACCAACCTGCTATTCCTGCGCGCACCAATCGATTGCACATTCAGTAACATTTTGAAGAGAGTACTTCACTCTAACTAAACTGTTCTGGGGTATACTATATTCAAGTGCTGTACGAGAAGTATAATCTAGCAGCAGATACCGTAAGGACGTAGGTAGTGCTCAAATCTGTAAACGCACCTTTCTGGAGCACTGAATTCTTCATTTTTTGCTGTTGCTGCAAAAAATTAAGAATTCAGTGCTCCAGAAAGGGTGAGTTCACAATTTTCAGCACAAAGAGTAATCTAAAGCATCTTCTAATCGCAAAACAAAGAAAAGAAAATTTTGCTTCAGAGATACTCGATGAAAAATGTTTATGGGACTTTGAAGCTGAAAGAAAAGGAGAAAAAGAAAAAAAGGAATGATCGAGTCGACCACTTCGATGTACTCAAAAAGAAACAAGAGAAATAAAAGAGAAATCCGCACTCAACTTGGCTTACACTTTGAAAAAGGATAACTTCGAATCACAAATGAACTTTTAGTTGTCCAAGGTACCTAAGGCAGTTGTCCAAGGCAAATTTTCAATTTAGATTAATTTTGTTCAATCAAGTCTATTGTTGATGTTTGATGCATGAATTTTATTATTAAATATGCACCGTTTTCCATTAATCGTGTCAGTGACTCCCAAATAAAATGTAATCAAAGCATCAAAAGTTCATTAAAAATCCAAGACAATAAAAAACTCACCAAAAAAATGTTTATTCACTCAAAATCCAGCATATTTTCTCAGAATCCATCTTATTAGATTTGGTAGGCTGATCAACAAGATGAGACCAGACAAAGTGGCGATCGAGATAGCATAAACTAAATGAAAACAACAATAATCTAATAAACATTCAAAAATATACCTATGTATTTTGCTTTCTCCGCTCTCACGGGCATTTGTGGCACGTCGGTCGGCGGATAACTAAAAGATCTCAATAGAAGATAAATTTTTGCAAGCTTGTAATTCATAGGCATACTCATGGAGCAAGGCCAGGCACTTACATTGCATGCAGCGGACCTCGGTACGGCGTGAATCGTTTAACCATATTTGACTCTTCTGAAAATCTTGAAGCGATCACGGTTGGGTGTCCAAAATATGTTTCACATCCGTCTATCTGAAGAAAGAACAATAGAATCTTAATAATGGTTTAAGGTCGTCTTGAAGTTGATTGCTCAAACTTAACTCAAAGCTAGTCAACCAATTTTATAGCTGGAATCAAAACTTTTCTGTTCTAGCCGTTTTATAAAAAATTACCAGTCTGCGTAAGATCAAGGTTGCATTGGAGACTCCGGCATACTCGTGCGTGTACATGAGCGGTGAAAAGTGGGCAGGCAACGCTTGTCTACCGTATCTAAAGAAGAACAATACTTCAATAATGAACCACAATTGTAAACTTGTCGATTATCTAGTTCTTATCGATATAAAGGTTTACACATTGTAACCTAGAACTCACCCTTCTAGATAATTGCCTTCAAAAAGCGCTTCTAAATCAATGAGTTGCATGTTGGCCGCCGCAAAGCCGACCACGTTTCGATTTGAGACCATCAGGAAAACTTTCTAAACCGTAATGATGATTGGTTGATGTCTATACGTTTTGTGGTCTAAAGCCCATAGATGCTGACTGAATGCTTTAGGTTTAAAGGTAAAAGCTTGACCCTATTCTTCACGTAAACATTGAATTGAGCTTCGTAAAAGTTGGGCACAGCTTTGATCGAGATGGCAGCCTTCGTATCAATGAACTAAAACAAATCGCGTACGATAGGCAAATGTAGGTAAACAGATAACCCCACAAATTCTAAGCTCATTATTCCAAAATATTAAACTAACCTTTATAACGGGCACGCCAACGCTATCCAGTTTTTCGATATGCACCCAAAACACGCGATATTCGTGCACATCAAGCACCACCACGAACACGTATTCCTCGTACTAAACAAAAAAAGATTATCAATTGTAAAGCTGCTTATCAAAAGTAGATAGCCACTTTTACTATGATTCTTAGACAATTTCCAAGCAAACTCACCGAAAAAAGACTGCTGATACGCAATTTACGAGTGAAACATCGCATCTCTACGCTATCGTTGGCTTCCTGTAAATGAAAAAATTGTTTCTAAGAAAAGAAATGAATTTTTAGAACTCCATAAATTTTTTCCAATCTAATGTTTACAAGTTTGTTACAAAAAAACCGCACCTTTGGACATCCAGCTAAGCGTGAATGCTCATCCTTGTGCACTTCTTCGATTGACGGCGAGAAAACGGATCGGAAATCTAGCATATTCGCCTTCACGTAGCGGATGTCGCCAATTCTAAACATGAAAAAAACAATGGCACTCCGAAAACCTTTTTTATAAGATGTTTGGAGCAAAAACAAACAACATTTCTTCAACAAACAACAACAAACAACAAACTTACTTCAGCATGTGTGATCCAAGTTCAGAGTGATCGACCAGATCGGTGTGAATCTTGGTAAGGAAAAAAACCTAAAAGTAACAAGGTTTTTTAAAACTATAAGTTTAATCTATGAATAATTCTATAAGATATAGAATTATTCATAGTTTCAATGCACCTCCAGACGATCGTTCATGGTACGCACAGCAATTCGGGTTCTTTTCCTCTGTTTTTTTGTTAGATCAAACTAAAAAAAAATTTTGTTCGAGGACAAAGATAAAAACTGACCACCACCGTGTAGAACAACCGCAATCCTCGGCAAGAAGCGGCATTGTCTGCTATAAGCGATTCATCCGCGCCTTGTTTCTCGTAAAGGAACGTTGAAGCCTGAAATTAAAAATACTTGCAAAACAACATAGATGCAAAATATAACATAGAACATAGACGGTTCTACTCTAATTATATAACAGCTAAAACTAACCTCTTCAGCGCGCTCCACTGTCGTTTCATAGAAGTAGCATCCCTCAGTGATCCCCATGACTAAACAAATGAATTTAAGAAGTTAGCGTACTATGAATGGGCTAAGAAATTGAATCTTTCAAAAAATACTTGAAACGCTCGCCTTAAGAGCCGCGTTGTCGTGGATTCCGATGATGCATTTGTGGAGATCGCCGCTCTGAAAAAAAAGAAGTTAGATCAGAGATTACGCATAATAAATAAATACAATAAAATAAAAGCTTTACAATAAAACTAAAGTTATCTTTACAATAAAATTTTGTTTTTCTTTTCTACAGGGTGCGGCAGGATTATCGCAATCAATATTTTTAAGGATAGAAACCGATAGAGAAATCAAATCAAAAACTTTAACAATTGAACAAGAAAAACTACTTTCTTTATCTCTATGGGAAGAAATGCAGGCCTGGTGGAAAGGCAGGGCAGAAAAATGCATCCACTGTGGCCAAATGGTAAGCGGGATCGAGTTTATCAATTGCTTTTTGAAGAGATTTCTTAATCGAATCGATGCTGGGATGCGGTTTTGAGCACGTTTTTGCTTCAAGAACTTTCCAAACACTGAAATCCATCGGATTAAGATCGGGACTTGACGGTGGCGACTAAAGGTGACCAAATCGGGAAAATACTGCTTGCGCCAGTCCGGAACCACTCGAGCCTTGTGAGCATAAGCATCATCCTGCATAAAACACCAAATTCTGTTGCCAAAGTGTCGCTAAATCCTGTTTTTGGGTCAGGGAAAAAGATCTTTCTAAAGTATGTCGAGATAAGTTGTTGGAGCTAACATGCCCTGAGACGGTCGCAAAAATCCTGCCGCATCCTGTACACTCGGGAAAGCATGGCTCTTATCGGGAAAGCATGGCTCTATTCAAAACGGAAGATCTTTCTTAAATATTTCGAGAGCCATCGGATTAAGATCGGGACTTGAGGGTGGGTAAATTTGTAATGAGCAGTTGCTCTTGAAAGTTTTTATCAAAGCACAGATTATAGCGACTAATTCGTGTTTCTTTTGAGTAGGTAAACAATTATTATAGACTTCGAAAGCTGTACGATAGTTTTTATACGTTTTGGACGCATTACTCGATCGGAGCACATGCTATGCAAGAACAGTGAGATTCACCAGAATTGTTCCAAATTCAAAGTCTACAAGACAGTTGCTCGCAAAGACCTCGCACTAGATGCTTATTGATCTAATATTAGGCTCAAAAGGCGATCCGGTATCCCTGATTTGACATTAAACCTGTCAGATCAATGGACCAAAGTGAACTTTGGCTTTGGAAAACTTTGGAATAGCGATAGTTCAACGCAAATGTTAGAGATTTGTGACAGATGACTAAAAACAAGAGAAAAATGAGAAAACCGCTCACCTGTAAGGTATCAGACATCAATTTCGCGTAACCAATCGACATCAGCGTCAAGAAGAAAGAGAATATCATTGAAGAAGTGAAGATAAGAACTGGTTGCAGAGTTGAGATAAGAATGATGCAAAAAAAAATTGGCGAGGAAAATGACTTTATTCTTAAATGCAGATTTGACGGAAAACTGTTTTAAATGCAAATTTACACATCTCATAGCATCAAATTACGCAGCTAATGTACATTAGTAAATTACGCAGCTAATGTACAGCAGCTAATGTACAGCAGCTAATGTACATTAGCGGTTCCAATACGGTTCCAATACGGTTCGTATTTTGATCTAATACGGTTCCAATACGTTTCCAATACGTTTCCAATACGGTTCCAATAAGGTTCGTATTCCAATAAGGTTCGTATTCGTAAACAATGCAGCTAATGTACATTAGCTGCATTGTTTAGCTGCAAATTTTATCTGCCTTGTTTTTCTTGTTGCTTTCTTAACAGTTTTTCAAATCATTTATTCATCTTTTATATCCAATTCATCTAAAATAAGCTTAAGCTGAAAATTCGGAAACTTTTCTTGCAAATCCCGAATTTTCTTAGCAAAATCGGCCGGATCTTTAGCACTTTTTAAACGCTTTTCCACCAATTTCATCAATGCTTTCGGGATATAAACAAGATTTTCGAGAATCTTTTCGAAAATCCCAAAAAATTCCTTATCATCGCAATGGGCGAAGAGCTTTGTGCAGAATTGACCGTGCCTTGCGAGATTTTCGGCCATCAATGCGAAGAGTTGGGGTGGAAGGCTGCGAAGGAGATGGTGTCTGAAATTTGATTCAAAATATTTAAAGACTTGATTGTGCTTGTGGAAGACATGTAAAGCGTACTTTGTATCCATGTAAACACCCGTTTTCTGGTGCATCAACTTCTTCATTTTTCTCGCGACACCAAAGCGTTGTCGTGAGAAAAATGGGGAAATCAGTGCACCAGAAAGGAAACTTTATCGATTCGACGAAGTTCACTTGCTCTAAAGTTCACTTAACTCCCTCTGGAATAAGGGATTTGAAGTGCGTTGTGGTGTAATGGTTAGCACAGCTGCCTGGTAAGCGAAAGGTCGTGGATTCGAGTCCCAGCGGTGTCTGAGTTTTTTGATCTGCCCTAGTTCCAACTGTTCGCCAACGGAGTTGATTATTTTGGCTTTACAATCAGATACCTAATTTGAAAATGGATTTTAGATGTTAACACTGATTGAGTACAGATCAAGCTTTGGTCCTTTGATTGGACAAAGACAAATTGGGCCAATTCCAGTTCTGATTGGGCCATTTCTTACAAGGGAAAAGGCGCCAAGCTGCCTTTTGACTCGAGACCAAGTCCATCTTATAAAGTCGGTCATGAGGATGCCGATTCGTTCTTAGTTTTTACAGAACACTTCGCAAACGCGGGATATTTCGCATAGAAAATCATCTTGAATTTCGAGCTCCTTATGAGGTCGTCGGCTTCCCCAATAACTGATTGGGTGGCCTAGTGGATAGTCTGCTAGACTACAGAACCTGTTACATTTTTGCCCTCAAGTTCGAGTCCCGTGGCCAACTTTTTGAGATGGACTTTGAGATGGACTTTGAGATGGACTTGGAGATGGAGTCCCGACTCAAAAAGCCGGCTTGACCCGGTCCCTTCCCCTTGCCTAGGTCTGGCAGAGTTGAACCTGAGTCTGCTTGAACAGGAAAGCCTACTCGGAAAACTCAGTTTGGAAATGCTAGATTGCTAGACCATGCTAGATTCAAACTTAAACTCTAATTCAATTCCAGATTCATATTCAAGCTTAAAGTCTTATAGCTAGGCTAGGCTAGGCCACCACAAAAAAAAAATCGATTTAAACCTTTTAGATCCGATACAAGATTTCTCCTACCTGATCTCTTTCTGAAGCCCATTCGAGCATCGATAAACATAAATTATCGTCAACAATTCCAAATAGATTTCATTATTCTGAAAACATTTTTCAATTCATTTTCCAAATCATTTTCTTGATTAACCTTTTCTTCTTCGTTTAGTTTTCGCAAAAACTCTTTTATCAGCTCTCCAGCATATGGCTGAATCTTCAATCGAATGTCAAGAATCGACCACCAGAGAATGAAAAATTTAGGCCAAGCATCTAGCTTATTTAGAGAATTCAGAATCTAAAATGGTAATTGGAGAAAAGATTGATTTTTTTAAACTTTGTGATCCATTTTGAATTGTTGAAAGAACGAGACGATCATCTTCGCAATCAAATCAGGCGATTCTCGTCTCCATTGATCGGGCATTGAAAGGAGTAACTATAGAAGTAAAAATGGTAATTTGGACTACGATTACTGTTTGTTTTCTAAAACATGTCTCCTTTTCAACTACTGTAATCCTGGCTCTAGCTTTATTCAATCTGTCAATCAATTCAATTCAATTTTTTGTATATTTTGATAGCCTTCGTGAAACCTCACAGACAAGGAATGCTTTAAAGAATGCTGTAGATCTGATCTACCGTAATCTTCAGGTATGCTGATCTACCGTAATCTTCAGGTATGCTGATCTACTATAATCTTCAGGCCATAGGACTCTAGAATTGGCTTACAAACCATAGAATTTGTAAGCTCACTCAGCTCACTATCAGGTTGGAGTCCGGCCAGAAGCCAAGTTCAGTTTTCTGTGAATCAGGAGTAAAGACAGTTCAAAAACCTGAAGTAAAGCCAGATCTTGGCTTGGCCCTAGTCAACTACCGTAATCTTGTCTCCAGTTTTTATCCAATCTGGGGTAGGCTAATTTCCGCAACTTCTCTGCGCAACTGGGTCGCAACAGATCGTTTGCGCAACTGGGTCATTTGCGCAACTGAATCGTTTGCGCAACTCGTCATAACTTTCTTCTAAGTGGGTCAATCTTTATGATTTTGGTTTCATTTTGTAGATCTCAATAAGTGCAACAAAATGACACCAAAAACATAAAGATCGGTCCACTTAGAAGAAAGTTATGGCGAGTTGCGCAAATGGCCCAGTTGCGCAAGTAACCCCGTTGCGCAAAAAAGTTGCGGAAACTACCCCTCCAATCTATGTAATTTTTCATTTTTGATGTAAATCCGATAGAATCAGACAAAAAGTAGATAGATTGAATAAAATTAGAAACAAAATTATGGCCGTTTTCGAAAACGAATTGATTTCGAAAACAGCTGACGGTTTGGCGAGAAGTCCGACGGAGAGAGATTTGAATATTTCCCTGGATCGGCTTAATGCTGGTTAGCTTTTTTTAAAAGACACCTATTTTAGAAAGCTACCATAGTGCCTTTAAACTTTAATTTAAAAGATTATCACAAATTTTCTAGGCAAACCCCAGTGCCCAGTCAATCTAAACACCCTGGTGATTCCAAGAAAGAAACCCAACCAAAAAGACAAAGATTTCAGTCGAAAACCCTATGTGAGTTAAATAATTTAATTAATTAATTGATTGATAGGATCTCACCTGTCCATAAAAATCCACAAATTTCAAATTGATCTCCTCGGAAAGATTCAACACTTCAGTACCAAATGCGAATTTTGCCAAGCTTTCAAAAGTAATGTGTTGAACCTGGAATACTGTAAACTAGGCAACGTGCTGCAATTGGGCAATTCGATTGTTAATGTTTTTTTGGAGTTTATGAGTTAAAAACGTCTAGAACGTTTAGACGTTGAAAAACGTCTAGAATCGTCCCTTTAAAGTCTGGCTGGCTACCGTAATCCGTAGTTTATAGTTTGTAATCCGTAGTTTGTAATCCGTAGTTCGTAGTTCGTAATCCGTAAAGACGCTACCGTAACTCACGAAATTAAGACAATGCAGTAGTGCAAAGATTAAATCAGCCTACCTGTGTCCTAACTACCGTAACCCTCTGGTAACTGAATGGTAGACTTCGGAAAACAAAACTTAACCAAAACCAAAACAAACCAAAACCAAAACTACCAAAACCAAAACCAAAACCATAACAAAACCAAAACAAACCAAAACCAAAACCAAAACTAACCAAAACTCGCCAATATCTCGCGACTGGGAGGAGCTAGCGAAAATCTGTTTGCAGATTTGAAATCAGCATCCAAAAATCTATCCCATAGGCTATTTTTTGTTTCGAAATTTCGAGGTCGTGTTTTGGTCCTTTTTTCAGCCGCGAGATTTTGTGGAGTGAGAAAAAGTGAATGGCTAATTTGCATTTTACAATTTGAAATTTACATTTAAATTTATATGCAAATTGAGTTTTGGTTTGTTTTGGTTTTGGTTTGTTTTGGTGTTTTGGTTTTGGTTTTGGTCTGTTTTGGTTTTGGTTTTGGTTTTGGTTTTGGTTTTGGTTTTGGTTTTGGTCTGTTTTGGTGTTTTGGTCTGTTTTGGTTTTGGTTTTGGTCTGTTTTGGTTTTGGTTTTGTTTGCCGAAGTCTACTGTAAACTATCTAATTTTCTAAATACAACCTCCTCTTCCTCGCACTTCAACAACTTTGTGAACATTGGGAAAATTTCATCAGATAATAACTGAAACAAGAGAATTTGTTGGGAATTTTGTTGGAAATTGTTGGAAATTTTAAAACTGACCGGTAACGCTTGAAAAAGTGAATGGATGAATGGATTGAGTGAAGTTTCCTCGAGAAAATGGGATCCAGGTAGGCCGAGAAGGCTTGATAGAGCCCATTTTCTAAAAGTTCTCAAATATTTGGGAAAACTAACGTAATCCCAATGCTAGTTTCGATTCAATCAACTCAATTTTGATTTCATTATGCCTTGTGGACTGAGCCTTGTGATTTTTGATATCAAAATTGAGCTGATTGAATGAAAACAATTGAATTACGATAGTTTTCTAAAATAAATCGTATTTCCTCTAATAAAAGCCTCGCTCTAATAAACTCTCAAGTACGAAAATTTACAAAAAACATTCCGTAAATACTGTAATAGTACCCCACCCCCATAATGACGGTGCGGAGTGTTGTGTAGTCTAGCTTTGAACGAGTTTTTCTCAACACTGGTTTAGGCTAAAATGTGCCAGCAGCCAGCTCTCAAAGTGTATGTCATTATTGCTGCGGTTAAAAAGCTCGTAGTTGGATCTGAGCCTTTGGATACGGTTCACCTCTGTGTGATACTGGATCCGGGGTTAAATTCGTCGGTTCTCCTGCGAGAGTTACTCTGAATAAATCAGAGTGCTCAAAACAAGCGTTTCGCTTGAATGTTTTTGCATGGAATAATGGAAAAGGACTTCGGTTCCTTACTGTTGGTTTCGGAATTGGATTAATGATTAAGAGGGATTAATGATTAAGAGGGACCAATGATTAATGAGCCCATTTTCTAAAGGTTCTCAAATGTTTGAGAAAACTAACGTCATTCCAATGCTAGTTTCCATTCAATCAACTCAATTTTGATTTCATTGATTGAGCCTTGTCGTTTTTGATATCAAAATTGAGCTGATTGAATGAAAACAATTGAATTACGATAGTTTTCTAAAATATCATCTTTACTCTAATAAAAGCCTCCCTCTAATAAACTCTCAAGTACGAAAATTTACAAACAACATAGGAATAACGACTGAGGGGGTGGGACAAATGCGACCTTTTTTTTGCTGGAAAAGGCCTTAGGAAAAGTCGTAGAGCTTCAAAAACGTTTTCATAGAAGGGAATCGTATGCGTAGATTCAGAATTTCGACAAATCAGATCTCGCTGACACGTCAAATTTGGGCTAAAAGGCAAAAACTACGCAACTTAACGCTTTTCCGCAGTTTTTGCCTTTTAGCCCAAATTTGACGTGTCAGCGAGGTCTGATTTGTCGAAATTCTGAATCTACGCATACGATTCCCTGATATGGAAATATTTTCGAAGCTCTACGGCCTTGCCTAAGGCCTTTTCCAGCAAAAAAAAGGTGCGCAAATGTCCGGGTGCGCAAAAAAAAGGTCGCATTTGTCCCACCCCCAACGACTGATACTTTAAAATTATACTCCCACACACAATTTGTCGTACATCAATTCAAATAAACTCCCACAAAATTTATTTTAAGAAATTTTTACGGTTCAACACGAACAAGGCAGCCATTGTGTATGAATTTCCTCCAAAATCCAATTGTAAAAGCTTTCTTTGGGGTAGGCTAGTTTCCGCAACTGGATCGTTTGCGCAACTCGCCGTAACTTTCTTCTAAGTCGGCCAATCTTTATGATTTTGGTTTTATTTTGTAGATCTCAACAAGTGCAACAAAATGAAACCAAAATCATAAAGATTGACCGACTTAGAAGAAAGTTATGGCAATTTGCGCAAATGACCCAGTTGCGCAAACGACCCCGTTGCGCAAAAAAGTTGCGGAAATTAGCCTACCGCCTTTCTTTTACGATTTCGGTTCACAAAAAGTTCCAGAGCTCCACTATTGCGTCCAGGTGTAGATAAAACAAAATATCGTAACGAAATGAAGCACTGCTTGGAAGCTTGCACTGCGCATTTATGCAAATGTTAGTTATTCCAACTGAAAGGCAAATTAAATTGCAAATTTTTGTGGGGCTCTATTTGAATTGATGCACCTGCAATGGATGTTTATCTTGAATAGATTGCTTCGTCTTGGGAAAAACTATCTTCAGAAATTATTTTCGAGGCATTTAAAATCTGCGGAGCAGGAAGTGATCACGATAGAAAAGAAGAGCATCTTATTCACTGCACAATGGAAAAGAAGAGCATCTTATTCACCGCTCAGATAGCCCGATATCTTCTGGATTTAAAGCAGAGTGCCCGATTGGATAAAGAAATCGCTGAAATTTTAGTCCCAAGCATCGAATCAGCAATTTTCAAATGAGCAAATCAGCAATCAGCAATTTCGTGAGCTCAGACAAGAGGCTGAATACGGAAATCAATTGTTTGAAATGCTGTTTTTCTTGCATTTTAGTTTCTGCTAATTTTTGTTGTTGAAATATATAATTCGATAAAAGTGACTTATGATACTGAATGCCTTATTTGCAATACTATTATTTTTTATCGTGGAATCAGCATCAATTATTAGGCATCATGTACCTAAGTACTGCCTGCAGAGGGATATAAACGCTCCAAGGCGGCCCAGGGTATAAACGCCCCAAGGCTTTGATGAGAGTAAATACGATAGGTGTCTTTTTTAGAAGATGGATTAGCCGAGAGGAAGGCCAGACATGCAACTGAAACCCAGTTTTAGCTGGCATATTGTAGCCAGACATGCAACTGAAACCATACTACTGTAGGCAGACTCACCGATCCTCCAGAGTCGCCTCCTCATCGGCGAAACGATCAAAATCGATTCTCGTTGTCCCATCCAATGGACGACTCCAACTTTGACTCAAAAACAACGCCGTCTCGTCAACTGGCTTGGAAATCTTGAAAAATGGATTACTTGTAGTGAACCAAGCTTCACAAGAATACAGCAGACAAACTTGTCAACAACCATGAAGATAGAAGACTCCAGAGTACTTAAGAGTGCTTATTTGAAATCAAAACTCTAAGTACTATAGATAGAAATCAATATTTTCAGCTTGTAGACAAAATTTCAAAGCAATCGCCCAAGAAACAGCCAAGAAACAGCCAAGAAAACGAAGGTAGAATTAGATTCGGGCTGGAAGGCTTCCCATCTCTAGTAAGTACCTGCTGAGTTCTTTGTGATGTCTCCAAGATTTGTCTTGCTTGTTGAGAAACATCTTCGAGGTAATTCTTGAAGAGATGAGTCTCTGCGAACTTCTGCGCAATCGAATACGCTGCTCTAGAATGACAATGCTCTAGAAAAGTCTATACAGTGCGTTTCACATCAAGTGCTCCGCCCAAGAAAAGTGCTGTATCTTATGTTAGATGCATTTTAAAGCTCTAGTTCTTTTTCTATTAAACAGAGCACGTTTAAATACCTTAGTAAACACGAACTTGCATCGTTATTGTCGGATTTTGACAATTTTACTACCGTTTTTCAGCCCTTATCGAGAGCTACAAAATGGAATCAAAATGCAATAGGTCCAAAAATAAGGAAATCGTCCGATTGTATGTTACGTCTGATCTAGATTGATTCTAAATCGGTCGTCTGCTCTAGAGTGAAGTGAGGTTAAACGTCCGATCTAGAATCACGGATCTAGAATCACGGATCTAGAATCACGGATCTAGAATCACGGATCTAGAATCACGGATCTAGAACCACGGATCTAGAATCACGGATCTAGAAGCACGGATCTAGAATCACGGATCTAGAATCACGGATCTAGAATCACGGATCTAGAATCACGGATCTAGAATCACGGATCTAGAATCACGGATCTAGAATCACCAATCTAGAGTCACCGATCTAGAGTCACCGATCTAGAGTCACCGATCTAGAGTCACCGATCTAGAGTCACCGATCTAGAGTCACCGATCTAGAGTCACCGATCTAGAGTCACCGATCTAGAGTCACCGATCTAGAGTCACCGATCTAGAGTCACCGATCTAGAGTCACCGATCTAGAGTCACCGATCTAGAGTCACCGATCTAGAGTCACCGTTTTTGTATCTAGAATCAAGCCGATCACTCTAAATCAGACATCCAATCCAGACTTAGATTTAGAGTGATCGGCTTGATTCTAGATTGGACGTTTGACCTCATTTCACTCTAGATCGGAGGGATTTCTAGATTAGATTCTAGATCGGATTCTAGATCGAACGTTTGACCTCATTTCACTCTAGATTGGACGCACTTCAAGATTAGACGGATTTCTAGATTAAACATAACATATACAAATTTACATCCATCAAATTTTTGAAATCCAAACCTTTGCATCATTCTCTTTTCGGTGTGACTCATCACCGAGTTCACATTTCGTCGACCAGCCCAATATCTGAGATTACGATAGGAAGGATATTTATTCGAAAGCTTTGTCTCAACCAGTAGTCTCTTCTTTATGCTCAAATTTGTAAACCCACCCTTTCTGGTGCTGACAAATCGTTGCTTCAAGAAAACGAAAGAAACTACTGCACCAGATTGGGTGCTTTAACAAGTTTGAGTACAAAAAACACACAATAACAACTCTAACGACTCACCCACCTAGCCACCGTGAAATCCAACTCTCGTCCACAATTCTCCTCAAATCTCTCCAAAAGAAACATCCTTAGATAAACAAAATTATCCGGATTCATCTTTTTTAAAGGTTTTTAGATAATAAATAAAATAGCTAACAAGCAAAATATAACGACTAAATAGCAAGAATAGCAAAAAAAACTTTTGCCTGGCCTCGTTTCCATGGTAACCACGGTTTTCATGTTGTTTTCAATTGTTTTCAATTGTTTTCAAGTTGTTTTCAAGTTGTTTTCCAGAAAGTGCACGAGTTTTGAGTCAAAAATTGAGCAAAGCCACATAAAAAGCATATAAAATAAGCGAGTTTCAATTTTTCCACATTTGACTTCTCGAAATCTGAATCGATTTTATCTTTAGCAGCAGTCCAGCAGTCAAATACTGGCTCAATTATTGGCTTTATTCACCGCTTCTGTGCCATTTGAAGTGCCTTATTGGAGAAGCTAGAGTGGTGGCTCATTTCATTTGATTTGATTCGCATTCTAATTTGATTCTCATCACTGTTTTTTTATTGTTCTCCCTAGCTTGTCGTATGATTGATACTGTCAGCCTAAAAGTTGTATATGTCGTAGCCGATTTGTTATTTCAGCCGATTTGTTATTTCAGCCGATTTGTTATTTCAGCCGATTTGTTATTTCAGCCGATTTGTTATTTCAGCCGATTTGTTATTTCAGCCGATTTGCTATGAAAGCATATCGGCTAGCCAATTTGCCAATTAGATTTTCTCGAAGTTTGTTTCAATTTTTTGAGGATCTACTTTCAATTTCTTTGTTAAACTTTGCCCAGAGGGCGAGTTGAAGCAGGGGACCTCAAAGAAGGGAATTGTCATCAAGCCGATTGACAGAGCGATTGACGGGAGCAGAACGAGCGATGTCAAGTCGATCTCATTGATCTACAATCCGTTTCCGATGGTCATCAAGCCGATTGACACACAGGAGCAGAACGAGCGATGTCAAGTCGATCTCATTGATCTACAATCCGTTCCCGATGGTGATTACAAGTTTCTTATGTTATATTGGGATCGTTTAACGAAGTTTACCATTTTGAAAGATGAAAGATTAAAAAGATCTGATTGAAATGACCAGCGTCAAAAGCTTACATTTGGCGCTGAAGCTGACCGCTGAAGCTGAAGCGTCAAAAGCTTACAATTTCCGCCATCACATAATCCGTTTGTCCTGTTCACAGCGATGTGCTTAAGAATTGAATAAAAAGAAATGATTTTGATGATCAGCATCAAGCAAAGAATTGAAATAAAAGTGAAAAAACCATGAAATTTCTCTGCAGAAAGCGCTAATTTTGTTAATTTCGATTCTTATTGCCATCCTATCTTTGTTTTCAATAAATAAATGAAGAATATGAGGAATATGGGCCAAATGAGGAATATGTGCCATAAAGAGACATTTTCTGAAGTCTATTTGAATAAAGAAAAGCTGATTGGTTTGTCTTGAGAGTTGGGAGACGAGCCGACAATAGTCCTACTCTACAATAGCCGACAATAGTCCTACTCTACAATAATCGACAATAGTCCTCCTAATTCTTTTGACATAAACTCCACTCGGAGAAATCATCGCTGAATAAAGAAATCAATTTCATTGCTTTAAATCTTTTCAAATTCTTGACTGCTCAATTTAAACCATCAAATTCATCTCTGTTACACTTCAGACTTTGACTGTAGTCTTTGATTGTAGTCTTTGACTGTAGCCTTTGACTGTAGTCTTTGACTGTAGCCTTTGACTGTAGTCTTTGACTGTAGCCTTTGACTGTAGCCTTTGACTGTAGTCTTTGATTGTAGTCTTTGACTGTATCCTGTTTCTAAGAATTTCTGATTGACGCTTCTGGGTTTTGGGTTTATTATCCGAAGTTGACTCTATGTGAAGCATATCGGGGTGGAGCAGACGGAGGATTCCATATAAAGGTTGAGCTATAAAAGAGATGAATCTGAAAGTGCGGCAGGATTGATGGTACGGGGTGCGGCAGGATTGATTAATGCAGGATTGCAACTGCCTCAGGGAATCAATGTTAGTTCCAACAACTATCTCGACATATTTAAGAAAGATCTTTTTCCGTGACCCAAAAACAGGATTTGGCGACACTTTGGCAACAGAATTTGGTGTTTTATGCAGGATGATGCTTATGCTCACAAGGCTCGAGTGGTGCAGGACTGGCGCAAGCAGTATTTTCCCGATTTGGTCACCTTTAGTTACCACTCTCAAGTTCCGATCTTAATCCGATGGATTTCAGTATTTGGAAAGTTCTTGAAGCAAAAACGTGCTCAAAACCGCATTCCAGCATCGATTCGATTAAGAAATCTCTTCAAAAAGCTCGATAAACCAAACTCGATCAAGAAACTCGATCCCATTTACCATTTGGCTACTATGGATGCATTTTCCAAGAGTTATCAAACATTTGATACGTGCCCCGTCCCTTTTGCCATTATCAATCTAACTTTAAACTCAAATGTCTTGGTGTTGAGCTGTTCAATTTAAATAGTTTTTGTACCAATCGACAGAGAAAGTCTTGGCGCATCTAATGATACCAAGAATATTTCAATTGGACAGCCCAACACCAAGATATTTGAGCTCAAAGTTAGACTGCCAATGGCAAGGCGGCAGCATATCCAATGTCTCACCGATCTTTCTCAAATCTCATCAGGCCTGCATTTCTATCAATAGAGATAAAGAAAGTAGTTTTTCTTGTTTAATAGATCTTTAAAAATCAATTGTTAAAGTTTTTGAGTTGATTTCTTTATCGTTTTCTTTTCTTAATATTCGTTGCAATAATTCTGCCGCATTCTGTAGACCAGTTTTCGTTTCGGAAGACCCAGTTGCATTCTAAAATGTGCCCCAATTTATTTGACGGCCGCGTGCGAGGGCCTCGGCGGCATATTGGATGCAAAGAGGGCTGGCATTGTGCCAAAGGGGTAAAGGATGGACGCGGGTCTCTTTTAGCGGATGGAGGAGACAGAAGAGCCCTTCCTTTGCCTGAACCCTGGACCCCTGGACCCCTAGGGCCAACCCTACCCCAATCCATCCCATTTATTCCCCTTTCAGCTAAATGATTGCCTTTTTGAGCAATTCTTTGGTCCATTACCCCACAAAAACCCTTAAATCCTTAATATTTTGTGTTCCATTTGTTCTTAAAATATCTGGTTTCGTTTTTCGTGCGAATTCCAGGGGATTTCAGCTTTCGCTTTTTTTCAAGAGAATATTTTACATTTTACATTGAAATGCTTCGTTTACAGATCGGTGACGTCATGGCCTATCGCCACTATGAGCAGGGAACGAGGTTTGAGTTTGAAAAGTGATTCTTAGTCATAAAATAGACTTTACTTGAAAAATTTTCGGTTAAGCCTTTCGGTTAAACATTTCGGTTAAACCTTTTGGTTAAACCTTTCTGTTAAACATATCCCGATCATCGGTTGATGTTTTGTTCGGATCGTTTTTCACCATTTGGATTACGGCTCGATCTTCTTTTATGATTGTGATTGGTCGTCGGCCACTCTTGAGGCCTCGATGAAGGTTTTTGCCGACTTTTGATTGAGAAAAAATACGGCGCACTGTCCATATCGAGCAATTGAGGAGGTTGGCCACATCCTTCTCCCGCATCCCATTTTCCTGGACCATAGCGATTTGGAGCTTATCAGGTGTCGTCCAACTTCGGTAGGTCCGTGCAAAGTCAAGGCGCTGCTTAGAATTTATCAGAGGTTTACGGACAACTCTTCTTGCAGATAATCCAGCTTGATTTAATCGTCGTCTGATCGTTTCCGGCGATACAACCTTGTTAAATTGATCCCTCATCATTTGGCTTCCATCGGCTGATGTTTTGTTCGGATCGTTTTTCACCATTTGGATCACGGCTCGATCTTCTTTTATGGTTATGATTGGTCGTCGGCCACTCTTGAGGCCTCGATGAAGGTTTTTGCCGATTTTTGATTGAGAAAAAATGCGGCACACTGTCCATATCGAGCAATTGAAGAGGTTGGCCACATCCTTCCCATTTTCCTGGGCCTTAGCGATTTGGAGCTTCTTCGGGGTGTCTAGATTTTTCATCTCAGGGATCTAAATAATATATTAGAATATAAATAATACACTTAATGTTCATAGAAGGAGAAACAAAAAGAATAATCATGAAAACGATCAATGGGGCAGTACTTTTGTGGACCACTGTATTTATTTTTGAAAATCTGCAAACTTTTTCGACTTTTATCAGCTCTTGGCTTTGGATTGTTCAATCTAAATAGTTTTTATACGAATCGACAAAGAAAGTCTTGGCGCATCTAATGAAAGTCTTGGTGCATCTAAATTCAGCCACTGAATAACTGAAAAGTTTACTGAAAATTGCTCATTTTTTTGAGCGAATTGAGACAACCGGTTTGTTTTTTTGCTAAAAATTTGCTTCATTGTCGGCGATTGACCGAGTTTTTCGTTTTAGCAATCCCTTTTCCCCTTTTTTTCGACGAATTTAAACGAAAATAACCGCACACTCGCGCCAAAAACATTATCTACCGCAAAATTATTAAAAACTATCTCTCACTGATGAAGTTCTTGTAAGTTTTGGTTAGGATTTATCGTAATTATTCGAATAAAAGGGTATACTCGTCTATTTTTCACTCCTAAGCCAAAATCGACCGCGCAAAAAAAGTCGACCGCCCAAAAAATCGATAACGATCCGCCCACATGAATCGAAAATTTCAAAATTGGTCAAAAACTATTTTAAACGATAGTTCTTTGTCTAAAACATATAGAAAACAAATAAAACAAACAAAACAAACAAAACAAACAAAAATTCACAAAACATAAAAGTGAAAATATTTTCAAAACTGAATTTCAAAAAAATCCCTATGGTCCCCCACATAAAATTTTTTTTCGAAAATTATTTTTCAATTTTTTCAAAAATCAGATTTCTAATTTTACTGTGGATGGCATATTATCCCATCCTAAACCCAAATTGATCAATTCACGCGAAAAAATAATCGGAAAAATCGATTTCACGCCGATTTTTACCCTTATATTGGAACCTGAGGTTAACTGCTGGATTGCTGAGGCCTTGCGGAGTTCAAGAAATCATGAAGGTTATACTTTTGATGTTATCAGACTTGTAAATGTTTTAGTATTTTACCTAATAAATTTAACGAAGTTGCGCTTCGCATTCACTGCAGTTGACCACGTTTTCCCGGATCAACAATAGTATCGGGGGGCAGATTTTGGTATGTTGGCCAGGGGACGACCGCAAAGACCTCTTGCCAACTGACATTGGTATGTTTTAGATAGATCTTATTCAGGGCTACATTATTATACGAATGTTAGTTGGCCAGAGGTCTTTGGGGTCGTCCGCTGAACCTCTGAAATCTATACCAAAATCTGCCCCTCCCCTCCTCCAGATATTGAAGTGCCCCCCTCCTCCAGGTATCAAAAAATAGCTAAAATTCCGGGCTATTTTTTGATACCTAAGCGCGCATTGTAGCATAAACCAGTGTCGAGAAAAACTCGTTCAAAGTTAGACTACGCAACACTCCGCACCGTCATTATGGGCCCACCCACATCCGCGCGAAATGGTGTTCTCTATCAGAATTTCACGTTTGAATATCCATTCGACGCAGAAAATTGTGCTGAATCGAATGGTGAAGAAATTATCGAAATCCGTCTGACTCGATTTTTTAAAATCGCCTTTTATCGAAAAAACCGCACTTTTACAATCAACTCGCTCGCCGCGACCAACTTTCGGTGGCCCGTTCTCAGCGTGGTCGAAAGATTGCGCCCTCAAAACCGATAACTTTTGTGTGGGCATGTGCAAAGATCATTTTGATACCAAAAAAATAAAAATTGATCATCTCTGCGAAGACTTGATGCCTTTTTGGTTAAATGGGCGAATCCGGGACACAGCCAAAATGCGCTTTTTTTTGCTTTGTTTTAGCTCTCTAAGCATGCAAAACTAAAAATTAGTTTTTCCACCACGCTGAGAACGATCTTTGCACACGCCCACACAAAAGTTATCGGTTTTGAGGGCGCAATCTTTCGACCACGCTGAGAACGAGCCACCGAAAGTTGGTCGCGGCGAGCGAGTTGATTGCAAAAGTGCGGTTTTTTCGATAAAAGGCGATTTTAAAAAATCGAGTCAGACGGATTTCGATAATTTCTTCACCATTCGATTCAGCACAATTTTCTGCGTCGAATGGATATTCAAACGTGAAATTCTGATCGAGAGCGTTTTTTTTTTGCCTTATTTCGCGCGGATCGTACCCCATTATGGGTCATTATGGGGTACTATTACAGTATTTACGGTAAGTAAGTAAGGATAATTATGGTAATGCCCAATCGTAAGTCCCATTTAGCTAATAAAAGCTACAATTCTAACAGCTAATAAAAACTGTTAGAATTGTAACTTGTTAGACTTATAAAAATTAATTTTTAAAAAAAACTAGTAAAGCTTTTTTCTAGAATTTCAAATTTTCAATTCCTTTTCCTTTTCAGCGGCATGAATTTCGATCGTTTCCTCGATCGCTTTGATGAGAACACGGTGACGAAACTGAAAAGGCATTACTGGACGGCAAAACAGATGATTCGAACAAAAATGGGCAAAAAGGTGAGTGAAATAAAAAGGAAACAAAGTCCGATAGAAAGCTTGACTCTTTGATAAAATATATTATCGTCGTCTGATCGTTTCCGGCGATACAACCTTGTTAAATTGATCCCTCATCACTTGGCTTCCATCGGTTGATGTTTTGTTCGGATCGTTTTTCACCATTTGGATCATTTTATATTAAAAATGAGCTCACTAATTGATACTTGATATGATTTTTAACAATTTCTAATTGATATACACACTTGCAAAGGCATTGATTGAAAGGCATTGAAAGGCAAAGACATTGAAAGGCAAAGACAAAGAATTTGTGCAACTTTTCAGTAGAGTTCTATTTCTTGCACTTTCCTGATCTTAGATCTGAACTTTCGTAAAGTATTGTGAAATACAAAGTGTTTTGGATTCACGTTTGCGAAATCTCACCGTTCAGTGAGACAGAAAAATCACTTTTGATGGCCATTAGCTGGGGCGGAGGGGGCTAAACTGCAGTCTCTAGCCTTAGTTTTTAAAAATTAATATACCGCATTACCCACAAAAATCAAATTCCCATATTACCGCCATTCGAAATGCTCGAAAATATTTTTGTATTTTGATATTGAATTAAGGAGGATGAGCTGTTGTTTGATATTGAATTAAGGAGGACGAGCTGTTGTTTGATATTGAATTAAGGAGGATGAGCTGTTGCTTGATATTGAATTAAGGAGGATGAGCTGTTGTTTAATATTGAATTAAGGAGGATGAGCTGTTGTTTGATATTGAATTAAGGAGGATGAGCTGTTGCTTGATATTGAATTAAGGAGGATGAGCTGTTGTTTGATATTGGATTAAGGAGGATGAGCTGTTGCTTGATATTGGATTAAGGAGGATGAGCTGTTGCTTGATATTGAATTAAGGAGGATGAGCTGTTGCTTGATATTGAATTAAGGAGGATGAGCTGTTGTTTGATATTGGATTAAGGAGGATGAGCTGTTGTTTGATATTGAATTAAGGAGGATGAGCTGTTGACAGCCTCCGACGCGGACTTGGACGCTCAGTTGTCCCTATTCAACTCGATCAAAACGACAAGCGATTTGCTGCTAGAAGCGGCTCACTACTATCACGGGTTTCTTTTGGGTGAGTTTTTGAGAAATCAAAAGACCGTATTTCTTCTAATAGAAAGCGCATCGTATAGGCTCATAGCGTAGTCTAAGGTGAGCTTAAAGAAACGCTCATATTTCATCACGCAGATGCTTGTTCAATTTACTTTTGGCATCAAAAAATAGTAGAGAATCAGGGCTATCTTTTGGTAGACTTGTATGGCTTTTGGCTTTTGGCTTTTGTATTTGCTTTTGCTCTTGTATAGCACTCAATTTCTAGCTCAAATTTCTCAATTTCTTCAAAACAGCGTTAAGCCGTGAATGTTTAAAGTTAGTGAAAACGGGATGAGCTTTTATTAGAAGAAATACGGTATAATTAAGATAATTAAGAATGAAAAAAAGATGCTGAAGAAACAAAAAAGAAAACAAAATGCTTCTAGACGCGGCACACGCCGAGAATGGGGTCGGCAAATTTTTGAAAGATCGAGGAAAGTTGCAGAGAAGAGAAGAGACGAAAAAGGTGGGTAAATTACAATTTTTTTTCGAACAGACTTACAGTATTTATGTCTGAGATTTGAAAATTCGATAAACATTTGCAACTTTGCAATTTGCAACAACTTTTTGTTAGGTAATGATCGCCGTGGGCAGAGCTTTCCTCTTCGCTTCACACCAAAGAGCCGCCATTTGCAATCCGTTGTTGAGGTGGGGTTTGTTCGAAGGCTAATTGAGGGATTAAAGCTCTAAGAAATGTTAGAACTGTAATATGTGAAAGGATTTACAATACAGTAATAAAAAGAATGAATTTAGTCGTAATTTTAGCATAAACTAGTACAACTGGCAATCTAGCGAGTTTGAGAGCTTCAGGACTAAATCTTTAGCTTGTTTTTTGATTGTTATAATAAAAATCTTGGGAGTGGGACAAATGCGACCTTTTTTGCACCCGGACATTTGCGCACCTTTTTTTCACCTTGCCCATTAGCGCACCTTTTTTCGCGTTTTAAAAAAGCTAATATTTCCATTAACCAATTTCTATTCCAAATGTTGTTTTTCTAGGTAATTTGAGGGTGTCGAATTCAAATTTTGACATAACAGAGCGTGTGGAACCAATTTAAAAGACAAAACGGCTAGATCAAATGACAGAAAATTGTTGATTTACAAATTGTCGATTTTTCTCTTTGTATAACTCCGTCCGTTTGTTTCCACAAGCTCTGATATGTCAAAATTTCGATTCTACGCCCTAAAATTACCTAGAAAAATAGAAAAACAACTTTTGGAATAGAAATTGGTCAATATTAGCTTTTTAGAGCTTTTTTAAAACGCGAAAAAAAGTGCGCTAATGCGCTAAGTGCGGAAAAAAAGGTGCGCAAATGTCCGAGTGCGCAAAAAAAGGTCGCATTTGTCCCACTCCCAAAATCTTGGCTGGTATATGTTAAAAGAACACATTCAAGGCTTTCAAATGAGACGAAATAGATGAGAATTGAATAGATCAGTCCTGAAAGGCAGGAAAAATCAGACAAAGCGACACAACAACGACAACAACAACGATAACAACAACGACAGCGACAACAACGACAACAACGACAACAGCGACAACAGCGACAACAGCGACAACAACGACAACAACGACAACGACAACGACAACAACGATAACAACGACAACGACAACGATATTCAATTTTCCCGAGATTGATCCATCCAATTTAGCTCCATTTAGTATTTGAAAGCCTGAAATGTGTTCTTTTTAAAATCGAAAATCAAAAGTAAACAAATTATTGAATACAATCCTGTTGTACCTCTGCAATTGTGCCCATGCATCAATCATAATCGGCTGAAATTCATAATCGGCTACGACATATATACCAATTATTTTATATGTATTATTTCATACGTAATCGACTTTTTTTTTCCAGCAATGAACACATTACAATCCCACTATACCCTCGCAAAATAAGCGTTATTAAAATTTGCATCCATCAAAAAGTTCAATCGCGCACAGGGATCAATTGTTTTGTAGCTTTTAACATCAAAATTTTGCACGGTATAATAGAAAAGTGCCTCTGTAGTAGGTTGTAAAAATTTAGGATACTATACGGCTATACTCCCAAGTGCATCACGGTTATATTCTCAAAATTCAACTTTTAATTCATAAACACAATCAATTGTACGCCTGGGGGAGTGGCTAAATGGAGAAATAAATAGTACAATTGTTCGACATCATTTGGAAAGCCACATAAAGCTGTTCGAAGCTGAAAGCGGAGCTTTTGCTTCGTTCAGAAGTTGGAAAAAACGATCTCTGAATCCTCCATCTCTATTTTTCCTCTAATAATTACCCTTTGTTTGTGTGTTTTGTTTTGTCCATCGTGATTAAGTGTTAATGCAAATTGATGGACATGGGGGTAATTGGTTGGAACGACGTATAACCCTATAATATCACATTCCAATACCACTCATTCATGCTCATGCTTGTTTACTCATTCAAAAGTCCAAAAGCTTGCTTACTCATTCAGAGAGGTAGATTCAGAGAGATAGATTCAGAGAGATAGTTTATCAAGAACCAAATTCTCTTCTAGATTAAAGCTTTCTAGATTTTACGAGGAATTGTGTGTTTTCAATGAGAGAGCCATCTTCGATTGTGGGCAAACAGCTGAAGCGGCCGAGCGTTGTCGAACCGAGTACAGGGGCAGTTTGTTGTGGATGAAACAGGAAAGTGATGAGGTGAGTGGGCGATGAATGGATGTGGAAACAAATAGCGAAAGTGTTTAACAATCTCAGCGTTGTCGTCTCTCAAATTGTCTCAATTAGAGTAACAATTAGAGTTTTTTTTTAACTTTTGAAAACTCTTCTCACATTTTCAGCTCGAGCCGACGAATCGCCGACAAATGGAGCGTTTCCGAGAAGTGCAAACGACGGTTCGATTGAATAAGGAAAGGCTGGATCGACTCAAGGAGGACACATTGCAGAAGGTAGACGAAAATTCATACTTCGGCCAGTTTACCTTATTTTAAAGGGACAGACAATGCTGATATAGTTAGTATGGCTGACTCGCTTTATGACCCACAAAAACTACTAGGATTCTAGAGGCCGTATTTCCGGCGGAGCGTACTTTTCTCGTACAAAGTATTCCCGCGGAGCCGGGAAATTCCAACGAGAAGGCTTGCCGGAAGATTTCTGTGGAAAATTTCCGGAATTCGCCAAAACAGTACGTTCCACGGGAATACTCAGCGAGTTTCTCGGGGGAATTTTCTGGAAATGGAGCATATCGGGCTCTGGCCGGACCTGGCCTGCTCGGGCCTGGCCTGGCTGGACCTGGCCTGGCTGGACCTGGCCTGGCCGGACCTGGCCTGCTCGGGCCTGGCCTGGCCGGATTTGGCCTGCTCGGGCCTGGCCTGGCCGGACCTGGCCTGCTCGGACCTGGCCTGCTCGGGCTTGGCCTGGCCGGATTTGGCCTGCTCGGGCCTGGCCTGGCCGGACCTGGCCTGCTCGGGCTTGGCCTGGCCGGATTCGGCCTGCTCGGGCCTGGCCTGGCCGGATCTGGCCGGGGCTGGTCGCGCCGGGGCAGGCTTAGTCGGGCCTTAGATCTGGCCGGGGCGGACCTGGCCGAGCCTGGTCGGGCCGGGCTCTGGACCTGCCTTTTGCAAACTTAAGCTGTTTTTATTACTTGCTAACCAGTTAGTCAGATAAACTTGACTTCTGGTTTTGCCTGACTTTGCTCCAGCTTTACCTCTGACTGACTCTGGCCGAACTCGGGTCAGATCTGGAGTCCTAGAGTTTCTCATCCTAGTCCAAGTTGATCTTGAGCTGGCCTTGCCTGCCTTACTTGCTCCAGGCTTGACTCACAAGACTGCTAACCCGTTAGGCTTGACTCAACTGCCTAGACTCAGCCAGCTCTAGGCAGATCTTGACTCTGGCTTACAGGTCTAGGACTCGTAAGCCAGAGCTTGGAATATGTTATCATATTATAAATTTAAATAAATTGGCTTATTATAAATGTACTAGTTAGCGTTAGAGTGCAAAGTACACTTTTGCAAATCCGCCGTTTTAAAAACGTGAAACTTCAGGTCGAATTGCTCTCAGCGAGTCGCTCTCATCTTTTGTCGCATTTACTGGGAAGGTGGGAAAATTTCAATCAAAGATTTCCAAGTTATAAAGAGTTTTGTTAAAACTTGTTTAATTTAAAAAAGATTTATGTTTCCAGATACCTTGAACTTCTAACAACTTACTATCAAAAAACGTCAACGATCTATGCGACGTTGGCGAAAAATCTCTCCGTCTACGATCACTACGATTTCGAGATTTTGACGGTAAATTGGATAATAAAGGAGATATTTTTAGATTTCTATTTTATAGAGATAGATTTCCTAAATCTTAGAACACTCAAATGTTCCTTAGGAACTCATCGAACCGTCTCGAAAAGTGGCACAAAAAATTCGACAAGAGAGCTTGGATAAAGTGAAAGAACTGGAGGAACAGGAGAAAGCTGAGGAACAACAACAACAACCGGAGTGAGTTTGTGTGCAAATTGTTGGGTCATCAAATTGAACTTTATCCCCGCAGCTGAAGAAGCTAACTTTAGCACGGCTAGAAGAAAGAAAAGGGGCTTTTTCGGAGGCATCTAGGCAGAACTCCGTGGTGTATTGGTTAGCGTCGCTGTTACGAAACATCTCCAGACCTCGAGTTCGACTCCAGCTCCGGCTCCGACTCCGACTTCGACTCCGGCTTCGGGTTTCCTAGTTGTACTGAGTGGCTAGAAACAAAAGGGAACTTTTTGAGAGGGCTGTGGAATGGCTGCGTGGTATATTGGTTAGCGTCGCTGTTACTAAACATCTCCAGACCTCGGGTTCGACCCTAACTTCAGGTTTCCTAGTTTTACTGAGTGGCTAAGAAGCAAAAGGGACTTTTTCGGATGCGTGTTCGCCCAGCTCGTGGTGTATTGGTTAGCGTCGCTGTTACGTAAAAGCCAAGCCTCTCCAGACCTCCGGTTCGACTCCGGCTTCGGGGTCCTAGTTGTACTGAGTGGCTAGAAGCAAAAGGCACTTTTTCGGAGGGGTTTTCACACAACAACGTGGTGTATTGGCTAGCGTCGCTGTTACGAAACATCTCCGGACCTCGAGTGCAACTCCGGCTTCGGGTTTCCTAGCTATATTGAGTGGCTAGAAGCAAAAGGGACTTTTTCGAAGGGATCTTCGCACAACAACGTGGTGTATTGGTTAGCGTCGCTGTTACGTAAAAGCCAAGCCTCTCCAGACCTCCGGTTCGACTCCGGCTTCGGGTTTCCTAGCTCTATTGAGCTGAAAATCTTGGCAACGTTAGTTAGCCTGATAATGTTATATCTTCTTTCTTTTGTCTTTTGAATCTTTTGAGACTAAAGAAGATATAACATTATGAGGCTACAAAAGACGTTTTTACTCGTGTCTCAAAAGACGTTTTTGCTCGTGTTTCACGCAAGTTACTGTAAACTACGGTACTCTATAGCAATTAGCGTAAATTGTGCCCAGTTTATGGGGTTAATTAAGTAAATTAGACGAATTAAAGGATCAAAATAAGAAAGAGAAGCATTTTCAGCCTGCTACGCTTTGATGAACACGACGAGACGAGCTTACGGTATTTGTTTGGCCGAGATTCGCCCAGTGAAGAGAGATTGATTCCACAAAATGGGGTGAGTAATTGAAGAAAGAAATGTCAATTTGCATTTCAACAATTTGCATTCTAATGATTCCAGTTCGTTGAAAACAGAAAAAACTAAAGAATTTGTTGATTTTTGGGCAATTGTTGAGAGTTTAAAACTTTCGAAAACGATGATTTTTTTTCCAAGATGACTCATGCTCATTCAAGGACTTGTTAAGCGAGCTCTATACATCCGATTGGAAAGTTTTTGATAGAGAAATGTAGCCAAGATCAAAAGCTACAATCCTCTAACACTTGAGACTTTGAAATAGATTAAACACGCGAAAATTTCTTCTCCAAAAAAGTTGTCTGGATAATTTTGAGACACCCTATAATCTTAAGGCATTTTCAAAGGAAATCCGGATAATTTTGCCCAAATTTTACTTGTAAACGATGAAAAAATAATTGTAGATTCGGTTTGGTGATGGCGAGGATCGAGCCGAGAGTCCACTGATCGGTGATCAAGATGAAGTGGGCGAAGAGGCGTTTGAAAGATTGACAATTGATCGGGTAACCTTTTCTTGTCGAGTATCAATTGATCCGGTGATCAATTATCGTTCTTTGGGCTCAAATTAGTAAACGCATCCTTTCTGGTGCACTGAATGCCGGATTTTGTTGCTGAGTTGCTTTTACGGAAAAGAATTGGCCAATTCGGTGAACAAGAAAAGGTGTGTTTATCGATTTGATGCTAAAGCTTTATGTATAAGGAAATTCAAGTTAAACGACGCAATTTCAAGTTAAACTACAGAGTGACCAAGAATTACCGCAACACACACACACAAAAGGCTTGGCTTTTAACCAAATATGCAACCCATCTCGAAAAGTTAACTTAAATATCTTTATTCAACATATAACAGTAACAAATTAACAATTAAATTCAAATTTGCCTCCATCGGCATTCAGACAGGCCTGCAAACGTTTGGGAAACGCGTTGACCGTTTGGGAAACCGTGGCGAGCAAATAGGCATCATCGAGGCTCATCAAAGCTCATCAAAGCTTGGGATCCATGCTTTGATGAGCGCCTTCTTCAAACTTTCGATATTTTTATGTGGTTCTGCACATGCCCTGGCTACAAGAACACTCCAAACTGAGTAATCCAATGAGTTAAGATCGGGTGAGCTAGCTGGCCTCTCAGACTCAGACTCAGGCCACTTTTTCTTGATGATTGTGTTGACGGAGCTTCTCTTCAGACCCATTTTCTGTGCCATTCCTCGAGCCGATTGGTTAGGGTTTAATCTTGGACGATCGCGCACTTTCTTGACATTAGCCGGAGTAACCGCTGTTCGTTTTGCACCTCTTCCAGGGCGATCCGATCCCTGGATCGATCAGAAACTGTGTCCAGAGTTTCATAACGTTGAATGGTTCGAGAAACGCGGCTTCTGGGGACATTCAGGCGCTTTGAGATCTCGCTTTGAGCTTTGTGCTCGAACACGCTGCCGCTTGAGCTCAAGGATCGCTTGTCGATGTGGTGACGCGGAGACGATGTGGAGCTTTCACCATTCCTAAAAACAACCATATTAATGTATTGAAAGTTAGTAATCATACCATAAAATAAGAAAAATAAACAAAAACCATAAAAACAAGTAAGCAAAAAGTGAAATGAGGCTCATAACATAATACGACGTTGTTGCGGTAATTCTTGGTCACCCTGTACTTTCCAGGAAAACACCGCTCCCTCGCTGGCTTCTTTACCTACTTTATTCGGTGACTCGTGCGTTCCAAAATTGACTCCGCCACCAGTGTTGGATCGTGGGAAAAGCGATGATAAATCAAAAGGATTCTCGAAGAATACATTGGATCTTCTGTCGTTAAACGATGATCTATTCAATGAGTTATCGGGTATCGTATTTTCCTTAATATTAGCAGCAAAAAATGAAGCCCCGCTCACTCAGCTGACTAGGAAACTATTTCAATTTAGCGTTGAGTGAAGCTTGAGTTAAGCTACGAGACTTAGTGCATCAGATTCTACACAAAATTCTGAGCAAAATCCAGTTTTAAAATCAACTCAATGGCCCATGTAACTCGTGTAAAAACACGTTTGAAAATTTAAGGGAATTTTCGGAGCTCGATGATATAAGTCTTCTTTCGCAAATGACCAAACGACCTAGCGGATAGTGTGCTGGACTTTTCGATAGTTTAGGCTTGCATTGCAAAGACGGATTGCAAAGCTGTAGGTCGAGGGTTCGACTCATTTTGAGTTTTCCTTTTTTGAACCGCTCAAATGCCTAGTGGATAGTGTGCTGGACTTCGAAACTTTTCCTTGCGGGTCCGGATCCTCCGGCAACCAAAATTAACCAACGTTTAGAAAAAAAAGATTGAAAATCGGCTCGTTTTTTGCTCTTAGGCTTGGTTCAGGCGAAAATCGGCTTTCAATCATTTTTTCTAAGTGTTGGTTAATGTTAAAAATCTGTGTGATATCTTAAAAAAATCACCCATTCTCTCTACTTTAATTTGATACCAAAGCGTGCCGAAACAAACGTACTGGTGTCAAGTTTCAAGCGTTTGTTTAAGAGTAAACTTAGACTACGTGATGCTCCTTTAGGGCTTCTACTAGATATTTACGATAATTTTGAAAGTTTTCTTGTAGAATATCTTGAAAACTTTTCAGGCACAACAAGTTCAAACTATGGCCTCCTGGGAGTTCAGGGCGCTTTCCCGAATCCTTTCCAAGGAAATGTCGAACACAGCAATGTGAGTTTCTTCTTTCTTTCTTTCTTTCTTCTTCCTCCTTCTTCCTCCTTGTCTTTCCCCCCTTGGCAAGTAGGTACCGGGCAGTGGAGAGCAACTGGAAAGCAAAGGTCGAGGGTTACAGAAATCCACTTTTTGTCATTCCTTCCTCCTTTATTACGAAAGCAAAACTGAAAAGTAGGCAAGAGCAAATGTATTAGTTACGGTACTTGGGTGGTAGCGTACGCACGGGGCCTCAAAAGATAACGAGCGTAATAAATGGTCGCATCTAGAATTGTAGCAGGCCCAGGTCAGGCAGGTCCAGACCAAGTCCAGACCAGGTCCAGACCAGGTTCAAACCAGGCCCAGACCAAGTCCAGACCAGGTCCAGACCAGGTCCAAACCAGGTCCAGACCAGGTCCAAACCAGGTCCAGACCAGGTTCAAACCAGGTCCAGACCAGGTCCAGACCAAGTCCAGACCAGGGCCAGACCAGAGTCAGAAGCCAGTTTCAGACCAGGGTCAGAAGCCAGTATCAGACCAGGTCCAGGATCGGAAGTTAGGTCCAGGCGAGGTCCAGGGCCGGAAGCCAGTTTCAGGCAAGGTCCAGACTAGGTCCAGACCAGGTTCAAACCAGGTCCAGACAAGGTTCAGGTCCAGGACCGGAAGTTAGGTCAAGGCCAGGTCCAGGTCTAGGATTGGAAGCCAGCTCCAGGCCAGGTCCAGGTCCAGACCCAGGCCAGGTCAAGCCTTGGTTCTGGCATCTAGCGGCTCAGGGGCAAGCCTAGAGTAAACTAAGGCAGGCAAGAAGCTAGACCAGGACCTAGGCGAATAAATTGCTTCTAGAAAAGCTCGAATTATGAGCAGGGTTGTTCCTAGATCCAATTTATCAACCCAGTCAGCTGAAGCCTTTCATACGACACTTGAAATAACTTTTAAGACTTTTTTTTATCTGATTTAGTCAAATCTGGTCAGATTTGATCTGGTTTGACTTTTTGGAGCAACTCTTTTTTTTAAATAAATATCTAAAGCTATCCCTAAGCATCTAAAGCTCAATTTGGCAACATTTTCACTAAAGCTGTTCATTTTTTAATTGTCAATAGGTGTACAACGAAAAACAAGATTTGACTACTTCAATGGCGACTTTTTCAGGATTTCTTGTTACAAGAAGGTAGAATCTTCTAAGCTCTATATTTTGCTTTAAAAACCTCTTGAAAAAAAGCCATTAAAGTAGCAAAATCTTGTTTTCCGCTGTACACCAAATGATAATCGATTAAAAATCAATTAACAATCGATTAACAATCAGCAAATCAGCAAATCAGCAAAACATCTCTCTAATCTCAAATCATCTCATCATCTCATCATCACTGGTTTGAACCTGGTCTGGACCTTGCCTGAAACTGGCTTCCGGCCCTGGACCTCGCCTGGACCTAACTTCCGATCCTGGACCTGGTCTGGACCTGGTCTGAAATTGGCTTCTGACCCTGGTCTGAAACTGGCTTCTGACCCTGGTCTGAAACTGGCTTCTGACCCTGGTCTGGACCTGGTCTGGACTTGGTCTGGACTTGGTCTGGACAATGAACATCTCTAAACTCGACTCTAATCTTTCCAGGAATGGGAATCGCTTCTCTCACAATGCGACTCGCAAAATGTCAATGATCTGATCTAAAGTTTGATCTAAAGTTTATTCCAGAAGTGTTTTCTAAGCTTTTTGTCATTTTTTTTTGATTTCTCTTGTTTGATTTCCCTTGATTTCACTTGTCTCTATTGGTTTTTTTCATTTTAATCCTTTTTTTTGTTTCAACTCACTTCTCTTGAGGGAAATTTGCATAATCACTAGCAAAGCATTGTATTTATGAAATAAAAATGGTATATAAATAAGATTCTTTTCGAAAAACACTGATTTTCAAAAGCCGTTATGGTAAATCGGTTTTTAAAGCTTTTAAGCCTTTTCGTTTCTTTGACAATCACATAAGTTCGCCATTTTTGCTCTTTATAGTGTCTATGTCTATTTTAAAGTACACAAAACACTTTTAAAATCGGAAATTCTTACGCAAACCGCCCACCAAAAATCCCATTGCAAATTCTGGAGTTTTTCCGTAAGAATTCCAAGTCATTGTTCTGCAAAAACATCAAAAGAAACTAGAGAAAACAAAAGAAGAAAAGAAACGTTTTTTGAAACCAAGATACAGCAAGAATTTCAGTGAATCCTACGCGAATAATTGGGAGATTAGCAGCAAAATTTAGGACCCAAAACAATGAACTCAAACGAACAGAAACCAACTGGGGAATCATTTCTAACAGAACTACTGGGGAAACTACTGGGGAATCATTTCTAACATTTTGCAAAATGCAGAAACGAATTCTCTATTATTGGCTTTATAGAAAACGATAAAACTTTTAAAAAACCAAAAATTTGCATTGAAACAACTCGAACCCTCGTGATCCAAAAGGGCGTATGTCCGGCAGACGCGCGCACTAACCACTACACCATCGAGGCCGTTGACTGAAGACACTACGTCGCTCTCATAAAGAGACGTATGCCAAATAACCCCAAATATCTTGCGATAGAGAAGCGTTTGGCAAAAACTGATTACAGATTCTGAATCAACGTGAAAAGCTGCATCAGATAGGCTAAAGCTGATTCAAAAAGCTGACTAGGTTTGTGCTCATAGAATGGGCGAAAAAGAGTAAAAGAAGGGTTGCCTTATAGAGGCAGAGGACTCGAACCTTCGAGATCCAAAAGAGCATACGCCCAGCAGACGCGCACACTAACCACTACGCCACCGAGGCTGTTGATTGAAGACAGTGCGTCGCCCTCATAAAGAGACCCCAAAAACTTGTATGCCAAATATCTCGCGATAGAGAAGCGTTTGGCAAAAACTGATTGCAGATTCGGAATCAACGTGAAAAGCTGCATCAGATAGGCTACTTCCCGAGTCAAAAGCCTAAGTCAAAAGTCCCCGTTGACTGCATAAAGAGAAAGAGATACAAAAGTGCAAAAAAATCCAAAAAAAGAGATGCATTTTTAAGCATAAAACACTGTTTTTTTGTCTAGAAAGTTTCGAATTTGATTTGAACTTTGAATTCGAATAATTTGCGAGATTCAAGCGCTTTTACTTGAGTAAATTCCCATGATTTTAGAGAAAATAATAAATTTGAGCAAAGAAAAATTGAAACGTTTTCCCCATTGTACCAACAGCAATAAACTCTTTTTATTAAGAAAAAGAAAATCCTTTTGTTGTTGTTGAGTTTCTCTTCGATTGTTGTTTGATCTCATTTCGTGAATAAGTGCCCGCACATCAGCGCGGAATAAGGCAAAAATGCGTTTTCTATAGGATTTTCCTGGGAGTACCTTTTTTAGATGCGGAAAATTGTGCTGATTCCGAATCGGAAGGAATTTTTCAAATCCCTCTGACAGAAATTTTTAAAATTTAGTTTTACCGGTTTTTTGGTCATTTTGTATGGGAAATTTTGTGGTACCCTGCAGTTTGGAGCTCGTAACTCGACAACACGCGTCTAGAACTAAAAACGAAGGGATAATTTTTATTCTCGAGACTCTTACGAACATTTTGATGCAAAAATCATCAAATTTGCTCAACTCTACAAAAAGTTATAAGATCTTTAAGGAAATTTTGCAAAATACACTAAAAACATAAGGGGAAACCGTGGCCGAGTGGTCTAAGGCGCGCGACGCACATCGATTACACCCCTATGTAAATTTTTTTTTTCTTTAAATCAAAAAATCCGAACACTACAAATTTTAAGTTAGGCCCAAAAGTGAACGGAAAAAATAAAATATTCCGAAACCGTCTATCCAAAATTTCAGAATTAAAGGCGGCGACTTTGATGTTAGTGAAATTTCATATTTTTATTTTATTTATCAAATTCATTTATCAAATTCATTTCCCGTTAGAGCCGCTAGATTATGGAACTTGCTCCCAAACGACATACGAGAAATTCAGTCGCTTTTCATATTCAAGAAACGTATCGATGCTTTAGATCTAGTGGCTCTTTGCCGTAAGTAATTGGCTTATTGATTTCAGTATGTATTGTATGATTAAGTATCACTGTGCATTTCTCTATGATTTCTTTCACTTTATCGTTTGAATAAAGTATTATTATTATTATTATAATAAAAATCTTGGTCCTTAGAGGCGAAGAAAAGATCAACCTCGGTTTTGACATCTTCTTCGGAATTGAACCGTTTATTGGCCAAATTATATGGCCAAAAAGTTAGACAGAGACAAAAATAAATAATAATCA